ACCCCCCCCCCCCCCCCCCCCCCCCATCCTCGAATGAAAGCTCCACCTCTTATCCCCGCCCAGTCATCCGCAGCATCCACACTGCACTTCTCGGCCCGTCCCCTGCACCGCCATGTCATCGCACGCTCCATCACTTCACGGAAGCGTTTTCCGTAGCCCAAACTCCACTCTCTCATCACGCTCCCCAACCGCCCAATGCCCATCTCCGCATCCTCATATATCCCGCCTGTCCATATCAGCGACCCAACAACATGGTCTAGTTTACGCTGTCCTTACCGCTACTTTTGTGCAACCGCATTTAGCTGGAGCGAGGGCCGGGGCGACGCGCGCTCTGCGCGTCATCCCTGGGGGCGGGTTAATATACAGCGCCTAGCTCCCTTGATGCGGGCGGTGAGCGCGATGCATCGGTTACTACAAGGGGTTAAGGGGAAGGGGTGTGGGCGAGGGATTTGGTTGGAGGGGCAGCGCTTCCGTCGAATTATGGGTCTGATGTTGTGCTTGCAACGTCCCGTTCTTGCCGGCATGGGTGTCCCTGGGTATGCTTTCGATGACCACCGTCCGAGTAAGATACCTCATTATACAAACTAGACTGTGGCTTTGAGCAGCAAGAGGCTTAAAGCAAATGCGGTGCCTGGCAGTAACCGCCGCTTCCTACACGGTGGAACATGGACCTCGGGCACTCAAAGTCTTCGTATGGCTGAACATGGCCCTGGGCACTTTGTGTGGAGCTACAGACTCACAATACCGCCTTTTCCGCCACCTGCATCTTGAAATCAGGTCCAATCTGATGGTTGCAGAACTAGCTGCATGGCCAGCTGCAACAATCAGCTCACATCAACAGAGTGCTGACCAACTTGGGCGCCGTATGACTGAATCTCGGTATGGATGAAACCGATGCCGTGCTTCCAAGGTTGCTCATAGCGTCTTTGCCGGAGGTAGTTCCGCAGCAAACGTACCTTGAAGATGTCTCTCTGGCAAACTTGGCAATTCTTTCTCCGAGGCATCGATAATTCTGTGCATAGGGCCGACCAAAAGACGCCGGTGTGGTTGAGGGTATTGTAATACGAGATCTCGCACTCGGCAGCTTGGCGGCCCGTCTGTAAGGAACCTTCCCACCTGCCAATCGTCCTTCCCGAGATGCGCTACGATAAGCGAACAAAGCCATGATGAAAGAGGACCCACCTTCAACATCTCCAGGACGTAAAAGCAAAAGCAAATAATGAGCACGGCCGCGCCAGAGAGATTACTGATCGTTCTTGACCTGACCTGCCTCGTGTCCATCATCGTACGAAAGGATTTACCTCGTGGAAGCCCATGGTGCCGCCGATCCCATAGCCGGTCGCGAAAATTGCCCCATTGCAAGACAAGATCGACATATACATCCGACGTTTCTATAAGTCGCTTGCAAGCACAACGCCTTCGCGGACCCCCTCCCAGAACGCGGTAGAAGATCGTCCCACAAGGGAGGCTCAACGTGCGCACAGCGAAACCTAATCGATCCCGCCCCAGGACCTCGCTTATCTGCCAGCCAGTCTGGCAAGCCTCATTTAGACGCCGACCTGTGTCACGCTGCGGAACAACAAGGATGCGCGACGCCCGCAGATATTTTGGTATTGGTGGGCCACTTCCTCCCTCGAGGGTGATGAATGGAAGGAAAGTTGCTCCAGCAGTGTCATGCACCATGCGCGCTCACCGATAACCTGCTTGCTTTTTTTGCGTGGTATTCGCCGTCCAGATCGTATCCGACCGCCTGTCACTCCGGGCAATCGGAACGGGTGCTTAGCGTGTATGCACGCTGATGTGACCATTACATGGAAGGCCGGAAGCTGGCATTGTGCGTCGAGGCAGTGAGATGGTTGAGCGCATGAGCAGGGCGGTGACTTACAGGCAGGCAATACGGGCTGTTGCAGATAGGCCAAGGTCGCATCGCGCCGATTCCGCTCTACCCTCAATGGCGATGAAGTCGATCGTCCCGACCGCATCGTCGGGTCATCTCACGTAGAATGTTTGAGAATAGTGTCTGTCCTACCATTGACGGCGTCGCCGGGAGCTGGTCCCTGTATCGCGAGGCTGCAACACCCATGCGTACAAGCCACCAAAACCAAGCATGTGGACGAGTGCGATATGACAAACATGAGCATTCTCCTTACGTACTGGAAGCGGACTGTCAGATTAGGCGAGGTCCCAGAGGCTTGGTGCTGTGACGACGTTGGATCAAAAGCAAAGCGAGGGGACTCTAGTTGGGGGAATTATTTGGTCCGAGCTGAATAATGTTCCATGTACGAGGCAGGTGTCACTGGAGCGCAGCAACGCACTGCCAAATTGCTCTTGCATATACTGGTAAGCTTAGCATCATATGTGGTTCTATAATTGTGGTTGGCCTTGCAAGAAATGTGTATGCCAAGGGCGTTCCAGGCAACGTTGCAGATTGAATCCAGCAACTCCAAGACTACGAATGTCCAATGACAGACGAAAGGGTCCATAGATACGCCTTCTATTCAGGTAGACTGCTGCTCATCCATCGCTTCCAATCATCTACCGAGATTTCAGTACCCAATGGCGCGTTCATTGGTGCTTCAGAAAAATGCATGTCATATGCAGATGCTGACTGCCGTTCATGGGCCATCGTCTGTGGAAACCCTGAGAGGGCCTGGCCAACTTGGAAAGGGAGCAATTCGTGCATGCTCGGATCTTGGATCTGGTAATTCACGGACCGGTCCGCGATTCTGACGGCCCAGGACGCCTGGCCTTCGGGACTGCTGTTGGGGCTTATTGATTGCGGGATGCTTTCGAGGAAGTCCTGAAACGAGGCTTGGTCGGATATCCCTGGGAGTCCTGGCGCAGGCCCAGCCTTTGCTATCGGAGGGTGTGCTCTAGACGTAGCCGGAGAGGAGTATGTAGGGCGCGCTGGTAGTGGCGCAGAAGCAGGCAAGTGCAGCGAAGGACAAGAGTTGTGTCTCATCTGAGCGATTGGTGCTTGTTGTAGATCTAAGAGATTGCCCTCGTATTGTGGTTGTCGCTCGTCAATTGTGCTCGCCACTATCGGATGATTGTACCCATTGTTATTCTCTTCAAAAATCTGCGGCTGCTGCGAGTGAGGCGGACGAGCATGACGATGAGAAGCATCCGGAAGAGATATCTGGGACACATGATGCTGCTGCATTTGTCTGGTAGAGTTTGTGTGCAATGTCGGCGCTGTGACACGGTGTGGCTGATGATCATCCAGAGTCGGTGTCGCGTATCTCGTGTGTGCCGAGCGCATGGTCGTCGATCTCCGAAGGCCCTGCATACCTCCCACTGATCGAGCATCCTCTGTATCTTCATCGGATTCTGGGGAATCCATCGGTCCGCCGCCTGGTGACACTTGCCCCTCACGCTTGAGCTGAAATGGCTCCGGCGGCTCAACTCCTCCCAAATTCCATGCGATTGGAGCGAAAGCTTCTGGGACAAACCCCTGCAATCCTGGGTCTTCGAGCAGGAACATACCTGTCGCATTCATGACAGAGTCTTCGTACATTGCATGTGGGGCGTTGATTGCCTCATTCCAAACTCTTGCCACATCGCTCTCACAGCCCTGAGCTTCCCGTGTTCCAGCATGCCCTGACGGCATTTGTGTTACCTCGTGCAGCTTCGCTAGTCCCCAGCTGATCCTTTCGACGGCTAAACTCGCAAGCGAATGAATGTTCTGGAGCTCTTGGAAAACCACAAACGCCTTTTCCGCCTTTACCGCGCCAGATGTGACTGACATGCGTTCCATGGCATCAAGTAGGAGGATCATGCTGGCGTTGAAAGCCTGCTGAGCCATGGTCCAGGAGATGAGTGCGGCCGGTACTCGCAGGTAGAAGAAGAGGAATGCATCGAGGACTTCTTCCGAAGATGTGAGGACCAGAGTACGGCCACGGAGCGATACGTTTGTTGCCGTAGTGGGTGGTGACTGCGATGGGGGAGTCCGATTAACTGACCTAAATGCCGGAGCCATGGCCTTGATGGTGGAAGAATAAGCTTGTGGTGCGTACTTGTCAAGTCTCTGACGATTCAGGAGGATGAGATAAGTATGTGCTTTGCAATGATATACTACCATTTGTTAGTGAATGTCAAACGGAGTCTCACAGAAGCTAACCAGCAGCCATAGCACTTAGCGGCCATTCCGGAATCTCGGTCTCTTGCAACAGCCAAGTACTATCAAATTGTAGCATTTCGGGCATAGTGTCCAAAAGTCCCTTGAGAGAATCAGTGAACTCGTCCACTTTTGCATTCGTCAGACGTTCGCTACTCAAGATCTGTCTAGCCAAGATCGTGAAGTAGTTGATAAACTCGCTGAATCGAAGCATACGAGGATCGGTTGTAAGTTCATGAGGGGGTGGACAGTCCCCAAGTCCGCTGATGCCAAGTGGACGACCGAGTGTCATTGAATATTGCTCGTCCATATGTAGCATCCACCACCAAAGCGTTTGCCGAATAGAGCATTCGCGCTGTGTTGGAGGGGCTGGATCTAGTTTTTTGGGGTGCCGATGCAGACCTATGGAGTGGGCCAGGCGTATGGTTGTACCAAAAAGGGTCCAAGCATCCAGAAATCGACCACTGTTGGTAAGGTATGGCCCAATCATAAGAAGAGCCTGTATACCGAGGAGAGACGGTTTGTGCATGAACGAAGCTAGACGCAGTGCTTGTTTAGCGGCAGCAACTAGCGGAAGTCAGTGCAACAGTTCCGTGATACCCTTTGGTCAGCAGCTTACTGTAGATGTTGCCCTTGTTGATTTCAAAATGCATCGTGTCCACACCCCATTGACCACCAGATCGATCCCACACAGAGTGTTGGCCACCTAATGCTATGGCTGCAAAAATAAGAGCGAGCATATCAGGGCACATTTGCGCATTTCTTCTTGCGTCGTCAAGGAAGCGCTCAACCTCACTTTTGGTAATCTCGAGCGGCACGTGTGGAAACGAGCACACATGGACTCGCTTTTCGAAAGCATTGAGACACTCGAATAGCTCTTCCCTTTGCGGCAGACAATTTAGTAGCTCTGGAATACACTCCTCTGGTGTTGCTGGGAAGAATGTTGGGAAAGGGTAGGGTGGTGGGCTTTTTGGCGTATACATGTCTTGTCCCCGAGGCATGAGATACGCCAGGGATGAGGACATGGGCCTGATGTTCATCGTAGCAAACTTGTGGACGTTAATGGCTGCCACGGTAAACATCGCGATACTCACATCTGTGACCACACTGGCAAGTCCAGGAGAACCGAAGTAGATGCTATCTTGCCATTCCGAGCCCTGGAATCGTTTCTGCTTGGCGGTACGTCTCCTTTGCGAAGAGCCCGATCGGTCCGCGAGATGCGAATCGGGCGAGGTCGCAAAATCTGACTCCTCATCCTCGATGGGTATTTTGCTTGCGCGTAATCGCTCCTTGAGACGGAGATTTTCTGCGCGAAGCTTGCGCAATTCGTAAGATTGTTGGATAGGCGCATAGTCGCCTCCTTCTGCTATGAAATGACAGTCCTTGGGCTGGCCCCGAGCACAACATGCTGAACAAGGTTTGGTACGATCGCACTGCGTATAGATCAGTCTTCTGTGGTCAAGGCCTGTCCAAATGTCCTTGTGAAACCACAAATCTGCGCAGGTGCATGCTTACTTTCACCTTCCGCTCTCGGCATTTAGTACATGATAGAAGCTGACGGGGTTGCTGCGAGGGTTGCTTTCGTCTATTTGGTGGTACACTAACGGGTTGCTCGTCAGACGTATGTGAGCGTTCACCGGAATAGTCCGGCATGGTAAGGTCAGGAATTCCGGCGGATCACGGATATGGACCGTGGAGTAACATGGGTCTGGGGCTGAGGAATGAAAAATTCGACGGTCGTTCGGACATGCGAAGATTCGTGCGGGATCCTATATGTAAGAGTAGTTGGTGGCCGCGAGATGTCCGGCGGGAATGGCTCCGCTTCAATCACACGTTAGAGGGTGGAGCCGTACAATGGTGATACCGGTGGTGCTGCTATCTTCCGAGCTCAATATCTGCACACTCGAAGCCTCATTTTCCAGGTTGGGATACTCAATGGGAAGTGGATAGAGACGCTGAATATGGGCAATGCTGAAGCATACTAGATTGACCGTAAATTGAACTACCAGATCGGTCGTGCTGCATCGCGTGTGAGCTAGTCTCCCTCAGGAATTCAGAGCCTGGTCGTACAATAATATCGCCAAGCAGGGAGAAGGGATGTCGGGAAAATAGACGCTACATGACACCGTACACATTACTGACGCACTCCTTCACCACGGGCCGATCCTCAGTATCGTAATCATGCGCCAACCGGATCGCTTGCCGTGTTTTTTGTTACTTTTTTTTCCAGAGCCGATCGAGGTGCGCGTTAGTCGCAGCAAGACATTCCCATCCTTGTTCGATCGTCCTCCGTCGTTAGTGCATCCATGGCTTGCAAGTGGCTTGCAGATGGCGCATGGTGAGGGCTTTGCTTATCTACTTCAACTTTTCGTTCTTGTCTGCCGCGCCAGAAATTTACTCCTTTGCTGCTCGCTATTCGCTCGTCAATTCCATCGACGTTGCCGCGCCGATGAATATTTGGAATCCTGTGCGCGATCGGCAGAAACCTTGCAAGCATCCATGCCTCGTGCCGTGCCGTCGCACTGAACGCCACGTACCGCGATTTTGGGACAGCGCACATTCCGCAACCCTTACGTTCGGCGCAAAAAACAGGGTCCCTCGCAAGGACCATGCTTTGACGCATCAGCTTTACATGAAGCGCGTAAATGTCTTCAACGATCGAACCTACGCAGAAGTCGGCTGTCCTTGTTGCAGTGTCGTCGGCCAGGGTTCTTGCGATGGGTTGGACTAGACGTGTATGCTTCTTAGTCACCGTGACAAGTTCGCAAAGCCATTTCGCATGGATAGTGACACAACATGCTAGGGAACAGCCTCCTCCCAAAGGTCTGCTTTGCACACGAGCAGGCGATGTAGATGCTCACAGCAACCGAGTTTGTGAGGCTGCTTACAGCTAATCATTCGCCCGCTGCAACAATTGAACAGGCTTTACGAAAATCAAGCGGTTAAAAACATCAATCCAGGCAAGTCGAACTTCCCATTCGTCACCCGCTTGCATGTCCTCCGGTCCGCAGTCGACAAGCGCTCCGAATCCATACTCTGGGAGTGACCCTGTCGCGCCTGCCCACGTCAGCGGGGATTCCCCTGGAGGTGTTCTCACCCAGAACTTAAACGTTTCTGGAAGAGACGCCTCTTTATAGTAATACGCTCTGTGCAAAGCCAACGTGCTCCAGAAGGTTTCAGAGGTTCTCTTGGTACTAGCAATGAGACGTTCTCGCGGAGAAAGTGTGACGATCGATTCTTGCATTTGGCGTTTGGTGAACGGTAATATCCCGCGCCCGCCAGTAGAGGCTACGTTGGCGTCGAACTGCTTTCCGGTGTGAGCCTCGTACCGTAACGCGGCCTCGATTTGCCAATGGGCTATCATGTCGCTGAATCGCCTGAGGGGACTCGTGACCCTGACGTAACCTGGGACTCCGATTATTCGATGGGGTAGAGGAGATGAGTGTGAGATAGCACGACCCAAAGAGTTCATATACTGTGATATGAGTTTGTAAGAGGCTTTATCCTGCTGCTGCTCCAAGCGTGACAGTATCTCTCGCAGTTTGGACTCCTCCGAGGACGAGGCATCACTGTTCGGCATCGCAATTGTACCTCTGAATATGGCAGGGATTTTTCGCTCTGTGCACCAGGATGCAGCTGTCGAGCAAGCGAGGATCATCATCTCTTCGACGATATGTGAGGGTTTTGTACCACCAAGATCAAGCCAGCTTTGTCGCACACTATTCGTCACCTCGATAATTGGATCGCCTTGGACGAGGCGAGATCGATCTGTAGAGGGTGGATTCCAGGCCAGTCCAGCTCGGTCAGGGCTTTCAAAAAGACGCACATGGTTTTTGACCCTATTCAGGCGGATTGCTCCAGCAGCTTTGCGTTTCTCCCAAAGTCGCTGGGCCGCGGTGTACATGTCTTGCAGATCTCGAAGTTGTTCAGCGGATACCGCAGGTGCACTCGCTAATGCGTCGCTGATTCTGGGCTCTCCGCCGACCACAAATCTCCGAGTCTCCATTGTTGTTTGGTGTCCTAGGAGAGAGGACATCTGGGAAGGGGTGATGGTGACGATGTTGTGTACTGTGCCTGACTGTATTTTACTTTCCAGCACATTGCCGCCAGCATCTATTCGCGAACTGAAGGTAAGAACTGGCCGATCACGACCGAGACTAAAGTGGCCCCCAGCTGCCCATGCAGGAAGCATAGGGTAAGCTCGTTCTGGTGTATAGAAGGTCTCAGTCATGTGGGCTGCAAGGCCGGATAAAGTATGTGTTTTATCGAAAAAAGCAGTAGGGTTCGCCACGTGCACATGAATCCAAAACTCAGAAGTGCCCCCCTCTATCCGCTCGATGGACACTCCGTCGTCAATCTCTTGAGCGCCAGCGTCATCAATGCAGTAGACGGTTGTTGAGCCCCAGTCGCGCCGTAAATGAGCCATGGAGTCTCGGAAGTCAGGGTTCTTCCGAGTCAGCTCGGCCTTGGTGTTGAGTAGTTCTAGGTTTCGGGACAGCTTTACGGTGGGGAGCATTAACTGTTCATCGTAGAGCGTGCGGTTTTCGTAAGGCGAGATAACGCCAATCTCCTGCAGAAAGAGCATGCCTGTCGAACGCCGAATTTCGAAGGCATCGTCCTCAGGAAAACCGTTCGACTGGACAGCCCCTGGTTCATAACAGCCGGTAGCCATGACGAGGCTTGCGCAAGCAGCGTGGAGACCGCTGATACCAGCGTATTGCATAGTAAGCACCCACGCTTGTAAAAAGTCAATTATCTTTTTGTCACTGTGGCTGAAACGCTCGCCCCAGACATATTCAAGACCTGGAGACTTTTCAACTCGCGACAGGGTAACCTTCTTGCTGGGTCCAGCCACCCCTCGGTTGGGCTCACGATTCGTTCGACTGAGGGCTATCAGCCTACGGGCCTTCGCTAAGAAGTCTTCAATATAAGTCACTCCCTGTGATCGTTTCTTTGAAGCGCCCTGATCCGTGCTGGCGGATGTGGCAAGGAAATCGCGGTATTCCCTTATCCACTCATGCACAGTTTCCACCACTTCCACGTCGTTCTTCGGTCGAATTGCGAAAACATTAGTTAAGCGGTGAGTGCGAAGATCGCAGCGAAACCGAAACTCATTATGAAGTAATGACTTGCGTACAGCGAGGAGCGCTGCTGGCGAAGGCCTCCAAGCCGGATCATTCTGAGCCAGCAGAGTCTTTGTTATTTGAGACAGAGTCATCATGCGTGTTCGTTTGGCATCCGCAAGGACCGCGTAAGCTGTGTCGAGAACGGGCGCATGGGCGCGGTAAATTTGTTCCGCCTCATATGTCATGCCTTCCAAGATCTTTAATACAGGAGAGCCAAGCTCGATCGGGATATGGAGCTCGCCCTTGGGATCGGCTTTATCAGGATTTGTGGGCATAAAGGGGATTATAGGATCGAGGAGAGCAGGATCTATGCAGCCGGTAATGGCAAAGGCGACTCGATTTAGGGTAGAATGGCACCATCGACCGTTGACTGAGAAAAACTGGCTCTTGCTGTCTAGCTGCTGGACAAAGACGGCAAGAACTGGCTCACGGCCGGGTGAGCGAAGCTCGACAACATCACCAGGCTTCAGAAACAGGCCAATGGTGATGAGGTCCTCGCCCTCCTCCTCGTCCATGGCATCGACATTTGGCGTATCAATGTCTTCGTCCGATTTGGAAGACGAATTGAGCTTTGACATGCCATTGCGAACATCTTCGTTCGCGGGATGGTTCCGAAAGGAAGACAGTACATCTTCAGAAGGCTTTCCATGGTCTTGCTGCCATTCTACAAGATGGCTTCGGAAGGGCAGCTGTGTCGGGCGAGGTATGAGGGCGGGGTCGAAAGTGGGTGGGGCAGTCGACGGTGTTGCGGAAAGCTGCTGCGGACGCTGTAATACGTTAGCTTTGGCTTGAAGTAAGGTGGCAGGTAGTCCTACTGTTGTCGTGAGGTGGAACGCTCGCTGTGGCGACCGTGTAGATTTTATCGTGGAAGCTGCACTGCGAGTTCGAATCTGGCGAAGATTGATTCGAGAAGTTCGGAGCCGCCATTGACACTGCCAGCAAACATGGCGTGCAGTCCACAGAGTTTGAGGACGCATGTTGTGGCAAGACGTGAGTGTTGAAGCCAAGCGTGATTTCCATACGCAGCATGTAGAAACAAGTCGCGGTCCGCTAAGACGCGACGCTAAATTTCTGTCGCGAACTCACATGTTCAGGTCCATCACTCAGTAGACATAGGTAGTAAATTATTCATATTGTAATGTTGCAAACCTATCTTTTCCACACGTCAGCGAAAGAGCAAACTCCATGAATCTCACAAGCCCTGCAAACACTTTGCCAACTTCACTGTGTCAAGGTGGCTATCGTCATGACTTGCGGTAGTCGGGATTACATAAGGACACGGGCCCGTGCGAACTCTGCTGCAAGACCTGCCACCACAGCTCCTGTTTCTTTTCACGACACAACTACGCAAGGTACGTACATTGCGCTTCCCTATCAACAACACTCCCTTTTCTATGATGTTATCAAAAATTATAGCATGTATTATCTGACCGACGCTTCGGCGCCGGCCTGTGGAATCAATTTTTCCTGATCGAATACTCCCTTCGTTCTTTCGACATGAACTATTCTCCCGACGAGTGCTGACGAATGGTAGTAGTTGACATGGCCTCGAAAAAGGCTCCTACCGGGCACTTCTCGATTCTGTACTTCGCCGCTGCCTCTACATTCACGGGAAAGACCAGCGAGCACCTGCCTGCGCCTATCAAGGCCTGCGATTTGTTCGATACGCTCGAGGACCGGTATCCAGGCATCAAGGGAAAGGTTCTCGCTAGCTGTGCCGTGACAGTAGACCTAGAGTACATTGATATCAATGAGGGGGATGCTGCCGATCTTGAAAGGGTGATCCAGGAGGGCGACGAGGTCGCCATCATTCCTCCGGTAAGCTCTGGCTGAAACGCTGGAACTTGTGGTTTGCGAGACGATGGGCGGCATTGAGCTGCTATGAGACATGTGATTAGATAGCAATGTGGCATGCAATTTTCAATTCGTTGCCATGAAATGAAATGGCGTGCAAGCTCCGATGTCCACTCGATTCATCTATCTCGTAGTTGATAACCTGCAGTGCTTGGACGATGGTGGTGGTGCCCGCCTGTTGACAAGGACAGCTGGGGCGCCAAGCCTTCAAACTTTGGAGGAATGACTGCACAACTCAAGATGTTCTGCTGCGCAAGTTCGCGCAACGCTGTCTATCCATCCCCAACTTTTTTCCCAAGCGTCGCAACACGTGCAGGCGACCATCTAGGAGAGGACAGGCCTGCGGAAGACAGCTAGCGCGCGTTCACCTCCCGGCTGTCGTCTCAAGCCGCCGGCCACTCGAGCACCGACCCTCCGATAGTTGGGGAAAGACAGGTGAACAAAATGGCCGACCCTATCGATCCTCGACTGTACGCTTCCTCGATACCTCCCCAAAACCAGTCCTATCCCGCGCAGCCACCCAACAACGCCGGCCAACCCTACTACCTCTCCACGCCGACAAACCAGCAGCCCGCGCATCCATCGCAACCGCCGCTAGGTGCTGCGCTGGATCCAGCGCTCGAGCAGACGTCACCGAGAGGCCCCGAGCGGTCGCCCGACGAGGACGAGCATGGCGAAGATGGCGAGCACGATGGGTATGTCATGGCCGAAAAGTGGCATCAGCGACCATGATGTCACCTTGTATCGTCGAGCTGACCAAAATGTACAGTACCTTCACCACTCCCGGCTCCGCCAGAGCGCATGACGACAGCAAACGTCCCCGAGCATGTGACTCGTGTCGTGGGCTGAAAGTGCGCTGCGACCAGGACCATCCAGATGTATCATGCAAGCGATGTGCGAAGGCGGGCCGCCCATGCATCACGACTCCCCCAACCAGAAAACGCCAGAAGAAAGCCGACAGTAGGGTTGCCGAGCTCGAGCGCAAAATCGATGCCTTGACACAGACTCTCCATGCGCAGAAGTCAGGCACACCAGAACTGAGGCATGCTGGTGGCTTCCCACCGCACGAGGGTAACAACATTGCAGCAGGCATACCTGCAGGCTCCTATCGCTTTGGTTCAATTGGCCATGACTGGGCGGACTCGGCTCCCAGCGGGTACGCCGCTGCGCCACCAGGGTACGGGCCGGCACAGAACTTTCAGCGCAGCCCGGATGCGAAGAGAAGAAAGCTGGATGGAGACAGTCATGCAACAATCCCCGAAGACATGGACGCCATCCATCGTGATTTGATCGAATATCCGGATATGAAGCGGGGAGGCAAGAGCCGAATCAATTCTGACCACTCGCACATCAATGCGCTCATCGACAAATTGATGAGCACAGAGGTCGCGGAACGCATCTTCCTGCGTTATGTTCACGAAATCTGCCCCCATTTTCCTGCGGTACCTTTCCCACCAGGAACTACTGCGGCAGAAGTCCGTGAGAAGAAGCCATTGCTTTTCTTGTCGTTACTTGCTGGATCATCGCACGGAAGTGCACAGCCGTTGGTGTCCCAGGAGGTGCAGCGCGATTTGACCAAAGTGCTCAAGGACGCACTCGCCGACATCATATGGCGCAACGGCGAGAAGTCCCTGGAAATAGTCCAAACTCTCCAGGTAGCCGTGCTCTGGTATCGTCCACCCTTACACTTCGAGCAGCACAATTTCTACATGATGGTCAACTGCGCGGCTGTCATGGCTCTGGATCTTGGTCTAGGCCGGAAAGCGACACCCAACGTCATGAAGCTATCTATTGGCCCATTTCGTCGTTACCACCCGAACTCGAGTAGCATTGAGGCGCGGCGGACGTTTCTGGTGTGCTACTACCTTACCATGAGCATCACCATGGTATTGCGACGTCCTATCCTACTACGATGGACTAAATATATGGAAGAGAGCGTCAGATTACTCGAGACTTCGCCCGATGCCTTGCCGTCTGATAGACTGCTTTGCCAACAGGTCAAGATGGCTCACATTGGCGAGGACATATCGGTACAATTCTGCATGGATGATCCGTCGGCAGAAGTCATCATATCCGAGCCAAAGGTCATCTATGCTATGAAGATTTTCGAGAATGAGCTACAGCAACTGAAAGACGAAAATGCCAAACTTGGCGAAGTGGACCGTAAGGCTAATCCTGCTCTTTGTTATCGAGCTAACGTCTCTATAGCAACATTGCGGGTGGCGGAGCATGTCACAAATCTATATCTTCACGAAATCGCTTTGCACAGAGATCAAGGGTCTGCAGATCTGCAGCCACCGTTCAACGAGGATCCTCTCCTTTCTAGTCCTGGTGACCAGAAGCATGTTCCTATCGGCCCAGCTCATATCGGTGCCCTCGGCGAGTGTCTTAGATCCACGCACGGCATCCTAGATACTATCTTGAGTATACAACTGGACATCCTTTTGACCTTGCCAGTCATTTTTTGTAAGGGGAAATAATCATTGTTCGTTCCGTGAGCTGACGATGTGTTAGGTGTGCGTTCTATTTACGCCATCGTATGTCTTATGAAGATGTGGGTGTCCGTCTCTAGTTCTACAGAAATTGGCAACATCATCCGAAAGGAAGACCTTCAGATCGAGTCGTATACCGAGCGTATGGTATCCATGTTCAACGCAATCGTGTCTCGCGACGCGCAGTCCCCGCACGGCAAATTCTACTTCGTTGCGAAGCGACTGCAGGAGCGTTTTGCCCATATCAAAGAGGGCGCATTCAAGCCAGAACATGGACAGTCAGAACACCAGCCCCGACCACAGTCCAACGATGCGCATGGTCACATGTCTCGACATAACTCTGCCAACCAGACTCCATTGCACCTATTGTCTGAAGTCGCCATGGGGAGCAGCAACACAGCTGCGCCACAACAAGGCCACGGGCACTCGCACTCGCAACAACAAGCGCAAGCCGCCTTACAAGCTGCACACCAATCACAGCCACACATGCAACAAAACTGGTTCCCGGGCATGTCATCACAGCCTCTCGATGCGTCGGGCGTGCCTCAGGCTAACTTCGACGTGAACTTTGATTTCACGCAGTTCGACCTTGGCACGGGGTCTGATGCGGATTTGTCTGCACTGTTCATCCCCGACTCGATGATATGGGGCCAGCCGGTGCCGGATCAGAATTTGTCGGGATATAATGGCTTTTAGGACCGTGCTTGGGATCTTGGTAGTGATGCAGTGTAACGAGTAACGCATTGGCGCTTTTTAGGATCCTTTTACGATGCGTCCAAGTATTGAAAGAGGTGATTGCATTATTCCTGGGCGAAGATGAGTGAAACTCGTGACCCGTCTAGAGTGGATACGTGGGCATTCATGTATGATCTTCCTGCCATCTCGACACTTGTGCTCCTGCAGAAGTGAAGATATTATCATATGCCAGCACTATTCCAGTGTCGCATCTTACGACCTGCTTCCAATCTCTGCCAAGTGGATATACGCTCCAACTCCCTGCATCATCCCGAGACAAGTCTCTCCGCTCGAGTTCGGACTCAAATGCGCTCTAGGAGGCCCTGTATGACCCTTCTCGTCCACCACGGTACTGGCGGATGCTTGCCCTTCCAGCCGGAAATATGAAGCTCAATCAAGTGCCACAAGATACTCTTTCAACCCTCAAACTCCCTACTCCCCCCAACATCCCCCTCATTACTCACGCCATACGCATCCTCGAAGCTCGCCAACTTAACCCCCCACATATCCGCGCCCTCCCCAATATCCCGTTCCACCTCGTCCTCACCACCATCCCAAATCCCATCCCCAGCCCACCTAAACGCAAGCACAGCCCCATCCTTCAGCCCCGCTCCCTTCGGACAGTCCTGAATCCCACTGCTCTTGCCAGCTTTCGCCTTGCCCTTGCCCTTCCCCCCATCATCTTCGCTCTCCTCGGCGGCGGTCTCCCACTCGCCTAGCTGGAACCCTTGTTGCGCGTCGTGCGTATCGATGGGCCGGCCGAGTTGGATATCGGAGGGCGAGTCGGGGAGGGGGATTGATGCGCCGGTTTCGGGATCTTTGAGGCCTGTGTCGCTCAGTGCGGTGTAGAGTTGGGCTTTTATGGCGCTGAAGGTCTGCAGGGGGTCGACGTGTAGGAGGACAGTGGTCTTGCGGGATTTGAGGCGTAGGGTCCAGGTTTGGGGGGAGGGGACGGTCATTGTGGTTTTTTGGAGGCCGCGTCGCGCAAGGGCGTGAGGTGTTGGAGGTGATGTGAAAGACGGTGGGTGGAAGTGGCGAGTTCTGGTGGTTGACTCAAAGGAGGAGTTGATTGACGCGTCTTTTCAGTAGTGTAATAGTGTAACTAGTCGTTTAAGGAGCTTCGAGATCAGTCGACGCGTTGTCGGTGAATCTTGGTGGGGTACGTGGGGTAGCGCGACAAGTCGATCTTGACCTCGGAGTCTTGGCATGAAAGCTTCACTTCATCGGAGCTTTAGGGACATCGATTGGAAAGCGATTGCTCTCACAGCACTACGCAAGAGGAGAGGAGTAATTAAAAAAAAAGCCATTTAAGTCTTTTCGAGATCGGCTCGCTACTGCAGCTATCCTGAAAGCCAGGGATTTCGTGCGTACCAACACCATCCCCGAACATACCTCCGCAAGACCTCCGCCTTCGCTTTCGCGTTATCAACCTTCACCTCTACCACGCAACCTCCGTCTCAATCGCAACTTACACACCACCAACCACCATGTCCTCGAACCTCCCAACAGCCGACCCATCCCCCGAAATCGCCCTCCCACCCCGCCCCTCCCAAACCCCCACAAACTCCCCCCGCCTCGGCATGCCCTTCGACCGCCGCCTGCTCCTCACAACCTTCCTCTCCGGGCTCTGCGGCTTCACACTGGGCAGCACATCCGCCGGGCGCCTAGCCTCGCTGCGCTTCCGCGCCGAGAACGCGCACCGGCTCCCGATATCCCAGCCCGGCTGGTACCTGTACCACAAGTCGAAAAACTACTATAAATGGCGTGCCGGCATAACCGAGGGATTCCGCAAGGGCGGGCTCGTCGCGGCGTGGAGCAGCGTCTTCTTCATCGTCGAGGAGTCGCTGGACATCTTTCGGGGCACGTGGCGCGCGGGACGCAGTCTGAGCGAGATGGAGGGCGTCGACGAGCTGGATATTGCGCGCGTTGATCGCGGGGTCGGGAAGAGTAGGGATGCGTGGTCGAGTGCGGGTGCGGGCATGGTTACGGGCGGGTTGTGGAGTGCGTGGCATGGGTTTCCGGTTAGTACGGCGGGTCGCACGATTAGGATGGGCGTGCTGGGCGGGTTGGGGTTTGGGTTGGTGCAGGACGGGGTGAGGTGGGCGAAGGAAAGGTGGGGGGAAGAGGAGGGGGAGAGTTGGGTGAGGTTAGGGGCGAAGAATAGGCAGGGTGAGGGGGCATGAGCGGTGGGGAGGGCATTGTTCAATGTGCTGGAAGTACTACCGCGCTCGACGGGGATGTTAGCGAGCTGTTCCTCGTACGAAGCCGCAGCAAGAATCTGCGTGGGGAGATCGAGGTGAGGAGCACAGGTATTAAACCATGCCGTAACGCAGAGCAACGACCTCGATATACGTGGGGGTTGACTCGGGGGAACGACGAAGTATCAAGAGAGGACCATGATCTCTAGGACAAACGAACGCAAGAGGTTCAAGCTCAGAATCGCTCTGAAGCCACATAGTCATTTTCGTAGGGATATCATCACACGTACTTTGCATGTCATGCCACCCATCTATCCCTTATTCCACCCCTAATCCTTATCGAACCTGACCGCGGGCTGCTCCCTTATCCAGCTCAAATCGACCTTGTGCCCTAACAGCTCCCTGATATTGCTGACTCCATACTTCATCATAGTCGGCCTCTCCAGACTCAGCCCAAATCCGTAAACCCGCATGTCCCTCGGCAGTCCCATGGGCTCCAACATCTCCGGCCTAAACATACCGCTGTTGCCAATCTCCAACCACCTCTTCAGGCCCTTGTGGTATCCGAAGATCTCCATGGACGGCTCGGTGTAAGGGTTGTAAGCGGGCTTGAAGCGCAGATTCTCAATGCCCATGTTGCGGAAGAAGTCCTCGAGGAAGCGCTGCAGGCCGCCGAGCGTGAGGCCAAAGTCTGCAATCACGCCTTCGATCTGGTGGAACTCGGCGAGATGCGTGGCGTCGACGGTTTCGTTGCGGAAGACGCGGTCGATGGAGAAGTAGCGGGCGGGTCGCGGGTCTTCTGCGAGGCGGTGGAGGGCCCAGGTGGAGACGGCGGTGGTGTGTGTGCGTAGCACGAGGCGGAGTGACTCGTCTTCTGCCCATTGGTAGCGGTAGCCTATGGAGCCGAAGGCGCCTTCTTGGTGCACTTTCTTGACGTCGTTCCAGTACTTTTCAAAGTCGCGAGGCTTTTTTGCGCGCTTTTCGCTCTCTTCGGTTGCGAAGAGGCGTTTTGAGCCAGACTCCATGCGGTCCATGGTGGCCTCGTTGGCGGGGTCGGCGCGAGGCTTGTCGGCTTTAGGAGGGTCAGAGACGAAGAAGGTGTCTTGCATGTCGCGGGCGGGATGTTGTTGCGGTACAAAGAGGGCATCGAAGTTCCAGAAGCCGGTGTCGACGAAGCTGTGAGGCGTTAGCTGTGGCTTTGGATCCCAATGATTGTGCAACTTACTGTCCTGTTGGCATCTCGACGAAGCCTTGTGAGAAGAAGATGTTCCTGAATTCTTGCCTGACCTTGTTCAACGGGTGCAACGCGCCAGCATCCTGATTTGAGCCAAGGGCAGCGAAGTTGTATGGCTTGAAGTTGGCAGTCTCCCACGCACCGCTTGCCAAAAGGTCGACGGTCAAGTCGGTGTGCTCCACAGGCATCTCCTTTGCATATTTTGGACCCTTTGTAACGGTGTATGTGATGACTTTGAGGACTGTTGCAAGCTTCTTCTTCTTGAGGTCTGCGAGGAGCTTTGCGTCGGACACGGACTGTGTTTCTTGGATGTTCTTGAGCATCTCCCGAGTGGTGTCCTTGGGCTCCTCTGTAACCAGGAGCACAATCGAGTCGCCATCCTTCTTGATCCACTTATTCTTGTAGCCATTACCTACTCCCACGCTCGCTGATTGCGCGCCGACGATGTTCTGTTATACAAGTAAGCTTCAAGCACGTGCCTCGTCTTCGGTATCCTACGCACAGGTAATTCCTTGATCGAGACCTTCCCCGCCTCTTTGATCGCTTTCCAGACCTTGAACTCGTGGCTGCCAGTCTCGACGATAGCTTCTGACTCGGGTGTCAAAGTGACCTTATCCGAGTTTAGCGACTTGTATTCGACCATAGACCGGCTCGCTAGCCTGTCCAGCGCAGCCTTTATTTCAGCCTGTGGTATGGTGGGGAAGTCATCATTCGTCTGCAGCGTCTCTTTCGTGTCGAGCAAATCGAGAATTTCCTGCGTGAGATTTCGGTTCTGCGTCTCGAGCGGCACGGGCACCGGGCCCCGGGTTCCTGGCATTCTGGCAGTTGGGGTTGCTGTTCGGCGCGTTGCAGTGATGCAACTTCAAAACGTGGGGTCGCGATGAGTCGAATGTGGAAAGAACGGAAATGCGGTGCTCGGACCACCGAGCAACGCCATTGGCCAGAATGCTTGCGCGAGTGCAGTTGAAGGTATAGGTACCATTAGAGTATGTATTGTTTCTTTCGCCACGCGGATGCAGTCAATTTTGCTTCGTCTTTGCATACATTTATGAGACTACATTCGCCTACACATTAGCAAAGTCTGCAATTGGACGCAGAGAGATTCGATGTTAGCTCGAAGAGTGCTTCGTACGGCCGCGAAACCCTCAACGCTGAAGGGTGAAGTCCACTCTACGTCTGCTGCCAGATGTAGAGACACTGTACAGACTACGCAGTGGTAGTTCCGCGTTGCTCAAGCCAACGTGCGCTGCCAAACACACCTTGATTGTTGTCACGACAACGCATGCTCCCGAATACAGAGAGCTTTTGCAGTAGCACTTACAGCGTCACTGGCTTGGCTTTTAGTCTTTGTTTCAATGTACATGTCGAACTTTATCTGGTTCGACAGTTGCATGTGGGCTTCAGATAAGCAGCCAGATAACATGGAGAACACTCAGCTAAGCTATCCCTACCATGTGCGTCCAGCTCGAAGTAACCTACCGCGGATAACAGAGGCTAATCACTCCATTCCACTTCTACACGTGTATGCTGCTACGAGAATACTTAGCGACTCCAACCCTACCGGTCTTCATCCTCTGCTGGCACCGCTGCTGGGCTGCAAGCGGCATAGTTGTTTTTGGCGCCGAAACCAATGCAGCAAGTTTTCAGATGTCGAGCGAGCAGATGATCAAAAGTGCTGTCGCGCATTTATTGACCGAAGTAGCAGCGACGTGCAGCAGCGACCAAAATTTATTTCAGCCGCGCGATACTGTGGACTTATGAGGTCACCGGCGCGATTAACATCCGCACCTGGGGAGCAACCGACAGCGGTTACGCGTTAAATGTTTCAAACTCGTGGGTTTTGTATAGAGGTCGGCAGAGACCCACCGTCACCTCGGAGCTGACGACGTGTTTATGCGAATCGCAATAACATTGCTGCAACACGTGTTTGTACTGCAAGCACTGCAAGCACTGCGAAACGCTATGGGAATCGTCGCCCGTGGGCATGATGGTGACATGGGGCTTGGCGCCGATAAGGTGTTTGAGTGACAACAGATTGTCGTGTATTGATAAATGCCTCGCCTGGACGTCGCTGTTATTGATTCGGGCGTTGCTCGTTTGGCTGTCCGGGGTTACATCCGAGCGCGAATTTGGCAATCCATGCTGAAGCAGATGGCGGCTGGACAGACGTCATCGCCTGCAAACGACCAGCTGCTCCTGGGGGGTTTAGAGAAGCGGGCCGGTTTCTCCACGAGTCTTCGAGGGTGTATCAGAAACTGCTGGGAAACGACGAGCAACCTCGACTTATTATTATTAAAGTCTGCGCCGTTGGACTCGCATGCTGCCGACAGTGCGCCAATAATCGTGGTGGAGCTGGCGGCTGCTGTGCGACATGGCTTCTAGCTGGCGGGCATTATTTTTGGAGGGCCGACGATCTCGAATGGGCCAAATGGCGAGGCGAACCATTCCCTTTGCGTGGGAGGCCTGCCCGCGTCCCCAAGGCCGCGCGTTCTGGAGGCCGATCGCACCAATGGCAGCGCTTGGCATGCGTGCTGAATATGCCAAGGCGAGCTGCGAACCGGCCAGGGGCGATTCATCAATGGCAAAATGCGACCAGGGGAAAAAGCCATTCTCAGAATAGCGCCGCAGCCGCAACGGGATCATGGTTTCGACATGGATCGAGGGTGAGCGCGCTGAGCTGCGGAGGGTGAAGGGTTTGCCTCTACGTCAGGGTGAGACGATGCGACGATAGCGATAAGCGTCGCTCCGAGCACAGCATGAAGCTGCATGGTGTTGTTGAGGCGACGGCAGCGGAGAGTTGTGGTGGTGGATGCAGGGCGGCCGGGGGCTAAGTGCAGTGATAGCTGAGCACGGCTTGATTTGGCAGCGCCTCCAGCAGGCGATGCAATGCTGGGGGCCGACGAGGCCATGGTGCATCACCACAATTGCTGAAGGTCGACCGCGGCGCCGTCTTCACGTCTGTCAAGCGGCCGCGACTGTGCGACAGCCCAGAAGCTTCCAAGCTGCACGCTGCAATTCTCCTACGCGGAATCCGTTGGGATAAGTGCTCCAGAAGTTTTTTAGTGGGCCGAATCTGCTAGCGTCCAGAGCGGCAGGTGCGAGGCTAAGCTGGGCTGGGGCCGTAGGGGGATAACAGCCTTTCTGCTCACCACCCGCCGTCCCTGGTCTGTCCAGTCTTCCTCTCCAACGCCTTCGCCTTTGCGCGCTCCCAGTCTCTCACACACAGTCCCAGGGACAGCACACTCGTTTCACTCTCCTGTCGTCTCTCTGCCCCGCCTACACTGCTTCCCACACATCCGAGTCGAGTCCCGCACAGCAGAGGAGCCCCCGAAGCTGTCGACCGTCCTGCAGATGCGATAGGCAACACGCATCTGCCAGCACCGCACCGCAGTTCCCAGCACAACCCCCCGCACATCCACCGCCATGCCGTCGTCGCGTTTCGACCCGGGCAAGCTGTTCATCCGCACGCGCTTCAACTACGAAAAGGTGCCCGGCGCCGACAACAACAGAGGCGACGAGCCGCTGCCGCTCTTCAACGCAAAGTCATGGGGCCACAAGGTCCGCCAGCCCGCCTGGGCTAACCGCCTCCAGCGTCCGCGCATGTCTTTTGCGCGGCTCATCACCCTCGCCGTCACAATTGTCGTGCTGGTGTCCATGCTCGCCACGGGCATCTACCGGAGACACAAGTGGCACCAGCAATTACGGCACGGCGAGGCTGCGAAGCAGTACCACTGGGAGCACTATCCTCGGTAAGCCCCCACGACAGCTGCATCGTGCAACTGTGTGACTGACAGCTGCAGATTAAATGGCTTTTTCAACGGCGTCCGCACGCTCGTCCCGTACGGCGACTGGGTGTCCGAGCAGGACTACGTCAAGTACTCGCAGAGCCCCAACCCCGAGGACAACATCAAGCCCAAGTGGCCCGCCATGTCCAAGGACAACAAGGAGCCGCCCATGGACCCCCAGGTGTTCGACCCCTACAAGTTCGACTCGCCCGAGTACCTGAAGATGCACGACAAGGTCGAGACCTGCTACCTCGATGAGGAGGAGACGGTCGACCTGCCCGACATCTATGCCTACCCCGGACTCCCCCAGAACATGACTGCCCCCTTCTTCGGATCCTACGAGGAGCTCGGCATGGACGACAAGAAGTGCTTCGACCGCTTTGGTCGCTTCGGCCCCTACGGCTACTCGTACTCCCGCGACGAGGGCGGTCTCGACATGGCCGGCAAGTCGGAGAAGGCCGGTGCCGACAAGATCTGGAGCTACGAGAAGAAGGTCGACTGGCGCAAGGTCAGCTGGGCCCAGGCTCAGAAGAAGTGCCACGAGAAGAACAAGCACCGCTTCGACAAGAACGCCACCACGTCCGATGATGAGCCTGCAAAGAAGAAGCTCCCCCGCCACGCTTACATTCTCCGCACATGGACCGGCTACAAGTACAGCGACTACCAGATCCTCACCATCCGTGCCATGATCAACGAGCTGGCACTCAAGTCTGGCGGCCAGTACGACGTTCACTTCCTCCTTCACGTCAAGGACGACAGCCTGCCAATCTGGTCTTCCGAGGAAGTCTACCAGAAGGTCATCGAGGACAACCTTCCCAAGGAGTTTTGGGGCATGGCCACACTTTGGTCAGAGCAGCAGATGCGCATGTACTACCCCGAGCCCTTCCCCAACAACGTCTACAACCACGCAAAGGCCCCTGTTCACTCTGTCTACCGCAGCGCACATTTCGCTCTTCAATGGTTTTCGCAGGCTCGCCCCGAATACGACTTTTACTGGAACTGGGAAATGGATCTCCGTCTCACCGGTAACTACTTCGAGTTCCACAACTCCATCGGCGAGTGGGCCAAGAAGCAGCCACGCAAGGGTCTGTGGGAGCGTTCGTCGCGTTACTACATTCCCGAGCTGCACGGCTCGTGGAAGAACTTCACCGAGATGGTCGAGGAGGAGCTGTACAACAGCGACGAGAAGCCGGTCTGGGGCCCGCCCAAGTTCGAGAATACGGGCATGCTTCCCAGCCCACCTGAAGTGCAACCACCGCACTCGTACCTCCAGGACAACTACGAATGGGGTGTTGGCGAGGAGGCTGATATCATCACTTTCAACCCGATTTTCGACCCTGCGAAGACGAACTGGGTTTTCCGCGACGATGTGACCGGCTACGACCTCGAGCTCCCTGAGCCTCCACGACGATGCGCTATCATCACCGTCTCACGACTTTCGAAGAGGTTGCTTGACCTAATGCATCGCGAGACCTACCTAATGAAGCACCACATGTTCCCTGAAATGTGGCCTCCCACGGTCGCATTCCACCATGGACTGAAGGCCGTTTATGCCGCGCACCCTGTCCACTTTGACCACAACTGGCCATTGGAGGCCATCGACAACACCTTTAACAAACCACCGAAACCAACCGACAGCGTCTTCGGATGGGGTGAACACAATCAGCTGGGCAGCAGCTTTTACTACAACGCTGCGTTTGGTTCCGAATGGTGGCGCCGCTGGTTGGGCTCCCGCGAAAATGACAAGGGTGGCCCGGCAGCGGAAGAAGCCGGCACCGGCCGTCTTTGCATGCGCTCGACATTATTCCACCCTGTGAAATACGAAAAGGGCTCGGATTGATTCAGCACCACGTTTGCGCGATAATACTCTTTTTAATCAGCGTACCTCAGAGCGCCGAGTTGCGCCGATTCGAGCTACAGACCACCACATACTTTCGACTTTCCGCATATCCAGCGCTCCCCATATCCTTAGGACCGGCGCTTTTTTTCATCATCGGGCGGCGTTTCGAATCGGCGTTTTCACTTGCATCAAACACATGCATGGAATTGTATATTTGTCTGGAGCCCAGTCTCTTTTATGTTTCCTTTGCATTGAGCAGTATACCTTGGTCATCCTCACGCACAAAAGTCGACGGGATGTGTAATTAGCCGGCATCTGGCATCCGCTCCTTTTTCCGGTTGCAGCGCGCGAGCGGGGATCGATCCTATACACAGGAGGAGCAATGAAGCGAGAAGAGCAGTGTTGATAGTTTGAGCTTGGCTTGTTCTCCCGTTCATTTGGCAATGGGCGTTCCTTTTTAAACCAAGCATGCGGAAATGTGTAGACGATGGGAACTCTTGTTTTGGGAAATATTTCCTATGTGTTACTCAGTGCTGAATAGGCGCTGGTGTGAGGTTTTGGTTGTAGAATTATGAAATGCAATTAAAATAATTACAACTGCTTCTCCTGCGTGCACCAGCGAACATTCTGGATGTGATGCGCATTTTTACTCTGTATACATACCATTCGAATTTGAGATGAAGATATATATAAAGCTGTGTGTGCCGCCGCTCTGCATGCTTCTACACACATGAAAGGGTATTACGGCATAACGGCTGGTGTCTACTGTCAAATCCTGCAATGAGTTTGACCGGCTCTGTCGACTGAATGTTCGAACAATACGCAGTAATTTGATGGCGAATACACATCCAACAATTAACACTTGATGCTACCAACAGTATTGCAATTGTGGCTCTGGGAGGAGGCCTTGCAGGATCTAGATGCACCGGCAGAACGACCGTTGTACCGGGCCTTTGATCGTGCCTGTACGCTGATATGAGCTCGTGGATCGTACCTCCCCGTCTTACGTTATCATGTACCTTGACCTTCTTCACCTTTTCCTTGTCACCCGCAAACTCAATTTGCATCCCCCCAGAACGACGAGGCCCGCATGCTTTGCAGCCGATACGCCCACCCCCTGACTCTGCACTCCGGTATGAGTGCTTCACAGCACCAACAGAGCTTGACAGTAGCCCGCTACGATCGTCCTCTACCAATTTACGAGGCTTCGAGGAAGAAGCTTCAATAAGCTATCAACGATGAAGCCTGCGAGCTGCTTGAAGCTTAGCGCCCAAGCCGTGCCGCGATGATGCATGACCAGGTGGGATCGCCAGGCTGGGCGCGCCAATGCACAAAGGCGGAGATGGCATCGATGGAGCTTATGATAGCGCAGAGAGCCTCACTGACAGCGTTTGGTGTAGTGTTTTATTGTATACCGCATACCTAGAATTGACTGAAGCGTTGTCTTCCTGTTGTTTGCCTTTCCCGGCGCCAGAGTCAGTGCATCGCATCGCGTTTTCAGCATGTTACCACGATAACGAGCAGGCAAACGTCACCAGCAGCACCTTGTCAACAAGCTTCTCTCAAGCTCAATCCAACCATGAAGCTCCCCACTGAGCTCCTCTTCCTCGCATCTCTCCTCCTGTACCCCACAGCAAGCGCTCCAACGCCCTCGATCAATCGACGGTCCGCATCCTTCCCCTCTCTACGCGGCCTCACGGCTCTCGAACACGACTACTCCAATTCCGAAGCGTTCTCACATCCTACCAAATTCTTCCACGAATCGACGTTCAGCCACCACTACGATGGGCGCTTCGCATCGGCCGAGTTACCACACCACTCGCGGCAGTTCCACCTGCGACTGATGCTACGAGCATATACAGAAGCGATGGCGCGCATAGGCATAAGAACATGGCTCATGCACGGCTGTCTACTCGGATGGTGGTGGAACGCCAGACTCATGCCCTGGGACACGGATCTTGACTTCATGGTCGACGAGCCCGGCATCGACCAGCTCGGGAACTGGTGGAACATGACGATCCACCACTTCACCAGCGCTGAGCTCGATCTGCATACCGACCCCTCGCCAGACGCGGGCGTCCTGCTCGCCGACGACCAAGGCCTGAGCCTCAAGAAGCTGCAAGAAGACGTCATTCGCGTAGGCGGCAAGAAATACCTCTTGGAAATCAATCCACATGCCGCGAATGCGTCGACGAGAGACACCGAGAATGTTATTGATGCAAGATGGATCGACACCGCTACGGGTTTGTTCATCGACATAACTACCGTCCACATCCAACCTGTATCCATGGACCCCTACGCCGACGCAGCCTTGTTCAACACCGCCGACGACCAGGAACTCTATACCAAAGACCAGCACGCGTATTCCTCAAGCCAGATCTACCCCTTGCGCGAATCGAAGCTGGAAAATGTGTCCGTCAAGATTCCCTTCTTGTACGAGGAATTGCTGCTGGAGGAATACGGCAAGAAGGCGCTGACGCGGACGTGGTTCCATGGGTGGAAGTTTGATAAGGAGAGGATGCAGTGGATTATGGATGGCGCGGAGGAGGTGGTGACGAAGTATACGGGCGAGGGGTACAAGGGGAAGGGCAGGGAGAAGGAGTATATGAGGCTTGCAGGGGAGGAAGCTGAGGTTGGGTTGGATGATTTTAATGGGGTTTGAGGGAATGGATGGTATTGTGTGTTAGGTCAAAATGATCACTGAGACACGCTTTGGTACGATTGGATTTAGATAGGTGGTGAAGCTGGGCATTTTTGAGATGAAGCTGCGGGATTTCGGCTTCGAAAATGGGTGAAGATCTATTGAATGAAACACATACACATACTACACAATCAATTCTAAAGATATGAAATATTTTCAAATCCGTGCCCACGTTCGGTCGTTGCTTTTAGTATACGTACAGAGTAGGCGATGCATGTTAGCGTATCTAGAGCTTCCGTAGTATACGAGCGCTGGTTAGTGTGTTGCCTGTCTTAGTTCTCGGGTTTAGTCTGCTAGCACCGGCAGGAACTTTGCAAGTATCGGCCGTTGGCGATATGACCGTGTCTCCGACGTTCATTCTGACTGCGCCACTTCGGGTTTTGCATATACTTCTACCGCGCTCGGTGTTATTGTACAGCGGGGCGTAAGGACGCGATACGAATGTTGGAAATCTATTGGATGTCAAATGATGCGTTCCCCTCATGGGGCGTAGAAGGTTGCTGAAATGTCCTGTTAACTCCAGATTTCCCGAAAATGATGTCACGGGCTTCAGGGAGTGGGAGTCGCTTTTAAGTCTGGTGGATGATGTTGTCGGAATGTTCAGTGTATAAGTACGGGGCAAAGACGTCGTCATTCTATCTCTACATCTCAGTCGCATCATCCTTTCCATCTTCGCTACCAGAGCACAAGACTTCTTCTCCGCAGCTCTCCACGACATTTCCATACAACCACAACCAACATGTCCAAGCCTATCTTCGCAGTATTTGGTGCCACGGGCAATCAGGGAAACTCCGCCGCGAACTTCGTCCTCTCAGACCCAGAGCTATCCCAGTGCTATGCCGTGCGCGCCGTCTCCCGCGATACCTCAAATCCCAAAATGCAAGACCTCAAGTCAAAAGGTGCCTCACTCGCCCAAGCAGACCTCGACGACCCATCCTCCCTCCCCGCCGCCCTAACCGACGTCTCCTACCTCTTCTTCATCACGACGACGCAATACCAAGGCAACAGCCGCGAAATCGAAACACGACAAGCCAAATCCCTTTGCACCGCTGCCCTCGCCGCCGGCGTCAAATACATCATCTTCAGCTCCATGTCGCACCCATTCAAGATATCGGCCGGCGCGCTCAAACACGTCGAGCACTTTGACGCCAAGGCCGAAATCGAGCAGTACATTCGTAGTCTCCCCGTGCAATCGTCTTTCTTCGCGCCCGCATCCTTCATGCAAAACTTCACGACGTATTCCGGCCCGAAACCCGTCGGTGACGGCACGTACGCTATCTCCAACATCCTGCACCCCCATACCAAAGTCCCGTTCATCGACATCGCTGACACGGGGAAATGGATCGGCGCCATCCTGGCTGACCCTGAAAAATACAGTGGCAAGTTCTTCGCGGCGGGAGAGGGGTTGTACACTATGCCCCAGGCGTGCGAGCTGATGAGTAAGGTTAGCGGCAAGACGATTAGGTATCAGCAAGTGGAGGATGAGGTGTATAAGGGCTTCCTGACGCTGGTTATGCGCGAGCCGTATTATGAGATGTGGGTGCTGAATCGCGAGTATGGGTATTATGGGGAGGGGCAGGAGGAGTTGGTGGAGTGGGCGAAGGAGCAGGCGAGGGGGAGGGTGACGGGGTTGGAGGAGTGGTTGGTTAGGGAGAAGTTTGATTTGGAGTAGATGGTGAGATGGATGTGTGGGGATTATGTAGTGTGGCAGCAAGTGGAAATGGTATGATTGCTTCGCCTGTTGTTACTTTGTCGTGTGTAAGTGCTACACTTGTTGATTGTCCTTTTGATTTGGTGATTATTGTGGTTCTCAGACTTGAAGCTCCCTGTTAGCTGGGCGCATCAAGTACGACCATGAGATTGTTGTTCATACTCGAACTGATCAGACCATGCAAAGTTATGCAGCTTGAAAAGAACTCGCTACACCAAATCTGGTCCTAGCGCCACCAACATCGCACCTGCATCACCCGGGAGAGTGCCTTTATAGGCAGTGAGCTCGCCTCGTTGATGCTGACTCGCTTCCTCGACACAAATACACTTCACACCATGCGGCTTATCAACGCCCGCACCCTCGAAATCGTCGAGTTCCTTAGTGAAGGTCAGATCCCGCCCTTCGTGATCTTGTCGCATACTTGGGAAGACGAAGAGTGCACCTTGCAGCAGATGCAGGCGTCGAGTCACACAGAAATCTACAGGCGCAAAGGATACAAGAAGATACAGTCGTGCTGCAAGCAGGCTCTGAAAGATGGTTTCGAGTGGGCATGGATCGACACGTACGTTGACCAACGACTATGACCGGACATGAAGACTGATCAAGTATTTCAGTTGCTGCATTGACAAGACGAGTACGGCTGAGTTATCTGAAGCCATTAATTCGATGTTCCGGTGGTATCGCATAGCACAGATATGCTACGCCTTTTTAGCAGATGTCCATGACGTTACTCGGCTCGCAAGCAGTCGATGGTTCACGAGAGGTTGGACGCTCCAGGAACTGGTTGCACCATCGACTCTCTGGTTTTATGATTTCAACTGGCAGTTTCTCGGCTCAAAAGACGACCTTCGAAAAGAACTCGAAAAGATCACTAGCATCGACATCGATGTTCTTGCGAACGGAAGTATCGAGTCTATCAGCATAGCCAGACGGATGACCTGGGCGGCGAAACGACAAACAACCAGGATCGAAGACCAGGCTTACTCTTTGCTCGGTATCTTTGATGTCAATATGCCCTTACTCTACGGAGAGGGCAAAAAGGCTTTCAGAAGACTCCAAGAAGAAATTATGAAGATTTCAGACGATCAGTCCCTCTTCGCATGGGGCCTGCCTGATAGATGCAAAACTGCGCGGCAGCTTGTTGCGACATCCGCCCCATCCAACTTAGCAGATATGCATGGACTATTCGCCGACTCGCCCGCCGACTTTTCTTACACTGATCGCATTCATGTTTTAGGAGATTTCAATACTGCTCTACCTCCCTTGGTCACCAACAATGGTGTCCGAATAGAACTCCCGATTTTCACAGAAACACAGTCCCAGCTACACTTCGCCGTCATCTGTTGTACACTCGAAGGATGGTTTAAACATTATCTTGCTTTCCCCATGATTCCATGGAACAGCACGTGGCATGCACGTTGTGGAGAGCTTGTGCTCATCGCTGTCACTGATCTGGTTCCCACGTCCTCGAGCACGCCGTACGGTCGAACATCAGTAGTACGCATCAAATCGCCAACGGCCCCTATCACGGAATCCACCGTTTCGAATATCATCCGACTGGTTGATGTCGCGGATATCTACGGTCATCCGTATCAGTTGATTGACGTGCATTGCTCGGCACATGCAACGCATGACGTAATGCGTAATGAAATAAGATTGAACCAAGATAAAGATGGCTTGCACGCGGTGTTCGCCTACGATTCTACAACCATCGATCCGATGCTTATGTTCTCGAGTATCGGCTTCGACCGCCGCCTGAAAGCTAAGGCTGGCTCTAAGCTTCATATCACACACTCCGGGGACACTACAGTCGTGACGAGCCACGGCGAATCATCGCTAGATCGCTTCAAGTATTTCTATCGTCCTTTTGCCGTGCTAGTGGGTGGAACCATAAAAGATCCATGGGCCAAGACCATGCTCATCCTGAACGATGACAACCCAGACAGCGACTTCCATCAAATGTACAAAACCAGCGAAGATTTTGTGCGAAGCTGTATCACCAAGAAACAATTAGTTTCACTCGTCCAAGAAGAGAAGGCTGACAATCCGCTTTTACAACATCGGACTTATCACGACAGTCATCCGGTCTTGCATTGGGAATGGAACGGCCCAATAATGCATACAAGATCAGCTACCAAACGACTGCATGTCCACGCCAATGTTCAAACAGTCTCTGCAAACCTTGTAGAGCACAGTCTAGCTCTCTTCGTGGAGCTGAAGGACACGGAAATTTTCACGGAGACTGAAAGACCAACATGGTGGAGCTCTAATAGTGAAGGCTGAACAGCTACCTTACAAGGTGACTCTTTTACAATAATTGCTCCATCGCAATGCGTTTGTATATCGTGATGCTCTCATACACCTTGAATAGCGCTGATAGATCATCCCCCCATTACGTCCTATTTCCCCATTTGTAGCAGCGCTGGCGGCATAACAGATACACGTTTTTCAGAGGTGGTCAGTTTGATGTGCACGTTTCGCGCTTTCACCACTCTCCCCTCCAGTCGCGCGCCCCGTATGTCTCCCATCCCAACAGTTGGTAATAAATCTCATCGTCGATGCGAAAGTAACAGCTATACCAAACCTTCCACACCGACATCCACTGTCTCACTGTGGACAGCTTGCCCTGTGAGTCTGAACTCTATCTAGCCTACGTGTGCCGATGATTGTTCGCATCAGCATAGCAATTGGTCGGACTCGTTGCGTGACCCCTGATATGGGCTTCTTGACAGCGCTGTGGTGGCGTCTGGAACCAATGCTGAGCCAACAACGTGAGCGCTGTAAGAAGTGTGGCGCGAGGCACACACACTGTAATCGTCTCGCGATGATTCCGATGGGTCGGTCCCATGTGTTGCTGCGTTTTTGAAATGGAGAGTTCTTGCTGTCTCCAGAAAGTCTTTGTCATGAGATCACCGTGCAAGTGTACTCATCCGGGCCGCTTCTGTATACGCCATATCCTCAGTTGTGAAACAGGACCGTCTTCCTCTACAATTTTGGCTGGGTGGGCTGAATCAATCCGTCGCAAGTCGACATTCTGCATCGTGGAGTTGCTGCCGCGCCGCTGTGCTGATAGTGCACGTTGCTGAAGATCGTCTCTTTCGCATGACGCAACCTCTACACTACCCCTGGTCTTTGCCCTATCCTTTACATGTTTGACTCTTGGACAGAGCTGGATCGGCTGCGGTACAAGCTCGGCGAGCAGCTCAAGTGCTACGGAGACAGTGCAGGCATCACGGTGCTCGCCATGGGCAGTGACCCGCATGGTAGACTCAGCATTGCCCAAGAAAGCATGACGGTGCTCCTCATCCATCATCTTAAGCAGGAAGGGAATTTCCACACGGCCAAGAGGATCCTCGGTTGAATTGACAGGAGTCCGACGCATTTGGATCGCACGTTCCTGTAACCCGTCCATCAAGAGTTCGAACGCGGGACAAAAGTGTGAGAAGACATAGTCGTGCCCGAATATGTCGACTCCTAGTAGCTTGTAACCGTCCCAAGATTGGATCTCATCGTTGGCCAACATGGCGTGTTTGTCGAACCTCAGCCGTTTGGTGGTGAAGTCCAAGATTGTACTCGAACATGTTTGTGAATGCGAAGGCTCCGGTATGTATTGAGTATTGGCGAGGCCGAGACTCTGAGCGACAAGAAGAGCAGAGCATACACAAAGTGGCCCGTCCGAATGCATTAGCACTTCGTATGCGACACTGTCACTTGGTTGCTCGTAATCAACTCGCAACAGCTGGGAGTCGGAGCTGATTGATAGCAGTGAGTAGATACGATCGCGAGGTATTTCGCATAGACTGTCTCGAAACTTCTCCAGGAGACGGATCAATGGTTCATGGCGGAAGTTTGCGATGCCTCCCAGGAACTGTTCAAAACGGGTCATTCCACAATTGTGAAAGCTCCCAAAATCGACGTGATGAAACGTGTGTCGCGCGCTGAGAAGGTCGGTGAATTTGAACGATTCGCCACATAAGAGCACAACGATGGTCCGAGCCAGGAGAATCTCTTGGGCTATCCATGCCCGATACCAGTATTCGTTGTTGTACAAGCAAGTACCAAGGTTATTATGAGCCTCCCTGATGAAATCTAGAGATGCCGGCCATTGGTATCTCTGGTTCTTGACGTTCTTTAAGTGTTGCAGCCAAGGCGCCATCACAGCGCATTTCCCCAGCCACAAGTAAACAAGGAAAGCACCGGAATAGATGCGACCCATTTGCGCAATTTGATGATTTCGTTCAGAGACATTTTCTTGATCGATGCAGATGGCATCAATCCAGTAGAATGTCATTGGCATCCTTCGGACCATTTCCAGGAATTCGAAGAGGTTTCTCCGAATATAGAATGGCGCACCATTGATGTGGATTCGCATCTGATCTTCAATGGGTCCCCATCGGTACGAGAGACAGACATACGATGCGCGGTCTAGAGTAGAGTGGCTAACGTAGCACTGAATCGACCCGTCTGCTGAGAGTTCGGAATTGACGGTGACGAGACGAAGTGACGACTTTGTTTCGTCAAGTGGCTTATGTACGAAGGTTCTGACATCAGTCGATGCTGGGATCTGCTCTGACTTGCTTGGCGTGGAACGATTCAAGAGAGCGTTGACCCTCTTCATGGTCCCTTGGAAACTGAAGAACCCCGGTGTTTGTACATGAAGATTGTTGATTGTGCCATGCCGCGTGCAGCTGAGGAGCTGCTTCACGATAGCAGCAAGATCCCGGTCCTAGCCGGTTAAAACGAGCCGAAATGGGATTCAACGTTTCGGAGCGGTGAGATTAAATGCTCGCCATCTCATGAACAAGAAGCCTAGCATGACTAGATTTCGGTGTCATGTGCCTTGAAGTATCACAGGATATGACCTGCAATGTCGCGTAAATGGCCAGGAAGATACCACATAGGTATGTGGTCTTGGAATGTGGGGGCGGTTGTGATCGCCCGCGTTCTCAAGCGCGACCGCGAACTTCTGGCGCGTCACTTTCCTCCCTCTGTCTCCAGGCAAAGCCACCTGCGCCTTTCATCCTGGTGCATCTTCTAGACACCCACGACGTGATCGATTTTCGCTTTCTGCTGCGCATGCCTTCGCAATGATTGTTGCATGAGTAATGAGCTGGTCCAGGTCCTTTGGGGGCCGCAATCCTGTCGCACCCGAGGCGCCCCACGAGGCGCAGCTCTTCATACATGCATGCTGATTTCCAAACATCTATACAAGATACACAACACCTCTCGATTTGCTCAAGAACTAATCAAATACCATCGTCTGGCTGACGCGCAGGATGTTCTCGAAGTTCGCTGGAGCAGTATCTGGTGCAGGGTCGGAGAATGCAGCCAGAGATGAAGGAGCCTCGCTCAGCTCAGTCCTCGAGACACCGACGTTACGTTTAGAACTAGCACTCCTAGTTCTCCTCTGTATAGATACCATGCGGAGTGACCTGGTTGCTACTTTTGATTGGAACCAGACTCAAGAAACGAAACCACCGACCACTACTCGGTCACCACCACCGCTACCGAAGAACCCTTCCAACGACCTCATAAGCGTCGACGAGCCACAACACGAGAAACCAGTAGCCAGCGATGCCACGAGGGCTACATTTGGCAGGGAACACGATTCCATGCAGATGCAGGCTCTTAGAAGAAGTGCGCTCAACTTCTTCGATAAATGGCGTGGAGCGGTTATGCTTCGCATTTGTGACGTGCTTTCTGTACGAGGCGAGACTGTACGGCAAGCAAAAGCCAGAAGGAAGCAGAATTTGGACCAAGCGGAGAAGGAGAGACAAGGCACACCATCGCTGATCGATTTCGAGGAGGATCCTTTTGCGTCTCCAGCATGGACTGGAAAGGAGAAGCAATGCGGTCGCTACAATCCAATCAGGACAAGGCTTTTAGACCTCGAAGAGCCCAAGCGAGTCCTGATCCTTCACTGTCTTCTTCTGCTCTTGTTGAGTTTGGAATATTACCCAGCACATTCGAGGGTATTGCTCCTGAATCTTGCGAGCAGCTTCGAGCTGGAGACAGACGTCCTTGCTGAACATGAGAAGTCGGTTGCGCAAGGGCTTCTGGCTACGGCTGCGTCTCATATGGACGCCGATGCGACCGCCGCGAAACAAGCCTCCAACGATGCCGCGAGCCGAAAGTGGAAAGTTGGGCTTGCCGCTGTCGGTGGTGCTGTGCTCATCGGGGTAACTGGTGGTCTTGCGGCCCCTCTGCTTGCCGCCGGTCTGGGTAGTGTGATGGGTGGATTGGGTCTTGGTATTGTATCGACTTATCTAGGAGCGCTCGCCAGCAGTTCGGTGCTTGTAGGCTCATTGTTCGGTGCATATGGCGCGAAGATGACCGGGAAACTAATGGAGCAGTATGCACGAGAAGTTCAAGACTTCGAATTCATGCCTGTTCAAGGTATGTCTGGAGATTTTAATTCCATTCGAATTCCATGCTGACAAGATGCAGACCCTAAACGCCCGTCATTGCAGCGAGAACAGGAGTGGGCGGATGAGCAGGATGCCCGCGACCCAAGTAAACGGGCTCACCACCGTCTTCGTGTAGCCATCGGCATCAGCGGCTGGCTAAGCTCTTCGGCCGATGTCTACCAACCATGGGAGGTTATCGACGCTGAGACCACAGAACCGTTCGCCTTACGATTCGAGCTTGACGCCATGCTCCGTCTTGGCAATTCTCTGCAGGAAGTGCTGTTCAACTATGCATGGGATGGCCTGACATACACTGTTGTGAGCCGCACGTTACTCGGAGCACTGTACGCTGGTCTTTGGCCGCTTGGACTTATCAAAGTCGCCAGTGTTCTTGACAATCCTTTCAGTGTTGCTCTTGCGCGAGCAGATAAGGCTGGAAAGGTACTGGCGCATGCGCTCATCGATGGCGTGCAAGGCAAACGACCCGTGACCCTCATTGGCTTTTCTGTTGGCGCGCGCGTCATTCATGCGTGTCTTATCGAGCTCGCGGAGCAGCATGCTTTTGGACTCGTTGAGTCGGTCGTGTTGATGGGTACACCGGCACCATCCAACAGCGAGCAGTGGAGACAGATTCGATCTGTCGTCGCCGCTCGCGTAGTGAATGTTTACAGCACAGAGGACTATGTTCTTGGGTATCTTTATCGATCGACTAAGCTTGAGTTTGGTGTCTCGGGTCTTGAAGCGGTTCGAGACGTGCATGGCATTGAGAACATCGACATGAGCAAGCTCGTAAGTGGTCACGACCGCTACAAGTACCTGGCTGGCAAGATCCTCGTCAACATCGGGTTTGGCGATGTGAATTTTGACAAAGTTGCGGAGCAAGAACAGGCCCTGGAAGCTGCGGAGAGAAAGAAGCAACACGTTAAGGAAGAAGCAAAGAAGAGAGTCGAATCGGAGATAATATTCGAGGCACCTCCGCACAGCTCTTCAGGGTCTATACCCAACCTGATCGATGATGCGGATGAAGAAAAGCCTCCGTCTCCGACTCATGCGAACGCACAGCCTGCTCGACAAGCCCCAATAATATACACGCAAAGTCGATCGAGGCAGCAGCCAGCACGGCAAAGACCAATGATGGCACAAAATATGCCGACACAAGCTGCTACGCCAGAGGCTCCTCGAAACCCGCCCTCAACTGCCACGACGACATTAGATCCACTAGGTGCTACGGAACTTATTGAAAATTCCACGCACACGGTCAAGCAGCCTAGCTTCCCGACAGCCTCCGCCATGAAGAAACAGCAGATGCCATCGAAGCAAATATCAGAACCGTCAGCACAAGCGCAACCATTGCGAGTTCCAAAGCCCATACGGGTTGATAGCGTTGATGGCCCCATCAGGCTGATCGACTCGACGCCGGCCGCATCTTCGAACAACGTTTCGAGGGGTGCACAAAAGCCTGCAACTGCGGTCACTGTCACTGAGGTTCCTGTCCAACACGATGATGCGGAAAGTGAGATGGACTTTTGCGAAGACGACGAAAGCGAGATTGGCAGCGAATTTGGCGAGTTATCGATGGTCGAGCCTGTGCCGCTTGATGATTTCGACTACGGATTGATGTGAAGAACCGTACACGTAGCACTTCATACATCTTGCCAAATTTCAGCCTTTCTTTCCAAAGGCCTCCATCCGCAGCAAGAAAGTGTTCTACGGCAACTTAAAGCCGCCGGGTACCCTAGTTTGAAAGAAGCCGCTAGAGTCGTACTTGTCACTGACTGCTTGCAAAAGCTTGACGGTCACTGGCCCGTAGCTTTTGATGACATCTTCCGCCCTGTAGGCATAATTCATGAACCGATATCGCTTCCCTGAGCCTCTTTGTTATGCCAGGTCATTGATGACATTGACATCGTCTGTTGCGTCGGCGTAAACGCTGTCCAGAAGTGTGATGACCATGGGTCCATCATCCACTGACAGGCCCAGCGAATTAGGCCTGCGCGCAGCACTTTTCTGGAGCATATGTCTGGTGAGGGGCTTTAACACCATGGACAGTACGAGGCCAGGAACGGTCTTGATACTTTCGACCGTGTTGTCGTAAAGACTCTTCATGTCGATTATCAATTGCTTGTCCAGCCTGATGCTTGTGGTGAAGAACAACTGCCGGTCCCCATTTGTGCTAAAGTTTGACAGTTCTTTGGCGAACCCTAACAGCGAGTCCTCACGGAGAGTGTTGGCGAGCTGCGGCTGTAGAGCCGTGAAAGGTGCTAGGCTAGGTGGATTCGACGACGGCTTTGCATAGTACACATTTACCACGTCGACCGGACCGAGCGGACTATATGCAGTAGCAGCAATTACATGAGCATCGGGATCGGGTTCTGCGGCACTGGCAAAGTTGTAGAAGTCCTGGACGATACCGGCATAAGTTGCCGAAAGATAGTAGAAGGCACCTCCCCACGTTTTGCCTTGCAGGAATGCAGGCAGGTCAAATCGAGTGACGGTGCCGAAGGTATTCGTGCCGCCCTTCAGCGCGCAGAATAGGTCTGAATGGCTGTCCTTGTTGGCCTGCACAACGTCCCCACTAGACAGGACGACTTGGAAGTTGACCACATTGTCACAGACGAATCCTGTCGACTCGGAGAAATATGAGAAATCGCCTGCACGATATCAGCCGTTCAGAGCTACGACAGGATACAAGCTTGATTCATTGCCCCCTGAGGTCAAACCGGTGACTCCAACTTTGGATACGCGTCCGCTCACGACGGCAAGGCCCTGCTCTTCCAGAACCGTGTAGATACTCGCGTATACTTCATCGGCGGCGATAGAGACAACGTTTAGCGACAAGAGTGACGCCTGTGAGCCTACTCAAGCCGATAGTTACGCCACTCCCCATATTTGAAGCCCCAGCCCAAGGAGTATGACCCCCGCCGCGGATTGCAATATTGACGCCTGTCAGGGTGTTCTGAAGGTACTTGATGATGTCGACTACATCTTGAGCGACTTTGGGCACCAATACATACGCTGGCTGAAGCTCGTTCTCAAAGGCGAAAAAGTAAGACTTCGTGCTGTTTTCGTACTCCGGGGATGAAGATAAGTGGACCATCCGTGGGAAGGCTTTCGTAAGCGCGTTGCAGTCCATTCTGCGACTGAAAGATGCTGCAGCGGAGATCCAGCGAGTTCAGAAATTGTATGCCCTACATCCAGCTGTATCCAGCTATATTGAGCGGAGGTTGAAATGTGCACATTAAGTTATGTACTATCGAGTTGTGTGATCATGTAGCTCACGCAGGCAAGGCCCAGGCAATTCTTGGCATGCGTGAGAAACGGACGCTCCATACAACGGAGTACATATTGAACATGAGACTCACGCATCCAAGGCAGCCAGTGGTGTCCACTATGAGTTAGTTAGCGCCGTGCTTTAGACCTCCGCTGTCTAAGACAAGGAGGGATAGAGAGAGGCGAAAGCTGATCACAATTCTTTCGGATTCACCGATTCAACTCACACTGAGGTGTGATGGGATTGGGAAGTTGCTCCCGCGCCGCATGGCGGCATATACGACAGCCCTGCCTCAAAGGCGCCGCGAACGATATTGATTAACGGCTGGTGATGACTGCATAAGCGCCGACTGTCCAACGGTGTGTCAGCGTGCATGATGTAAGTATCGGGTGTATTGGTTACCCTAACAAGTCGGCCAGGCCAAACATGCTCATCAAGTGAAGTTCGCAACTAGGCCATGTAGAAGCATGCCGTCTGGTCAAGATGCGTCCGGAGATCGCCAACGCTTTTCGAATCCAATTAACTTAACACATGTGTAATTACCCAGCACCTCAATTGTAGCCTCATTTAACTGTACCAAGCATATGAAGCCGCGAATGGGAAAGTATGTGAAGAAATATGCAGTTGGTTGTTCTATTTGTATAGTGTGGAAGTGAATCCGAAAAGTACCTCCATCTAAATGTAGCGACTGTACCAAGAATAACCGTATGCTCCACTGAAGCTTAGCCCAACACGAAAACTGTAGAAATGCGCAATTGGGTATATGTATATATCGTCGTCATCATCGTCGTCTCAAAAGTCCACCCAACAAAACTCCTCAGAGCGTTCACATAACAACACATGCAACCCTCTTCTTCTTCCTCTCTTTCTCCCTCCCCATCGTCATCCGACTCGCCCTCCCACTTTCCCTTGGCGCCTCATACACCGGCTGATGCGCATATTGCTGCATATGTCCCAACGGCGGCGCACTCATCGGAAATCTTTGGCCCTGCATCTGTTCCGGCGGTATGAGTCTCGGCAATTCGCCCTGTCCACCCACTGGTCGTCGCATAGGCATGAGCACATGGGGCGCCGAACCGCGGCGCGGAGACATTGGATCGACGATAGGCGGCGGTCGTAGATCGATTGTGCTCTCGACGACGCGGCGGGAGCGGAGTGTTGGCCTGCGGAGGGGGTGTAATGATGGCGCCTGACCGGGAATTTGTGGTGCGGGAGATGGTCGGCGGATGGAACTTGAGGATCGAGGACTGGGGAATGTAGATGGGTGGATGAGGGAAGGGCGGCGGTCAGGAGTGGTGAGATTGGAGGATGAGATGGACTGGCTGCGGGAGTGGTATGGGCTGAGTTGGGGACGACTAAAATTTGCTGGGAGAGCAGGTACTGGTGGTATTGAGGACGCAGAAGAGCCGCGGCGTAGAATTGCAGGTGGGGCGTTGGGATGGCTGAGACTGACGCTGCCTGCTGCACGCGGCGGTTGCTGTGTAGGCTGGGGGTGGTGGAACCCAGTTGTCGGCGTCACTCTCGTGAGGGAGCTCTCGTCCGCCATCGGCACGGCGGTACTCGAGCGGTCTTAAGGGCAGGGCGCGCAGATGCCGACGGTTTGCGGGAGACACGGCTGCTACGGTGGCCGCTCGCGCCAAAGACATTTGAGACCTGGGCTGCTGGTTGTCGTAAGGTGCTTCGAAAGCAGCTTGTGCTTCCTCCGCTGTCAGTTCTTCGTCGTCCACAGCAGGCGGCGATGGTAATGGTTGGCGGATGGCGGTCGTCCTCGATCGTTGGACAGGAGTTGAGCCAGTTCTTGAGTTTCTCCGCGATGCGTCTCGTCGATCTTGTGCCTGCCGTTGCACTCTCGTTCTTGTCCGCACGAGCTCGACTTCACGCTCGAAGTCTATAGAGCCCTCTGGTAGCATTTCGCCGGGACACAGCGGTTCCAAATCGTACTCTTGCTTGATTGGCGTCGGTGCAGCGTCCCCAGCTGATCTCCTTTTATCAAAATCGAGGATAACGACTACGCCCTTGGAGCCCATCTGGCCACCCGGCACGTCGTTTTGGTTTGGAGCAATGCTAGAATTGCCAACTGCTAGAAGCCGCTGAACATTTGAATCGAGCCTGACCCACCGCAGTACGCATATTTCCTGAAGCGTATCCGGGCCGTCTGTGCGGATGGGAATGCAAAAGCATGGCTGTATAGGCGCCTCCGTCTTCGCCTTCTCACTCGGCTTGTATTCCCAGCCCGGCACTTCATAGATCCAGATGTTTGTTGTACCACGCATACGCAGGGCTACCGCAGCCAAATCGGCGTTTGGCGAGACGGCAGGCATCGCATCGTCGACAAACTCAGATCGCGTCCATCGCTGGTGGTCGGGCAGGAACATTTTGCGCTGGGTAAAACGCTGACATGCAATGTCGTAAATGCCCCACGAGTCCTCCTCAGCATTGAAGGCAAAGAAGCTCGTTAAATGTGCCCGTGTCTGCATCAGGAAGCAGCGTTGCCTGCCGTGCTATCCGTGCTGTCTCGGGAAAGAGCACCGAACCGGTCCAAGCGTTTTCTGGCGGCTGAGGGATAGGCTCGCCCTCCTCTGTCAAGGGCCCATCGTATAGTCCTGGCAGTACGAACAAAGCCGAGCCATCTGATTTGCGCGCATAGCCAGTGATGAGCAGCGTCCGTCCATCATCCGAGAATTCCAGTGCGTCGCCTGCGGGCCCATGCAGCGTGCGTCGCGCCGTCTCTGGTACGTCGGGTCCAATTGCCATGACCTCGATGCCGAATTTATTTCCAGTGATCAAGATACGTGCGTCCGGCGATATGACGACGGAGCTGGCCTCATGCACCAGCATGATAGTCCGTCTCTTCTTGATCTGGTCGTTTCCCTCGCCGTGAATCTCATACAGGTCGACTTGCGAGGGCCGAGAGAGTACGGCCAGTAGAAATCCATCTTCGGTGATGTCAATTGCCACGGGCTTGCGCTTGACCTGCAGCGTCCTTGCCCACAGCCGTGGCAGCTGTACCGTCTTGACCAGCCATATGTTCGACGCCGAGTATACCGCCACGAAGCTTCCCTTTCTCGACACGCTGAAGTCGAAACTATCCGGCAGTGCAGACGAGGAGGCCGTATTCGATACGAGTTCGAGGAGGGTAAGGCTTGGGTGCGCGTGCGTGGAGGCCGCAGTCGGACTCGAGGCGCTGGGTCGTTCATCGTAGGTGGTCGCGGACGTCATGGCCGTCGAGTGGCCCGATATGCCCGACGAAGAGAGCGTGTCTGCGTTGCCAATCGACGATGCAGACAGATGTGTACTGGTGTTCGCCTGCTCCCCGTCGCTCACAGAACTGGTGCGCGAACGCGAGCCGCACGCTGGCGCAGCGCTCCCTTCGAACGTCACACCCTTCCCTCTGACATTTGTACCGACAGCCAGATTACGTGCGCCGTCCTGGTCCGTTGGGCGTTCCACCATGTTGGAGGTCCTTGCCCACCAGCAGACGTCGGTCGGGTCTCGGTCACGAAGGCGTCGGGAGGTGTTATTGCCGCGGCATGTCGAATCGTTGATGGTGGTGATTGCGAGGAATCATGGCATTAAGGAGCGTCGAGGCTTCGGTAGTGGTTTGCGATGCTACATGCACGTCAATCAGCGTTACACCGGCTCGGCCACTATTTGCCGCTAACGCTGATCATTCCGCTCTCTACCCAGCATCGCAGCTATATTTAGCCGTTGCCCGTCACGTGTGCTCCACTTTGTTCTTCGATGCTCGTATTCCGTAAATCTCTACCGTTCCCATCCATGTCAGTGGCTCCAAAGCAATTTCTTCTCCTGACATGTGCGTCTAGCATGCTTTGCTGCAATCAACGCCAAACATGTTCTGCACTCCTCGAGGCCGAGTAAAGCACTTGTCCGCTGCCTCGGAACATCTGCACGAATAGACGGAGCTCGTGGCCCTAGTCAGCGCCTCGAGTGCGCCGGTTCGAGATCCCTGCTGCCTGCGAAACGCGGGGCAAAACATTGCGTTTCCTGAATGTCTTTAGGGCAACGCTTGCCGTGACGGTCTGGTGCGATAGGATGGAAAAGCTCTTGCCGTGCGTAAGGCATTCTCTTGTTGTAGCTTGTTGCATGCGCAGCCACAGCCGCATGCAGATGCAGCCTCCTTCAATTTCCACTATCGGTCCTCGAAAAGTCGACACGAACTCTGTACCATCACGGGCACACCCGACGATAAGCTTGCATTGCTGACTTTGCCCATAATAGTGATGACTGAATGGCGGTGAGCAATTGGTAAACGTAGGAAGACGTTGCCCAAGTGCCAAATCGTGGCCAGGCGATCATCGTGGCCATGTCTGCATGGCTCTACTAATCTCCCGTTCTTCCGCCAAAGCCTCATGCCTTTGTACCACTTCTTCTGGGCACCTGAAGTTGATGAAAAAAGGGATATGATGCAAAATCTCTCTGGCTGGTGGAAGCCCAGCGTCTGCCCTGGCCAGCCTGTGCTCTGCGTACTTTGCAAAGTATCGGATTGGATCCGACTTCTCGAACTCGCTCTTCAGAAGAGCATGCTCATCGACGGCTTCCTGCAGCGTGCTCGCGAGTATCCGTTGGTGATCAGATAGTTTCTGCGGCGTGTTCTTGAAAGCCTCGATAGCGTTGTCACGAATGTAGTTGCGCGTGGTTGGCAAGTCGTGAGGTAGGCTGTGCCATTGCTGCCAAAAAAGATCCGGGCCTTCAGCGAGGAGGTACCATGAAAGCCACGTTTTGCCCTTCCTGAGCTCTCTCTGGCCGTTGAAACCATTACTAGAGTCGAACACCCAAGGCAAGTGTTCATCACCAACGTTGGAGATGGAGGTGCTAAATGCAGACGAGAGCAGAGTGAACATGAGCTTATAGTCCTGGGCGTACTTATGCTCTAAGCGGGTAAAGTACTCTAGGCGCTTTTGCAGTACGGTATCCTCAACATGCTTCAACGCTTCGAGCTTGAAATGTGCAGGCCGGAACATCTTGGTTGCAAAGTCTCCAGGCGACATGCGTGTGCCTTTTCCGAGTGTGCCGTACTCTTGGCGGGAAATGTTAGATATATCACACAGAATCCTCCAGCCGCTGGCAACACGGGTGCGAATCTCATTGCCAAAAGGATCTTCCGCTGGTATACCATAACGAGATTGCAACCCCTTGTCCGCGAGGCGATGTCTGTCCACGAGTACCGAAGCCAGGTGTTCCGGAATAAGAGCCTTCAGTGAGCGAAACGTGAATGGTGTAACAGTGTCCACATATTTGGATAGCAAAAGATCACTGAGTAGAAATGTACATCGTGCGACATATGGCGCAATGGTCGTAATGTACTCATCGATGAGGTCGCGCGTCCTTGCACATGTCAATCGCAGGCTGAATAGCTCGTCGATCCGGCATTGTGCCAGCAACGAGTATGAGAATATCGTCAGGCAGATCAGTCAATGAATTGAGGGCGCCAAGTTGGCGTTGCGGTGGCTTTCGTCGGCTCAGTGACAGCATGTTATGACGGTCGTGAAGGATGTCTTGCGCTCGGCTAGAAACTAAATTAAAGAAAACGGTGCATGCTTGGATAAGCGACACAAGGAAGTGATTGGTTTCCGATGGCTCTGGGTTGTGCTTGCAGTATTCGTATGATTGACTTCGCAGGGTGGGGCACTCGGGATCCAAGGCCAATCTCTGGACTTCGCTATGATACAATGGCTATAGAGGGGCGCTTTGAAGGTGCGTTGTTCTGATGTATCGGGATGTTTATGACCCGCTCGCCTCATCGTTTCCTGATTCGGATGACTAGCGGCGGGCCGATTCCAGGTCCGCCCATGGATCTGGAACTTCGTCAAAACCCAGTGTCGATTCTCCTTCCACTTCAACATCATTGTCATGCATCTTGACCAGTTCTTCATAAAGTGTGAAGTGCGTCTTCTGAAAAACGCATATCATCAGGAATCCATGCTGCCAGGTTGATGAAGGATCGAGCGGATACCAATCCGTCTGCACCCTCCTCGTATTGAATCATGGCGATCGTCGAATGTCGCCTACCCCTGTCCTCATCACCATCCACCGGTACCGCAGCACGCAGCCTGGTGACATTTGCCGTCTATTGCCGACTCGTTTCAAAGCTTCATACTGAAGTCCAACTGAGCAGTCTTGTGTGATTGCCATCGAAGCAAGATATAACCATGGCCTGTTGCATGTTACCACGCTCATCACAGGTCGATTTGCCAACTATGGTGAATTCGATGTATAGGACATGTTCAGCCTTTCAACGTGGGCTTATCAATCCAACGCTAAGGGACACGATGAACGCCACATGCGCAAGGTGCGCGGGATTTGCTGTAATCCAACGGACCGACAGCCTCGTTAGGCAATCTGTACTCCCAGTGCGTCGCTTTGAGCCCAGCTGAAGGGCAGACATGCAGTCGAACCGCCGGCATACCCGCTCACTAGCCCCATGAGGGTGTGGCATATTCCCAAATTACTGACCGGTACCTGTTTGCTCAACATAGCCTCGTTTGGGACAAGCAGCATGAGCCCACCAGGTTGTAGGATCAGGCTTCGGCAATGACTAGGGATCCAGCCTTGTGACAGGTGCTTAAGTACTTGCGCAGTCCCGTCGCAGCCTCGCACTATTTCCCTGACATGATTCACAAGGTACCACACAAAATGCCTGGACGATATAGACTCGCGGCTTTTCATGCCCTTACCAGCTTTGCGCTTGCCATAGCTACTGACCCCGCTGACCCAACTATAACACCACCGGCAATCCTTCCAAGACAAGGAAATGATGCTCAATTCATAGGCTACATAGAGAGTAGCGGAACTTGTAGGTATTCTTAGGCTCTATCGATCCATCATACTGAATCTTGCTACAGGGTTCTCTGAGAGTTGCAACGCCGGCCTCACATGGTACCAGACTGGGCAATACGCACAGTGCTGTGCAGCCTCCCGCACTGCATGCTATGCTGCTACGGCCTGTGTTTCTGGCTCTTTGATCTGTGCGTGAAGTATATGTACGAATTGTATGTGAGACATACACTGACTTCGTACTCGAACATCTAGTCCCAATATCTGATCGATCTACCAGAGTAACCCTAGCCTGGTAAGTCCCAAGCCGTCTAGGAGTATACCACTGCTGACGACTTCAGCACTGAGAACTATGTCGACCAGTCAGCTTCGATATGCAATACAGCATTCATTTTCGAGAACTTTGGTGACTCGAATCCAAAGACCGATATCATTTGCGGTCCTTCGTCGGCAAACTACTCATACTACCGAAGGGTGCCCGCTTCTGTCACCCAGGGTTCGTCCCAAGCGCGTATGTTTCCGAATCAACCTTGATCGTCGAGAGAAACCCACTAACACCCCCACAGCACTCTCTATTCCCCAACCAAAGCCATCAGGCTTCGATTCACTCAGTACATCCGGCGATAGTGATAGCGGTGGAGGCTCCAAAGCTTGGATTGCGGGAGCTGTCATCGGACCCATCGTGGGTCTCGCACTCCTCGGTTTCCTCCTCTTTTGCTGCCTCCGGCGCAAGAAGAAGAACAAGCTCAAAGCATCCCAGGAAGGCACTGCTACCATGGCTCCGATCTACCCCCAGCCACCCGCCGGTGTAGCCGGACACACTGATGCGAAGCCCCAGCCAATGCAACAAAACCATTACGCCACCAATGCGTACCTTAACGCAGCCACAGCCGCTACACAAGGGACCTACTCTAGTGCACCTTCACCGCCGCCTACGCAGAATTATGTTGGCATGCCTCCACCGAATACTGGCGCACCATACAATGCTGCTAACGCACCATATAACGCTGGCACAGCGCCCTACAATGGTGGTGTCGCGCCTTATAATGCTGCCGCTGCCCCATACAACGCTCCCGTCAGCCCTCCGCCTCAGCAAACTCACTACGGCCTCGATGGGCAATCGAGTGGTGGAGGCAAAACTCAGGGGACGGCAGAGTTGGGTGGAGGTGCGGCTACAGCAAGCGGTACTGCGCCTTCTGAACTCCCGTCCGGTAAGACTACTTGGCTGGACGCAATTACTAGTTGAGACGAGAAAGGTGAACACCGATAAGCCGGTGTTATTCCTTGCTGGGTTGGTGAGAATAGTTACAGAAGGAATTCTGGGGCATGTCAAATGTCAAATCATTATTTTCAGCATTGAGAACATCTCAAGTTTTGTCCCGGAATGTATACAGAGTGTGACATCGAAGTTTGGGGTAAATGAGAACTTTGAGCAACACCACAAGTGTCGATTTTTGTCGTGAACGGATAAGCACATTTGCGTGAATATTATGAACGCTTATATTTATGGTATTAGCTTTATTATTTTTCGAGGTATGAGGTTCGTGACGTGCTGACGATAGGGCGTCGTTGATGCAAAGTTACAGACGGAAATATTTCCTCCGCACTGTTCCTTGCTGGGTAAGCGCGACGTATGGAACTTGATGACTAAGATCCACGCAATTACAACTCGAGCAGATGTTTTCAAATTGGTTGATTAAAAACATTGCCCTTTGATCATCCATGCAGGACGATAATCGAAAATTGAATTGCAATATTGCTCGTATATCGCTCGTCAAGACGTTGACTGATGGCATGGGCCTGCTTCTTACGAAAAGGGGAAGGCGCGAGACGGATGAACCGGCTGAGTTAAGCGCATCACCTCAGCTTCTGAAGCTGCGGCAAAGATACAGAACAGCAACGTCGAATACAATACGGTGAGCTCCACTCTGCCTTTCATCCTGTGCCAACCCACCTCCGCCCATATCTCGCCCTTTCGAATTAGGAGAGCTCTCAACCCAGACATGGCGCATTATTGTTCAGCACTTCGCAATGCTAATGCCGGCAGCAGGAGGCCTTCAAGATGGGCCGACACGCCAATCCAGACATAAGGCGCGCCTTTGTAAGATACACCAGTGATAGCATCTGGAAGCATACGCGACCCATGCTGACGTCCGAATACCAGGCCGAATTTCAAGACCAAGACACGCCTTCCAAATGTAACAAGGTGCGCTGCCTCCATTGCGGCTTCGTGCGCGCGAAGAACACGACGCGCCAGATCGAGCATCTTCAAGAATGCCAGTCCTACCTTGCCTCGCCGGACGCGCAGGCACATATGGCCCAGATGCAGCAACAGCAACAGCAACAGCAGAGTGCAGAAGCTATCGATACCACCATGTCGCAGGCCCCCAGCCAGATACTGAATGGACAGGCGCCGAATCCGAATCTACAGGTCCACCGGCGCGGTCCTAACACGAAGCGCACGAGGGACGGCAAGCCCATTGCGCCGAATCTGCCTATGCCGCCGCACCAGGCGCCGAGCTTGACTGCACATTTGCTTGCGACGTGTTCGCATCCGTTCACGCAGGCGACGCAGCAGCCATTCTTATCACATGCGGGTTGCGGATCCCTGGCTGCTGGCCCGCTGTCGCAATGGCTGGTGCAGGACGGGCATTATTCACGGGGCTACATACGGTTCGTAGGACAGCTGCTGGCCAAGATACGGTTACCGCAGACGCAGAACTCGCAGTTCCATCCCATGTACAGGACGATGGACCTGCTGATATCGGCCCTCAACAACATGCGACGCGAGATGCAGTTCTTTGAAATCACAGCAACCAAATATGGCCTCGTCCTCGGACAAGAAGGACCGACGCCCATTACGCGGGCGCTCCTCGACCTTTTTGTGAGCGCCAGTAGTTCGAGTGCGAGTCTGCTTGAAGGCATGGTAGTGTTATGGGGAACCGAGCACGTATGTGCCGGATTTGCCTTATGCATGCTCCTCGGCTGACCGTGATAGTGCTACCGTTCCGCCTGGCAATATGCCTCCTCGTTCAGCACCTCCATGTCCACTCCATCTGCCGACTCGCACATTGTTGCCCTCCACCAAGCCCTCATTCCCAACTGGACTTCACCCGCCTTCTCAAAGTTTGTCGATGCAACACGCGCGCTTGTAGATGAACTTGCGAACATCACAACTACGCGCGACGGCAAAGAAGAGATGGTGCGCTGCGAGGAGATCTTCCGACAGATCTGCTGGCTGGAAGAGCGCTTCTGGCCCGATGTCAATGGCATGGGCGAGGAAACCGAGACTGCAAGGCTTGGCCCGCAAAATGGCATAGGAACTATGGACAACGCAACTTTCAACGGACCCATCAGCCAAAACATGAACGGCCCAATGGGCAGCAGCACTATGGGCAGCCAGATGACCGGTCCTATGAATCCCAACGGCATGAACAACTCCATGGCAAATGCGATCAACAACGGACCCAGCATGAATGGTGCTATGAACGGTGGCATGCACAACTCACGAATCAACGGCAGTGATAGCGATAGCACTCCCGGACCCAACAGTAACAATGGCTTCACTCAGATGTCCCAAATAGCGCAAGGCTCGTAGAGCGGGCAATATGATGCCGTGAGGACCATTGACATGGTGTACAAAGAGGGATTCCTTTGGCTGACATTGGTTTGAATGAGGAGTTTGGAGCTGCAGGTCTAGGGCGTTCGAACGGGGATGGCTGGCTTGTTGTGGTGTTAAAAGGAGTATGGAGTTAGATTGTAACGCATGAAACTAGCGCGTTGAACATGGTCAGTCTAGTCTTACTCGGGGCTTCGCATAGATCCTTTGTTAAGACATGACGAGAAGCAGGTTATTGAAATAATGCATACTGTGGAGCATAGCCTCAGCACAAGTGTTCCGAGGTTGTGATTGAAGATCTGGAGCCGGTTCGACGCTTCGGGTTCAGGACTGATCACCAGAGGTGATTGACCTAGACACATGGGAGCTGCTCTGATTTTGCATATTCGAGAAGCTGGAGCCGGCCGGAACATCAATAGAGATTCCAGGTAACTCGATGATTCCCAAGAAGCCTAGTCAATGATGGTTGACTGTATTGTTGATGCCCGACATCGCGTGGCGAGTTTACAGGGTAGTTGAGTCGCCAGGTATTCGACTAGGGAGTAGCCCCGGACGGAGATCTCTTGAAGGCTTCTTCATTCATACAAAACAGTCAGTCTCGTGTATACTGTGGTCAACCTCGAGCAACTGATGAAGTGAAGTCTGGCATGCGTACTATGGGGTAAATCGAATACACGGTGGATGTGTACGCTATTAGTGCATGTGCATTTTGATGCACGCTTCCGCGGATGCATTTGTTAATCGGTCTGTACTCTCGCAGTGGCTGGCTGAGATCTAGAGCGATCTTTCTCGAATTGGGAGTACTCGGCTTTTTAGCTCAGAGATCTTGTGGATCGGTACTTCCACCAGGCCTCTAGTCAAGTAGATTCATGATCTAGACACGAAGCGTAGGTGATCTTTGAAAGACAGTTCAGCTGATAGCCCGCAGCAAGTCATGTATATATTAGTTCCACGAAGACTTGAACCTACTTCAAACTCTCCAGCAGGTCCTTCGTCGGCACAGACATCTGCGCATCATGTTGTTCCCCAAGTTCCTCATTCTGGGGGCTTCCGCCAGCGCAGTTGCTTCCACTATTCCATCTATTGACAACCAGCAGTGCAAAATTGTGAACCTTGTTGTCACTGCATTGCACAAAGAGGCCAAGGCTTCTTCATTTTGCTCTTCACTTGTGCCAGTATGCACTGCCTCCACAACAAGGACCATATTCTACACCAATAACGTTCGCCAGACATCCTCGAAACCAACCACGGTTACGAGTACTGTGACTGAGACTTCCACTACCACAAGTACGGATCTGACACTCGTGCCGTCTACGTCCACTGCTGAGGCTGTGACTACGACGACGACGGATGTGGTGTAAGTTTTAAACTCGGACTTGTTGTTAATTATGTTCATGTGCTGACACTGTCTTCAGAACTACGACTTCGCTCAGATGCGATCAGCAAGAGAAGAGGAACGCTCCAAAGACGAGCAAGGCACCACCAGTCCCGAAGGGCTGTGCCCAAGCTCCAGGCTTATTGAAGATCTTCCCATGCGAGCAGTTAGTCACTGCGTGCAAATGCCTCGCATTGCCAACAACAACGAAAACATTCACCGTCACGCAAACAACACAGACTACGGTTGTTAGCACTGTTGCGGATGTTAGCACGACGACTGTCACGCTCACTCAAGTTGCGATCATTACGGTAAGAAATTAGTGATCGAAGGTCTTCACGCGAGACATGCTCATTCAGTCCAGGCAACGCCCATCACGACCGTCACGCCAACGTCTACAAGCACCTTGGTCTCGACAACAACTATCGTATCATGCCGTAGGTCTACCATCCTCCCATCATCTTTTTACAATGAGCTAACACTTCTGATCACAGCTTGTACCTCACCCGGCTTGACAGACCTATGTGGCACCACATGCGTCAACCGCCAAACCGACCCCAACAACTGCGGCACATGCGGCAACACTGTAAGCTCCAACATCATCCCCATCCCACTCACCAACTAATCTAAACACCACTCAGTGTCCTTCCGGTACCTGCTCCAACGGCGCCTGCACCTCTCCATCCCTCGATTCCTGCCCCACCGCATCTCGCTGCAACGCACCCGTCACATGCCCCGGTAGCACCGGCTGCTACTGCCTGAAGACCTCCAGCGGCGTGAATCGCTGCGTGCAACTAAGCGGGTGCGCAAGTGTCGGGTGCACCGCTGATGCCGATTGTAGCGCGGGCAGATACTGCGTTGTCGATACGTGCTGTGGCGGGGGTGTGTGTTTGGCATATGCTAGCTGTCCTAACCCTGGGGTGCCGAGCCGGATGTTTAGAAAGAGAATGGTGGGTGAGGAGATGGAGGTTGATCCGCTGGATTCAGTAAGTGTTGAGTGGCGGGCTAAGAATGGGGAGAAGTAGAGGTTGGGGCATCTGGCTATGGAAGGACATGGAAAAAAGATTGCTTATTAGAGAACATGATTAAACAAGCTTTAGATCTTGCTCCAGGCTCAACTTGATAAAATTTGTACAAGAAGTATGGGATGAGCCAACGTAGGTGACCTAAGCTCTGTCCAATCTTCCCTCCATCGAACACTTTAAGCCCCTTTGCAAAACTCGCCTCCTCTAATCCTACCCCTTTCCCAAACTTCTCATACCTTTCTAGATCTCGCTCGCACAGCTGTTTTGTCGAACATTACATATCGCAGTCTACTATACGAGTCTAATCTTCGTTTTCCTGAACTCCAATACGTGATCAGGATGTTCCAAGTAGTAATCAAAAGAGGAGGCCCCAGAGCTTGAAGACTCACAACCACAACGACACTGAGGAACGATTCTTCTAGCTTCAACCATTTCTCTCATCCGCATCACGTTGTTGGCCTCTTCAAACGAGGAATTGCCCAAGCGACTCCATGTCAAAACACCCAGTCGTGTGTGCTCGCCACCCAGTTCAGCGTGCAGGACAAGCGCATGCACGTCTGTGAGACCAGCGGATGAGATACTGCCCAAGTCCATGAGGGGAACATGCGTCTCCTGGTTAGCAGATGCGTGCTGGGTTGGTCACAGGCGCTCATCGACCAAGCCAGCGAAGAGAGAAACGAGGTGTGAAGTTCGCCACACGAGTCTGTGCCGTCGTCAGAGGGAGCGGTGGTACTAACAGGTAAGCCCCAGAAATTGTAAATCGGTTGTTCTAGCTCTTTGAACGCTTCGTAGACTCCGAGGAACGCGTTGAGCGCATCTGATTCTTGGGAAAAGCGGCGATCGAGATACTCTTGGATGCGTGCTACGACTTCGTTGCTTGTCTTCCTGATGCTCTTTTGGGGGAACACGCACAGTGTGTGGATGGAATTTTTGAATCTGATGAGATCCTTTGTGTGCGCTTGTTCCAAGCGGAGCGGCGTCGATTCGCTGCAGTGCATGTTCCAGCATTGGAAGTATACCTGGCTTTCTGTGAAGACCAGGCGGCGTTTCGAAAGGAGGTTTTCCTGGTATGTCCACCCGCGCGTCGACCATCTGCACTTTTGAATATCGTGCTGGGCATCAGGAATACATGTCAATATGTGGCCATGTGTTTGCACAGAGGTTTGCGCCTTTCGATATCGGATCGTCACGCCCGGAAGGGTAGTGCCAAAGTCCGGGTCTTCCCCACAGCCTGCGATAATCGTCACGTATGCCGATCTATAGACTTTGTGCGTGTTCTGTAGCTGTGGAGCTTGGATCTCGCGAACTGATTGCGAGACACAATATCGGTCTACCCAAAGATAAGGGATGCCAAGTTCGCGGGCAACGTGAAGAGCATCTTCAATCACCAGTGCTGCAACTGGGGGTAGTTCGCTGGGGTTGTCTAGTGGGGCACCAGAAAGAGGGCCCCAGCAATAGCTCAATGCTACATATTGCAGGACAGCTTGATCAGGGGCGTTGATAATCGAGCGAGTCGCGCAGTCGATAAGCCAAAAGAAGGGAATCTTGTCGAGCGTCTGCATCCTAAAATCAGTCAGGTGATGCTCATTGCAGAACGTGAGCCATTCTCTTATTCTATCAAAGTCTACCGTCTTCTTCACCTGCGCCCAAGCCGATGATGCAGACACTCCACTCTCGTCGCCGAGCAGTGTTGGCGCGATCCAGCCCTGATATTTCTTCTTCAAAGAACTATCCTCAATGCAAAGACTGAGCAGGACTTTCCTCTCCGCAAACGTCGGACCAAACACGCTATCCATGTGGTGAATGTGCAATGAAAACTTGTCGGCAGCTGGCCAACTCCAACTCTGTACGCACATCTGCAGCAATACGCACAGCTTACACGAGGCTCCTCCAGACTCTCCTGACGAAAGCTGTAAAGTATGAATCTTTCGTGACTCGTTGTGCCGGCGTGATATCACCGTGTCTAGTTGTAGCGACCATGAGCCAGCCTATGCCCTGCGCATTTCTTAGCCTCAACTCGTCAGAATGCACTCTGAGAAAAAAGGTAGCCAAATTTTTTCCTGGAGGCTTTGGTTGCCGAGTGATCGTACCGTCATGCCTGGTTGATTGGCGATGGTATTTGATGTCGGTTGCTAAAGTCCGTACTTCGCCTGCACGTATACAGCCTGAATCCTCGAGTTAAGTTCTTATGTTGGCCAGTAATGTCTGTTCTTCTTTGCTCGCAAGGCATTTTCGGGTTGCAGCCTTTTCTGCGATCGTCGGTCTTCCTCTTTTGCGGTGATATGCTGTAGATCTAGCCATTGGCTTGCTCTCGCGTTCCTTGGACACCACGTTACCGTTTTTGACTGATAGATGTCGTCGCACATCACTCGAGAGATACTGAGTTCATGTTAGGCATTTGAGCATCCCCGTGTGTGGCGCAGTCAAAACTGCGTTCAAGTTGACTCCCTCCAGGCATCCATTCGACTGATCATCTCATCCCAGCAGACAGAATGCCCAAAAATCCTCCTGTATCTCCTAGCCCTTATGCCAAGTACCCCTGTTTCAAGGTCCTTCAAAGGCTTTCCGTCCGACGCAGCCTTGTCAAGCAGCTTACCAGCGCTTTGGCAATTAGGTAGGCGCTGTAAGTAGCTACCCGCTATTGTATTGTTCCACACTTTTACCAATTTTGTAGCTGCTGAGGTCATATGTATGCATGTGTGAGATATGTGAGAGAGGCAGGGGAACTGCTAGGTAATGGGATGAGGAAGTATTCATGTTGGTGAAAACGCTAGAGACCGAGAGCTTCTTTATGTGCCTGTGCTTCGATGGAATAGTACACATGAGATGTATTTCAAGGTGACAGTTGGTGTCGCTCGTTGTAAAAGGGAAGAGCTATGTACCGCACGGGACTTTCTCTTCTTACGGGCTCAAGTTTACCAGTGCATCAAAGCCCCAACTTACCAGATGGAAATCTACATTTTCTATTCCATCATCTCCTCCGAACACTCACCCACCGTCTCTCGATCGGAGTCGTGCACAAGATTGGTGCCATAGCACTGCCTAGTACGTGCCTGCATGGCGGGGATTTGTCTCTGGAACGTTGACGCTCAGAGATGTCCAAGGCAGCGCCCTATTGAACGAATCTTGCTGCCATCAACAGACGCATCGTACGTACCCGAACAGCAATGGACGAACATGGACCTTTCAAACATGTGCTTCAACTGATGGAAGTTCTGATCACGCCTTGGTTTTGGAGTGACCTTTGTGGTCGTGTGATGTCAGTCGTGGCTGAAATCTCTGAAGTGGCTGTGCAGCACAAATTCCAGCTGAGATGGTCATCTGTCCTGCCACATTTGACAGAAGGTGGTTCTAGGCGTGGCAGGGATTGGGGTGACTGTGTTGAATCACGCACGTTGATGATATCGATGTCTTCGGGCCTTCTCCAGGCACGCGATGTGGTTGAAGATGGTGATCAGATCGTCAATTTTGAGAGTTGTCGATAACGGCTGCAAGCTGCCATGATGATCGCAGTGACGACATGACGAGATTCATGAAGCTCTGCAGCACTTCACCGCCCTCCGACCGAGTAAATGTCCGTCAGCGGACCCTGATCGTCTTCATCCCGCGCGCGGAGTGCGGGGAGCAGTACCGAGAGCCAGTTGGGGTGTGTGCGCGGAGAAGGCGTGCAGGCATCCAGGTTCTTCGCCGTGGCCATCGATGCACAATGACCACAGCTCACAGGCACGCAGCCCAGTGTTGCCATGCCACGGATCGCGAAGCTTCGAATTGGTCGTCGGGGCCCACCGCAGTCGGAAACTGCGCTAGATTGTCGACTCGTTGGGACGATGACCTCACCGGAGTCTGTCGAAAGCGTGTGACAGGCGTAGGGGCGCAGCAGGGACCAGGTGGGGAGATGTTTAAGTCCAAAAGTGCCGCCTTCCGACACTAGACAGACCTCAGCAGCGTCTGACAGCCTTCGACTTCAACACACATTGCACGCTGTAGACACACTGTAGACACATAATAAATAATGGGCCGACGCAATAGATCGCCCTCCCCGCCGCCTCCCCCGCCCATGGGCCATCGTGAGTGAACCCCCCCCGCCGTACCTGAAGTGCGCCACTAACAGGGCAGCTGCAGAGCCGACATACCACTTTGAGAACTACGAGGACGGCAAGCCAAGATGGGCGCCCGGCACAGACAACCAGCGCGACTACCGCGACTATCGCGACAGCCGACGAGGAGACCACCGCCGCTCCAAGAAGAGAGACGCCTATGACGATGCTCCTCCTCCACGGCCTCCACCACCACCAGGCTACGGAGAGCCTCCACCACCTCCCCCTCCAGGCTATGGTGAGCAGCCTCCCCCACCACCCCCAGGATACGCTGCGGAACCGCCTCCCCCTCCTCCTGGAATGCAGCCGCCGCCTCCTCCACCAGGACATGGTACACAGACCCATATCTTCCACACGAGATGTGCTAACCCCTCGCAGATTCACGCTCCCACCGTCCCCGCCGACACCGCTCCTACTCGTCATCCTCCGAATCCGACCACCCACCCCCTCCCCGCCGCTCAAGTCGCCGCGAGGAACCCCGCCGCGACCGCAGGCGCGAACACGACTCATACGACTCATACGACGAGCACTACCCACCTCGCAGACGCGACGACGACCGGCGCCGCGACCGCGACGGCTACAAGAGCGACGACCGCCACAACCGACCTCCGCGCTACGATGGCCGCGATAAGCGCGACCGCCCCCGCTATGACGACCGCGATCGCCGCGACAGACCCCGCGATGAGCGTTACGACGACATGTTCAACTCGCGACGAGACCCGCGGCGCGACCCACGGTATGATGACCGCGGGGGGCGTGATCGCTACGATGACCGCAGGGGCGGGGGTCGCGCGGTAGGCAAGCCGGGGCAGCCTGAGTGGCAGCGCCAGGCCATGGGCATGTTCAAGGACTACGCGCTGCCGATTATCAAGAAGGAGGGGCAGAAGTACATTGCCAAGCAGATGAGCGGCTTTGGGCAGAAGCGCTGAGGCGAGCATTTACTCGACGTGTACCATGATCATTTGGAATTTGGCGTCTGTGGGTATACTCATTTGGCATTTGGAGCTGGGTACGATGATTCTCATTTAGCATTTATACATGGCTGTAGCTTTTTTTTTTCAATTAATGATTTCCTCATTTCGAGTCCGGATGCACCGATGGCTGTGACGTCATCTTACTGATCGTCACTTCTCTGATGAGAATTAAGCTTCCATATGCTTACTATGCACGTCATCTCCCGACACAAGGACCACGCCACTAATCTAGTTGAAGTCTGCTTGAACATGGGAAGATATGTCTAGCGTGTCATCACATGAAAGCACCGTCAAAGTACAGCAGAGCTCAAACGGGGAGTGAGCACGAAGGGTCAAGGAAGAGATAGACCGATCGTAGTAAGTAAAACCTACTAAATATAACATATGCAAAGTATACCAAAGAGATGCGGTTCGTAGCCCGCAATATATGTACCCGCTTACAACCAAACTTTCTGCTGGAAAAAATAATAATATAAAAAATCCCCAACGCTCTAAAATATAATGCACACCGTGTATAACTCCACCGACTCACTCAATCAATCAAGCACGACTGGATCCAACTCGTCCCCGGGAACTGGCTTCTAACCACTTCCCCTCCTCTCGCCCGGCGGCGGCCCAGGCACCATGACCTGGAACGCGCGCTCCCTGCCCAGTGGCACAGGCGCATACGGGCTGAAATGCGGCAGCGGCGCGGGAGCCAGTGGCGGCGGGCCATTGCGCAGGAGCTGTCCACTACTCTGTGGCCGCGAGGACGTGGGGCTCTGCGCACCGTATGGCGCAGGGTAGGACGGGGGTTGTTGGTGGAGAGGTGCGGGAGCGAGGGCGCGGGCGCCGTATTGTGGCGCTGGGCCAAGAGGTGGTGGGCCGGAGAAGGGGTATGCACCGCCCGAGGGCAGAGCGGCGAGCGGGGAGTATTGGAGCAGCGAGTGGGGGGCTTGTGGTGTTGCTGAGGCGAACATGTACATTGGGGAAGGCGCTGTGAGGGGTGGTGGGCCGTGGTGTGCGCTGTATGGATCAGGGGGAGGGTAGTGGTGGGGGGTGGTCTGGATAGTGTAGCGATGCACGCCGGGGAGGCTCGGCGGGTGTTGTTGATGATGCTGCTGCTGCGGATCCAGTCGATGCCCGTCCGCCTCGCCTTTCGTTGGAAGAGCCGGGTCTCGATTCTTCTTTCAATGGCGTGCCGTGCTTCTCGTCTTGCTCCTTCTTCCGCGCCTTGCGCTCCGCCCACCATATCGTCATTGATTGGCTCCGCTTCTCGCTCTTAACGCGAGGTTTCCGCCCGTGAACCTGATGCTGGACCTGGTTTCTTCCGCGTAGTTGTTTGTGTATTGGCTCAATGGCGCGGTGCTCATGTATGCATCGGCCATCTCTGGTTGTGATGCAGCCATCTCCTGTGACGCAGAAGGATGCGGCGTAGCTTGGAAGATCCCTTCAGCAGAGTTCGGGTGAATCGAAGCTGGTTCAGAAAGTGGCTGATCAAGTGTGAACTGACCTTGACCTTCACTCATAGATTGTAACGCTGGAGGCGGCGCATTGGGGCCATGAGCTGATGGTGCCGGCGCACTAGCTTCTCCAGGCTTCTTGCGCGGGCCCTTCTTGACACCATAGTCACTACGCCTCGCGACGTTCTTACTGCCGGCTGGGCGACCTCGCTTGACATTTGTGTCGGAATAGTCGTCTACCTCCATGGCCGAAGACTCTTCATCTCCGGAGCCGGTCGAGACAAGTGATGCCTCACGCATCTCTTGTATACGCTGGTGTAAGAGATTACTAGCTGCCGTTCTCGCTCGCTTGGTGGGTCTGCTCTCAGGCTCGGGAGTCTCGGATGCATTCTTCGAGAATCTGCTCACACCTTTCTTGCGTGCACCACCCCAACCATTGTGCTTCTTCGGTGTGTTTGTGCCTGTGCCAGCATCACTCCCGTCAAATTTGCGAGTGGCTCTTCGCTGGCGTTTTGCAGGTCGACCTTCGCCGTCTTCTTCATCCTCGTCCTCGCTTGCAGGCGCAGAATCGAGCATGTCACGATTCCGGCGCGTTCGAAGCTCTCTACCTCCACTCTTCTCAGCCCCTGGCCTCTGTCCCCATGGATCCTGGGCTTCAGGGTTTTTCTTCGGGTCGTAGTTGTATCCATACAGATCAGCTTCTTTCATCGCCTCGAACACATCTGTAGCAATTGGTATGCGCCCACCGTTGCACGCTTTCTTCGCGGGATGCATGTGAGGTGCCGTCTATATTTCTATTAGCATGTTCTAGTCGACAGCGTGATCAGTCTTACCCTAGCGTCTAACATCAGGTACTGGTCCTGCCAATGCTTGAGGATGTTTTGAGTGTTCTCTGCTAATGCATAAAGACTCTCCGTACTTCGCTGGGATACAGCAAATTTGGTGAGTGAAGCAATGACTTCTTGCACGTCGACCATAGGCTTGAACCGCTTCTGCAGAAGAAAATCGGCCCTATCTTCACAGTCTGCTTCAAGCGGCACGGGAGCACCTTCGATCCAGGGTTCAGGAAGATCGGAATCGGACAAGACATCATCCTCTGGGTTCAATAGTGCAGGGACAGCAAACTCAGCGGGCGTGGCATTGCGAGGTGTTTGCGTTGCGGATTTTGACAGTAACTGAACTTTCGGGACCGAAAGGGCTTTCGAAGCTTTCGAGCTTCTTGAGTTCTTGTTTGAGGGTCCATAATCTGGTTGGGATGCTGCTGAAGGTACGTACGTGCCGCCTAGGACAGAGTCTTGTAGTCCGTCAGGTGGCGAGCTCCCTGGCGTTGCAGAGGCTTTTTGCACAATCTGAATTTCTTCGTCCTCATCACTCTCATCATCTGCGATCGCGTTGTCGTTGTCATCATCGGAGTCGACAGCTTCGCCCATCGGTTCGTCGTTGGAACCCGAACTTGGCTTAGCGCGGTGAGTCCGCGACCCCTGATTGGCCGAATCATCATCTTCCTCTTCTGTAAGAGGATTCATGGGAGCAACGTTGCGAGACATCCTTGCTCGTACGGGCGATACTGCTCTGGCTGCACCGCCTCTTGGACGGCCTCCCCTTCCCCTTCCTCTGCCACGGCCACCTCGGCCACGGCCACCGCGTCCGCCACGACCGCGACCTCGTCCTCTAGGGGTTACCTGCGAAACGGGCGGCTCCTCAACTTCGCTCTCTTCTTCGCTCTCATCAGCAGTCTTTTCTTCTAATTCCGAATCTTGCTCATCATCTGAAGTATCTCCTGCTCGAGTAAGTGAAGAATTGAGACTTTTGCGCTCTTTTGGTAATTTTCCGTGATGTTTCTTCATTCTGTCGAAGAAGGAAGGCGGTAAGCCAAAAACCATGAGTAGAGGTTCTTCATATGAAGCATACACCTCAGGAGCGGCCTCGAAAGATCGACCAGAAATGTTAGATGCTGAGCGGGTAGTTTTCCTGGTTGTGGTAGGGCTGAGTTTGGTGGGACTTGATTTCTGAGGCGCAAAGTCTGGTTCCTCTGGTTTGAACGGGGCTGACTTTCCTCCCCGACCCGCCCGGGTTCGAACAGGTGTATCATCTTGCAGAGAATTGCGCCTCTGCGAAGACCGCGTTGGCTGGCCACGTGGAGTAGGCATCTACGCGGTGCGATGAATCTGGTTTTGATTCAAGGCGCAAGATGCGCCTGCGTGGAGCAATTGGGATGATGACTTTGTGTACGTTCCCGGGTCGGCGTAGCGCAGATGGCAAGTCTGTCAGGGTGACGAAAATGTGCATCCGCAAAGATGAATGGAAAGCTGGCGCAAGTTGACGGAGAGAGCGCAAAGTTGTGATAGAGGAATTAGTAGAAAAGAAGTAGTCGAAATGAAATAGTAAGGCCTGCGCCGCTGGGTGTGGTGATCTTTGTCTCGTGGTCGTGGCTGCTCCTGCAAAAGCGACTACAAGCACAGGGCAAGGCACCGCGCCAATGACAGGCATGCGCTAGTCTGCCTGGCCTACGGCTCCACAACAATGCATGACCTCTATTGTAGTGGTCGGTTGCACAGTACATTCACTTCCGCTCCCTGCCGTAGCTTTACCCAGTCCATTGCTCTTGTGAATCACCAATAGCTACTGCATTCTAGGCCAAGATGCCCCCCAAGACTGTCGAAGAACAGCTGGCGGAGCTTGAAATGGAGGCGCAAGCACCAGCTCCCCCGCCCAAGAAGGCAGCCAAAGCGTCACGACAACGATTCGAACAGGACACAGATGCACTTAAGGAGCTGGAGGAGCTCGAGGCCCTGGAGAAGTTCCAGCGCCCAGAAGTACCTCGCCCAGCAAGCCGGCCAGACACACCTAAGCTGTCATCGTCGACAGCCTCGAGCAACCGTCGCACAGCCGGCGTCGTGACCCCTTCCTCCACAGGCTCCGCCCGCACCAGTGAGGATAGGCCCGCGGTGCCGAGGAAGTCAGGAGAGAGCACTCGATCATTCCACCAGAGTTTTGCGCCGACTGAAGAAGAGCCCGCGAGGCCAGCACCACAGCCAGCGGAAGCCAAACCAGCTGGAGGGTCGTGGTGGGGAGGCGGCTGGGGAGGCATCATCTCACAGGCCACTGAAGCTGCCAATGCAGCAAAGAAGCAGGCGGAGGCAGCATACCAGGAACTCCAGAAGAACGAAGAAGCACAGCGATGGGCAGAGCAAGTGCGCGGCAACGTTGGCGCTCTGCGCAGCATCGGTAGGGATATGCTTCGAAGGATGCAATTGCACATGCTGACACTTTGCAGGCGGCGAGCTGGGCCAACGTGCCCTCCCGACCTTCTCCAACATTCTCCACACCCTCGCACCGCCCATATCGCAACATGAGCGCCTACAAATCCACATCACACACGATCTCATTGGCTACCCTTCCCTCGACCCCATCATCTACCAGACCTTCTCCTCGGTTATGGCCCAAGTTGAGGGCGGCGACTTGATGGTCATACAGCGAGGCTCCGAATCAACACAACGCAGCTCCGTAGAGGGATACAGAGGCGGCGGTGGCGGCTGGAACGACGGCCCCTGGTGGCGCGACACCGAGAAGCGGGACCTGAGTGTTGTAAATGGGCTTGCGGAAGGCACGAAACTAGTGCGAGTCAGCGCGGAGGCATATGCCAACGAGTTCTTTGCCGCAAGAGGCGGCGTTGAGCAAGCTGCACAGCAGGCAACCGAAGTGCTGAGCGAATCAAACCCCGTACGGAGCAGCGACATCTTCCTTGCGATACAAGCTGTGAGCTTCTCCGCGCAAGCTGGTCTCTTCGCAACTTCCTCGTCAGAAGAGAAGAAAGAAGTTGAGGAGCAGAAGGATGAGGACGGACAAGTTGCGTTTGCCATCTACCTGTACGACCCTATTCACGGTATCAGCTTCAAGGCTGTCAGCCAGTCCTTCCCAGCCAAGTGGGCTGAGTGGCTGGATGCGCCTGCGAACACTGAAGCAGCAGGTGAAGAGCCACAGCTGCCACAAGAAATTCAACAGATCATCGAAACTGGTGGTGTAGACCCTCGCGAATGGGTATCGGAATGGATGGAGGAGACACTCAACCTGAGCGTAGGTATAGTCGCCCAGCGATACGTTGCGCGAAGAATGGGTGTAGGCGAGGGAGGTCTAGGAAGAGGCAAAGCACGCGAAGCAGTTGTAGAAGCAGGCGGTGGTGAAGCTGCGCGAGCCGGTATCATCTGAAGAAGCTGATGAATCAATTATGCGGTGTTCTCATTGTTGGCGCAACGGAGTTGCTTAGGATATTGGGACTACATTCTCGCCTCTGGTATGGGGCTCTGAGACACAATGACAACCTTTTCATCGAGCATTGGTTTCCTTCCTCCGAGTCTGATCATGATCCGCCTATGCGATCCCATGTAAGGTAACACGATGTTTCTATCATGCCTTCTGGCTGCTTGTTCAGCGCAAACATCCATCTCATGCTCATAGCGTGTTGTTGTGGTCCTTCTCAGTCGCCGCAGTCGTATCGTTCGTAATGAGATTCGTGGGAATATCATGGATGTAATTCCTTCCTTCAGCGCGCCAGCATTATCAAAACGCAGCTCATTTCGTCTTCTTCGCCTCCTTCTTGTCCTTCTTTCCGCCCTTCAGCAACTCGAGATGCCCAGCCTTCTCTGCCATGAGTTTCTCGGTCTGTCCAATAAGGCCGGAAGAGCTCTTGTGCTTGATCTTGTTCTGCTGAATGAGCGAAGCCTTCTTCGGCTTGACTACACGTGCGCCAGGTCTTGTCTGCTGCTTCCTACTACCGTTAGCATCGCCTGTCCCAAGAAAGCGCGCACGAAAATCCCCGGCGCAAAGCCTGTTGAGACGGAAAAAACTCACTTCTTCGGCACCACGGGCTTAGACTTTGTCTTGATCGCACCTTGAGCCATTATGGAGTTCGGTACTTGTCAGACCGAGGCGTGCAGCGCAGCTAGATCGTGTGACGTGGTGGCAATGATCGGCTGGTTGGAACGCAATTTCTTGTTGCGCTTGCCTTGAACATTTCGCGATGCTTGGCATTGCCGCGCAGACTAAGCCGCGTTGGACCTAGCAGTTTGCGGGGGTGTTGGGGTGATTTACATTTAACCATTGCGTCTTCTCCCGACCCGCATTCTCTCCATGGGCCCGGAATCCCTCTTCCAGTCTCCGAAGACACTCCGCCTCCACTACCTTCACCAATGCATCTTCATGAAGCAATTCCTCGACCATGGGATAATTTGGTTGCATCAGACTTGCCCGGAAAAACTTCGCAAGTCCCTAATGGGCCTACAATGACTTCAAATATTTCCCCTTTTCGTCGTGCATTGGGATCGCCAAACCTGCGCTCTGCAGCACAATGAGGTCGCGTGGCGGGCCCCAGTTTAAACCGCATGACCTCAGGCCCACTACCAAGGTCTCGTTCTAGAAAAGTTGCTCCGTGAAGCGTACTGGTCAAGCTCGAGGACTTCTATTTAGCCATATTATTGCCGGTGCACAGTGCTAACGCCTCGTATCGATCAGCTTCGACCTGCATGAGTCGGTGTTAGGTGCCTGGAATTCAGGTGACAAGATACTAGCCATGCAAAGGGAAAGTGATGGTCACCAGCTAGCAGAGGAACGGGATAGCTTGGTGGATATTTGATGCATGTTGGAGTTTGTATATCTTTGCGGCATGTCCGCATGTGCAATTGAGAGTTAAGGCAGCTCCGACACTTCATCTTGGGACTTGAAATCGCCACCATGGAGTTTTTGTCTCGAACAGCAGTAGGCTTCTTGTCGCTATCAGTTGCCTTTGCTGGTACTGCTTCGGCGTTAGAGGCGTTCCGAAAGCCGACAGTCGCTTTCACTGCCGGAAACGGAACGCTTCTTGCTTCTCGCTCATCGCCAGTCCAGATTCACGCTGATGCAGCAGACTGGCCTGGTGTCCTCCGTGCCGCCCACGACCTTGCCGTCGACTTTGGACGCGTCACTGGCGTCAATGGCTCCCTTACAGCGGCCGGCACTGCGACCGCAAACTCGTCTGTGATCTTCAATGTCACCGGCATCAATGAAGATTGGAGCGTAGGATCCTCGAATGGAACCGGTTACGCAGTCTCAGGAGCAGGCACCATAATCGTGGGCACTATTGGAAACTCCAGCCTAATCGATGGCATGATCGCGAGCGGCCAGTTAGACGTCAGCGCCATCGAAGGAAAATGGGAGTCGTACATTAGCACTTTTGTAGACAATGTTGGAAACGGCACTGGTCCTGCTCTTGTTATTGCTGGTATGTCTCGAAAACCATGACAAAGCTCAGATACTAAGCCCATATAGGAAGCGATCGTCGAGGTGCGATTTACGGCATCTACGATGTATCCGAACAAATCGGTGTATCACCCTGGCACTGGATGGCCGACGTTCCTGTCAGGCCGCACGATTCTGTTTACGCTCTCAAGACCACGAAGACCCAGAAGACTCCCTCCGTGAAATACCGGGGATTTTTCATCAACGATGAGGCTCCTGCTTTAACCGGCTGGGCCAACAAGATCTACCCTAAATCGCCGTATGGTGTGGCCTTTGGAGCAGAATATTACTCTCACGTGTTCGAGCTGATCCTCCGATCGAAGGGTAACTACCTCTGGCCCGCCATGTGGAACGGCATGTTCAACGTTGACGATGCTCGCAATCAGCCTCTTGCTGATGAGTATGGTGTTGTCATGGGAACTTCCCACACCGAGCCCATGGTTCGTGCTACCCAGGAGTGGGCCAAGGTTGCGAAGGGCACTGAGAAAGGATGGTCTTGGGAGACGAACAACGAGACTCTATACGACTTCTTCACGGAGGGTGCAGTTCGCGCTCGTCCTTATGAGAATGTCGTCACTGTTGGTATGCGTGGTTACCACGACACTGCCGCATCTTCCGATGTCCGCACCAGCGTCCTTGAGGCCGTTGTCAATGCTCAAACCGAGATTCTTGACAAGGTCTACGGCAACGCATCAGAGGTCCCTCAGATGTGGTGCTTGTACAAGGAGGTCCAGGACTACTTTGAGGCCGGCATGAAGGTTCCAGACTGGGTCACCCTCCTCTGGACTGAAGACAACTGGCAAAATATCCGTCGTCTTCCTGTTGGAGACGAGAAGAAGCGATCCGGAGGTGCTGGTGTTTACTACCACTTCGACTATGTTGGCGACTCCCGCAATTACAAATGGCTCGACACTATCCAGCTTCAAAAGACATACGAGCAGATGAAGCTTGCTAAGGATCGCGAAGCCGACCGCATCTGGATCGTCAACGTTGGTGATATCAAGCCCAGCGAGATCGCGCTCAGCCATTGGTTCGACATTGCTTACGATATGGATGCTTACGACGAGACTTCCGTGCCTCAGTGGACCAAGGACTGGGCCACCCGTAACTTCGGCGAGGAGCATGCTGAGGAAATCGCCGAGATTGTCGACGAGTACGGCAGCTTGGCCAACATGCGCAAATTCGAGTGGGTCGAGCCATCGTCCTTCAGCATTCTCAACTACGAGGAAGCCGACGGCATTCTTGCTAGATGGCAGGATATTGCAACGAGGGCCCAGGCAATTGCCGATGCTCTTCCGCAGTCGTCGTACCCTGGCTACTACCAGACTGTTCTTCATCGTGTTCTTGCTGGTGCCAACTTCGTTGACCTCCAAATTGCTGGTGCAAGGAACATAATCTACGCTCAGATGGGCAGGAACAGTGCCAACAGGTGGATGCAACATGTTATTGATGCGATGAACAAGGACAACAACCTGACTAGGATTTACCATACTCTTCTCAACGGCAAGTGGGACCACATGATGGACCAGACCCATATTGGATACCAAGGATACTGGTGAGTAAACAAGTCTTCATTTGAGTTGTATTGAGAAATGCTAAGTTAGATCAGGCAACAACCTATGCGCCAGTCATCGCCAGATCTCCGCTATGTCCAAGTCCTTGAGCGTTCTCTTGCTGGCGACATGGGCGTTGCAGTCGAAGGTAGCAATGCCACCATTCCCGGAGATGACATGTGGCACGGCAATGGAGCTAACTCTCTCAACTTGCCCGCCATCACTCCCTTCACGCCCAAGCGCTGGATCGAAATCGCGTCCCGCGGCACCAGGACTTTCAGCTGGAACATCTCTGCCGATCCCTTCATCACACTCTCGCAGAAGTCTGGAACCATCGGCCCCAACGACCCAGACGTCCGTGTTTACATCGACGTCGACTTTAGCAAGCTCGAAGATGGCTTCGGCAAGAAGAGCACCATGAACTTTAGCTCTAGCACCGACTTCGGCACCGCCGGTAACAATCCCCAAGTCATGGTCCAAGTCAACAAGACCGCGATTCCATCCAACTTCACATCCGGCTTCGTCGAAAATGCCTGCCAAATTGCCATTGAAGCTGAGCACTACACGCGCACTTCTACCAAGGGCAATCTCTCATACATGGTCTTGCCAAAATATGGCCGCACTCTGTCCGCCGTAAAGCTCGCCAGCGGTCTCGCAGAGGGGCTCGATTCATCCAGCGCCCCTGCGCTCGAATACGACTTTTACACCTTCACGCCCACGACAAAAGAGAAGGGCCTCAACCTGACTCTCATCCTTTCTCCCAGCCTCAACGTCAACCCCAAGAAACCGCTCGCATACATCGCCAAGATCGACGACAAGCCCGAGGTCCGCCGCCAATACGTTATCGACCGCCCGCAGCCAGATTTCCCTGTGAACTGGGGCGTCGCGGTGGCAGACAATGCGTGGCGCAACACCACGAATCACGGCGCGTTAATGCCAGGAAAGCACACGCTGAAGCTGTGGCTGGTGGAGAGCAACGTCATTCTTCAGAAGGTTGTGATGGATCTGGGAGGCGTGGTGACGTCTCATAATGGACCGCCGGAGAGCTGGAGGGTGGGAATGGGCGGAAATTCAACGATGTTACGTAGATAGACGAAGCACTGTTAGAGAATAGACGTAATGTTTAGCAAACTTTTGAAGTGCATGAGAAGCAGTAGAGCGGTACAGCATTTGCACGATTTTAGTGTATTAAAGGTATCTGTCTTTGTTATGATTCATTCACTTCGTAGCGAGGGAGACCTGGGAGCGGACTCCGATCTCGACTCTAGTTATGGCTCATTGGCCAACAATCGCTACTCGTGCAGACACATACATCTGTATATCTAACACGAACTCGTCGTGGGAAACATCAAGAAAGCAAACCAGACCAGACGCCGCGATCCTGGGTATCTGACTCCAACGAAAAGCAAGAAGCTTCCAATCCATCCGCCGTGAAATATCTCAAACGTGAGCCTTCTTGGCCCGCTTGGCCTTGAGAGCGTGAACCACGTCCTCGCCGCCCTCGCCGCCCTCGCCGCCCTCGCCGCCCTCCTCGTCCTTCATCTCTGCCACGTTGCGCTTGAGCATAGTGCCCTTGCGCTTGTTTGAGTTCTTGTTGCTCGACGTGCGCATCTCCAGCTCGAATGGGTTGCCAATGGTAGTGTAGAAGCGCTCGGACTTGAGCAGATCTTCGCAAGTACGCTTTGAGTTGGTGAGGAGCTTGACCAGACCATTGAAGCGGTCTTCGAAGGTGCAGTACATTGTCTTCTGAACCTGGTCACGGAGCTTCTGGTCAAGCAGCTTCTTTGTCCAGCCCACAGTGTGGATGTGGATCATGGCGTCGATGATATCCCAAGCTGCGTTCTCCAGCTCTTCCTTGGTGTAATGAGTGGCATCGGCACCCCAGCGGTTGCGGAATACCGGGCGGGTAGAGACCTCTTTGCAACCCTCATTGTTGCGGAATGCGGCCACGATGCTCTTAACGCATGTATATTTCTCGTCATCGGTGGTGGGGATGGTTCGGTCGTTCTCCGGGGTCTTCCAGTACACACCCTCAAAGTATACTCGGGGGCCCCTGTGACCGACAAGAATGTTCTGTCCTAGCCTCTTTGCCAGGGTCTTCTCATTCGCCTGTTTCTTGATCACAAGGCTCGCTTTCCTCAGCTTGTTCGAAAGACTGACGTCCTCGTCTACCTCGTCCAACTCCGGTGACGCATGTTGGATGGCGTCGTTGTTCGTGGGCGGCTGTAACTCTTCATCAATCTCGTAATACCCGTCGACTTCGCTGTCATGATCAGCCGCGGCGAGCTCATATCGACCCCTGTGTAACTCGTTTGAGCTCTGTGAACCTCCAGGTGGGCGCCACATCGAATCCGGTGTCATGGCCGGAAAGGTCCTGTACACGTCAAAGTCGCGCTCGAGATCACTGTAGCCGCCCACAACGTAAGCATCGTAATAACCACTGATGTTGCTCTCGTGCTCGACCGGGAAGAATGCCTGGAAGGTTGGGGTCGCGGAGGCAGGGATCATGTTGGCGGTAGGTACCACGAATGCTGGAGCGGACGGGCGGAGAAGGCTAGGCTGGGTGGCGATGGGGTTGAATGATAAGGCTCCCGGATTGAGCATGCTAGGGTAGCTGTAGTTGGAGCCCTCGGCGAAGGAGCGGTTCTGTGAGAACTGCGACATGGTCGGACGCGTTCGCTGTATGTATTATGTTGACGGAGAGATTTGCAGCCGTAGTTGAATTGTATAAGGAACTTGTGAGACCGTAGAAAGTGCCAGAAAGGGGGGCTTTGACAGATGATGATGGCCCAAGAGGTTCGAGTAAAAGCTTGTACCAAGATGCAGAAAGGTCGCAGTCAAGATGCTGCAGGTAGTTTCGAAAGTCTACTGTGCGGCTAGCGCAAGCAACGGTCTTGGCAATATCAGAGGAGGATGTGGGGGGAGCTGCAATCTTGCTACTCTTGACAGTTACGTCACCCACTCCTCCAACTGACTACCGACCGCCGTGTTGCGAGCGGGCGAGGAGCCAAATCAACACGACTACCCCCCAGGAGCAGCTGCCAGCGACGAGTACAGAGCGAAGCCCCCTCCCTTGTCGAGCCCGTATGGCACGGCGTTGGCCTCGTTTGGTTGTTGTTATGGCACATGTCGACCTTTTTATCACCCGCGCTCCTCAAGTACGACAAGCGCAGGATGCGCTATCCCTACCGATTGGGAAGGGACACATGTTGAGACAACCAGGCGTTAAGAACTCCATAAATGGGAAGCTTGAGTGTTTCGCCATTTGGTACATTTGGCGCGTCTTGCCGGTGGGCAAATCCGGTCGCGACACGCGCGTTATTATCGGTAGCCTTCGGTCCTGCCACCTTGCGCATCGTTCGCTTGCTGCGCTGAAGATGGACTACCCATCTCAGTAGTCCTTTGTATGAGATGATGGAGTCATGAAGTTGCGCAATGTCCAAGGGACTAGCTCTTCCTCCTCTTTCTACAGGACCATGGATTGAATGAGGCGCACCTCAGGCGAAGCTCCGCGACTCACGTGAGCGAACAGCGTTGCTGAAGGGTTTTACCCTGAGCATGCTGTCCTCCAGTCACATATGGCCCTGGGAGAACAAGCCATCAAAGCTGTGCAGAGCCTTCGACATGGTCTTGTTGGAGGCAAGCTACACAGCGTTGGTCGAATTTCAATCACACGCTACGTACCTCTAGAATACAGAGATGTAGACACGACTAGGCTCGGCGAGAGTGTGATGCAGATATAGTACGAAGTCATCAAGCAGGCTCTCTGCCTACTGACTCAATCCACGTACTATTAGGCATCAGCATCGTGAACCGCATATCTCAGAGTTGATACAAACCTAGTGAACATGGCGAAACCGAATCGTTCGGTGCATGCTGGCACACAGAGGAGTGCTTCCTACGATGCGCCAACAACTTCAGAGAAGCAGGTATAGAGCAGAACCAATGGAACGTAACCTGAACTGCATCTTGGCATCACAGGTAGTGTGGGTATATGTAGAAGCTGATTTGTGTGGAAAGCGGAGGAGGTGACGTTTGAAAGAAGTGTGATCGGTGCACGCGCTAGGAAGTGGGGATCAAAAACGTCAGCCTTGGGAAGCCTCCTGACGTTCCCCATTCCGCACCCTTCACAGCCTGAGAGCCCGCTTCGTTCGTACTTCTTGCTCCAGGCTTCGGTTTTTTTAAGTGCTTCTGCCGGAAGTGATCGCTGAGGCTGCGAAAAGTCGTCAGCCATGCGGGAAAGGCTAGATGTCATACCCCTCGCCTGCGGCCCACTTGATGCTCATGGGAAGATAGAAGTCTGCTATTAACTTTGCATTCGCCAAAACCCATCTCTTTTGTATTCGCCACGGGCTCCGTCGGGTGTCTTACGCCGTCGAATCGAGCATCTTCTGGTGTCCGCCCATAATGGATTTCTCAAGTTGCGCCACACAGGAGATCAAGGCATCGATAGGGTGCTCCAAGCCCAAGCTCGAGTTCGTGCCAGCTTCGGTGTTTGTCTCGCTTGTCTTCTTTTCCAATGTGTAGTCCACAACCTCTGGCAAGCGCCAACCCCCATGTTCTATTTGATGTTTTTTGCTGTGGCGAGGCCCCGGAGCCGCAGACGGAAAATCGTGCAGCGTTCGGTACGTCGACCAAGTGAGCCGCTTGTTCTTGGTGTAGAAACCTCGATTCGTAGCAGATTGCCTGCATTGATGGTCAGCACTATCGATGTAGGTGTAAGCGGCTGTCCGACTTTCTCAGTTCATCCTACCTAATTACTGTCTTCGCGGATGCCTGGAAGACCTCCCATGCTGGTGTCTGCGTAAATTAGATTAATGCTTAGCATGCGCGTAGAATGGAAAGCTACCTGCGGCATAGTTCGATACAGCTGTTGAAGATTCTCCTAGACCATGGCCATAATTATTGTCATGCTGCTGTTGGCGGTGACTCGATTGAAGTGCGGCCCTGCAGCGCCAGCCAGCTCCGCGTCGACAGGCTCGTGGGTGTTGTTGAAGAAGAAGTACAGACCGAAGTCGAAGAGACCACCGAGGATGGGCTCGCCGGCAGCGGTAAACTGCTTGTCCTCGAGATGCCAGCCCCGGACGTGTGCAATGAGTGTGACGAGTGTTCAGTCGGCCCGCGGCTTGCCAGTGGGACTGTGAGGTGTGAAAAACTGTTCTGGTCTCTCCTTGAATAGAAAGCGTGTATTTGCACGAGCTGCGTCGTACGTGTAGAAGTCTGGCATGAGAGGGGCGCTGTACGCTGTTCCTATGCCTAGCGCTCTGACTGGATCGGTGAATTTTGTTTGCATGCAGCTAACATGCGGTCCCTCCAGCCATTGTAAATATGTCAATGGAAAGCAACGTGACGTGACGGCGCTTCACTGGAAAGAAACAGTCGGTGTCCTTGTCCTTCAATCGCAGCTTGCTATTCTACGAGAGTCTCAATTCACCATGCTGGCTGCGCTTGACGCCGGTCTCTACCTATATAGCTTTCACTCCCCGAGGACATGCCACACTTTCTCCCGTGCGATAAACCGACTAGTATTTACCTAGCTGAATCATACCGGCTTCTTCGACCTGCGGGTAAGACAGTGTACTGTTAAGGTTGTTGTGGAAACAACGCTAACACCACTGAGCAATAGGCCTTTTTCTCACGCAAGCTATTTCCTCCAATTCACCCCACCGTCGACTTCATCCACCATCGAATAATCGACTTCCAAATGTTGTCAACCACCGTTGACACTCCTCCGCGCGAGCCGACCGCGCAGACTGGTGCACCCGACATCCCTATACCTCCAGCCTCTCCTGCTATCAACACCTGCATGCCCGCACCCATGTTCGGTTCTCCCCCTCCATGCGAGTCGATCTCAAGAAATCAGGCTCTTACAATTGAGAAGAGTGTATCCTCTCCTTCTGTGGAGCCTGCTCTGACCATTCCTACTGCAGCCACTCGAGGTCCCGTCATACCACCAATCATCAAGCTCGGGCGGTCCAAAGGCGCGCAGGTTCTCGACAGGCTCTATACCCCAAACTCCGACGGCCTCTTCTTTCATAGCTTCTCCAGTGCTACCGCAGCTATGACGATGGGATCCTGGCAGTCACCCCATAGTGATGACACCATCCCCAATACCGAAGAGGAAGACCGGGAAGTTGTCCGCCGCTTGTTCGATGCCTTCATGGACCTCAGTGGCGCCTTGGACACCCCGGACAACGCTTATCGCAAGCGCTTTACTCCAGGTTCTACCGTCTTCTATAAGCCGTGGACGGTCGAGCGCTGCGCGTGGGACGTCCTCGTAAGTCAAACACTGCATGAAATGATAATGAGGACTTTTTGCTGACTTGACACAGAACAAGGTCAAGACTATACACCAATGGGGCTTCATCACGCCTATCACCGACGTCGATATTCTCAAGCAAATTGGCCAGACAGAGAACTGGACGTTTGAAGAGCGCATTAGCATGATCTGTCGCGTTCTGAAGGTATTTTCAATAATCACTCTTAACACTAATGCATTACTAATCATAAAACAAAGCTAAGCAAGTCTATTGCTGTGTCTCTCATGGTATGTTATGCTCTATTTCGCCATAGGAACAAGGCTAATTCCAAGGCAGAAGCAGGAGAAGGTATGGACGGTCATTGGCGCCCCGCACAAACTTCATAACAGCAGCGTGGTGAACAACAAGTCAAATGAGGACCGAAACAAGTGGGTCAAGACTGGAAGGGCAGAGGAGAAGAGCAAGAAGCGCAAGACGCTTCATGAGGAGGCAGATGAAGAGATTGTAAGCGCTGCAGAGCTGCTCATGAGCTTTTCAAAGGCCTAAAGCACCACTCGTACATAGTGTCTCCAAAGGCACTATTTGCCCCTAAAAAGAGCGGAGTACATAGATAAATGTGATGAGTCATGCCGGTTTGACTTCTTCTATCATAAAACCTTAATCATCCTTCATCTACAGCAGCACACTAAGTCTTAGTGCAAAGATGCATTTAACTTTTAATGAAATGCACCTGCATACTAACAATCACTAGAAATGTCTAGTTTGATTACCTGTATTACGCTTCATAAGTTGCTAACCATGCAACCTATCAAATCATTCCAGGCTCGCATCTGACATTAAGTTTGTCTGATCAACAGGGACAACTGTAGGTATTTACTTGTGTATCATCCTACTCTCGCCCTTCACTGAAGAAACGAAAGTAGTCAGATCGATGTATTGATGTAATAATGTTCACACTGATCTGGCCTATCAAATTAGTCCAGGCTCGCGTCTGGGATTGAACATTGTTTGATTCATAGAGAAACCTGTAGGTCCTCCTCTGTATATCATCCTGCTCGCACATCACGGAAGACATGAGATTAAGCCAGGTGATATATCAAAATACCACTGTTTGGACTGGTTTGGTGCGATGCCTACAGTTTAGGTCTCTCTCCTGTAAAATCTCTTCACCTTGGCGAATATACCAGGCTTCTTCGTCTCATTCCGACGGCCTTGAACTTGCACGGGCTGTCCATCAACACCCGTGTTTGTGACTGCATTCTGTTGCTTTCCGAGATAGTAGTCTGGCATGCAGATCGAGAGTATCACCGGGACGACGTTGAGAACGATGGCAGCGATGAATATGATGCCGTTCACACGCGTGTATGCGCGCACAGCACTCTGGCGGATCGGATCTTGCCAGTCATACTTGGTCCGTAACGTCTTGATACTGCCGTAAATCGTTTGAATGGTCTTTTCTGGGACGCTAGGCATCTCTTCGCGCATGTACGGAAGCATGTGCTCTGTCCAGATCGATGCCGCGATGGTGTAGCCTACTGAAGACGCAAGCGTACTCCACAAGGATGTGATGGCGATTGCGGATGACAGATCCTCGTGTGGCACGGAGGCTTGAGCGCCAACTCGCGCGCCGATGACGGTGAACGCACCGCAACCCAGGAGGAGTTGTGACATTACAAGAGCAGCAGTAGATTGTGTACTTCTCAAATCGCTCGTCATCTGAATGCAGGTGCCAATGAGCTTGAGTACAGCGCCAAGTACCATGAGCGACTTGTAGCGATGGCTGTAGCGATGAATGAGGCCGCCCAGTAAACCGAAGATGCATAGCACGAGTGTTGTGGTATTGAGGAATGTGTTCCAGGAGTAGTTGGACCATTCTTTGATGATGTAAACGTAAGACGAGAAGTAGTTGTTTCTTGTTGCACTCGCCATTTGGTTGAACACGTTGACGAGCAATGCACAGATAAATGCTCGATTGCGGAAGATGCGCCGAGTCATGATTGGTTTCGGCGCGAAGAAGATTTCGAAGGCGGCGAAGAATCCAAGTACCACGAAGCCGGTGACGATCATTGCGATCATGCTCGGATTGCTCCATCCTCCATTGGCAGTCTTTGTAAGGTTGAACGACAACAGCACGAGTGAGAAGCCGACGCCAAGCAGTATCAGGCCAGCAAGATCGATGTCGATGATGCCGCGGTATGCGAGATTGAGATAGTCTTTTCCGGTGCGAACCTTAATGCCTTCTCTGCGTGCCATGCCAGCTTCGCCAAAAGATATAGCGCCTAGCTTGTCCGCCCTTCTCTGAACCCCATACAGGGTGAAAATTGCGGGTATCAGGAGCACCGGCATCATAATGGCGAACATGCCTAATCCCCAACGCCAGTGATCCGGAATCATGGCGTCCGCAATGAAGCCGTTGATAAAGACAGTGATGATGAACGGAGCACTGAGCATTGAGGACCAGAAAGCGCGCCACTCCAGTGGTGTCAAATCAGCAACGATGATGTCGCCCAAAAGGTCAAGACCCGATTTACCAAAGGCAGTGAACGATATGCCGATAATGTAGGCGCCGATGCTTTTACAGGTTGCTGCAATCACGAAGCCGATTACGTAGAAGACAAGTACCACAACGTAGGTTGTTGGTCGACTTGTGATGTCGCTCAGCTTGCCGATGAATGGTTTCGATATAGCTCGGATAATGCTGGAAGCGGTGTTGACTGCTCCAATTTCAGCGTGGTGCGAGAAAGCAGATGCTGCTATGACTGTGAACTGTGAGGTGATGCCTTGATCAAGAGCATAACCAAACATGGTAAGGCCGATGGACGCGGCAAGGATGAAGAGCAGCGTGCGGCCGCTTTTGCCGGAGTGGTAGAGGACATGGCTGAAGCGTTCGACCTTCTTCACACCAGGGGTTTCCGATTCAATCGGGCGTTTTTGAGGGTCCTTCTCGAAATCATCCTTGGCTTGAACGATGGCGTCAGCTTTGCGCTGGTCGCTGGATGGTAAAGAGGTATCTGCGGCAGTTGGGCGGTGAAGATGAGATTTCTTTTGAAGTCATATCGGGACAATCAACACTGCCCCGAAAAGGCACACAGTTGATCTAAACAACACGAAATCTACGAAGTAAAAGAGAAGGGTGCATCAAGGCTTACAAGAGGGTCACAGAAATATCTGAACCCGGCTTTTCGGCAACCTGTATCCTCTTCCAGACCTAACAGAACACCTTTGCGCCTATCAAATTCCATGCACATTCGGATACTAGCTTCAATCGCTCCGAATACCGAGATTTTATTGTCAGGCAAGCAGCCCAGTCTTGATCAAGATAAGATTAGATCAAATTCTCCGCTTGGCTGTCGATCACCCCACTTACACAAGTACGCATTACTGGTAATATCGTGCTTCCATCTTATCAAGTTTCCGAGCTCGGAGTGTACGCCGTGAGCTAGGCATGACTGCTTGATAAAATATATAACGAACGGCGAGGTGGCGGTGGTGTTCTCGCGATGGTGCAAGGTTGATGGTGCGATTGAGTTCTGACGTTCACGCCACCCAACAATCGACCCCACATTCTAATCTCCCGCAGAGCCACACAAGGTAGCAGAGCATAATTTGTTGTAAAAAAAAGCCAACACAAAGGATATTTGTAGCAGGAATATAGGAAATATGGCTGAAAAATATCGCACGTACGCGATACCACATCCTCAGTGGAAAGACGTGGGTCTCTCTCCCAGGAACGGCTCCGTAATGCTGTTTCGGCCTAGGCCTTCGCTGACCATGAGTAGTTCCCTAACAATCTGCCGCCGAACACACGTGTTGACCGTATGACTCGAGACCGTATTTCGATTGATCCAGATCCAGCTCTAGATATCTTCGAAATTACGGTCAAGACTCAGCATACCGTTCGCATTTACCGGCGCAAAGATGCATCAATCCTGCCACTGTTCGTGTACCAACATGGCGGAGGTTTCGTGACCGGTGGATTGGAGACCGATGACAAGACGTGCCGCGCAATTGCCAAAAGATGCAGCATTTGTGTCTTGAGTATCGAGTATCGCCTCGCACCTGAGCATCCCTTTCCAGTTGGCTTCGAAGATTGTTGGGAGGTTTTGAGCTGGGCAAGCACCAAGGAAGCAGAAGTGCAGCTCAATTTCGACTTGAAAAAAGGTTTTCTAGTTGGTGGCACATCAGCTGGAGCAAACTTCACTGCTGGCTTGGCGCACCGTTACCATCACTCTCCTCCGTCTCCATCCTCTGCCCCGATAACAGGCTTGGCCTTCTGGGCCGGATCGTGGTGCCACCCAGACGTTCGTCCAGCACATCTTAAGCCTTACATCTTCTCCGTTGACGAGATAGATGACGCTCCAGGACTAACCAAGTCTTCGATTGATTACTTTTGGAAGAAGTATGGAGCACCAAAGGACGATGTCAGGTACTCTCCTTTACTCCACGAAGAGGCGGAGTGGAAAGGAGTGGCCAATAAGGTGTACTTTGCTATATGTGGCTGGGATCCAAGACGTGACGAGGCGATTCTATTTGCAGACATGCTGAGAAAACAAGGGCTAGATGTGAAGAACAAGGTGTATTCAGGTTTGTCACATGGTTTCTGGACCACGTGCCCTGAGTTACCAATTAGTGAGGAGTGGGAACAAGACACGTTGGCAGGTATTGAGTGGATACTTCAATGAACCACTCGCTCACGATGACTTTATATTGTACATCGCACAATCTGGCACTGACGTCGAATCAGCCATATACAGGTAATGATGGAAGTACTGTATTTCACTTATGCATAGGTCACCTCCGCCAGCTCAGCTTAACCGGGTATAAAGGCATCTCGTTAGCGCGTGTATAAGCTTCCTCTTTTCTTCTTGCAAGCTATTTACTACGGTGTATCACTGCAGTATATACACTCACGATAATACTCAACCGCACCACAACTCGAATCATTCAACGACACACACCAAGCAACAAGCACGATGTCTGGTCATTCCGGCGGTACTGTTACTGTGGTTTACAACTGCTTCCATTGCGGTCACTCAAGTACCGTGCGCGGCCTTCGGCGATCGCCCTACCCGCTGTGGCAGCACAAACTCCGATGCCAACACTGCCAAACACAGCTTGTTGAGGGCACTTGGCAGGAGTATCCAGACTCGTATGGTATTTAAGGGGGGTACCGGGATCTGAGCAGCTGACTAACCAAGGATAAGCACGGTCAAAACTATCTCGTGGTGGTCAGGAGATTGAGGAGAATGTAGATGTTCTAATCCTACTATGTTTCTCAAAGTGCCATGTGCTTGCGGTCATTCCTGTGCCTGTGGCGAAGAAGAGAAGTGCTCCGTGTCAGGATACACCGGTGAGAGACGATTTCTTTCTGCATTGGTGCTGTTCCCATTCGATGCAGAGAAGAGCGGGCCGGACCACGCTGGCGAAAGGCATGGATTTTTCGGCGAGCCACCAAGCAATGCCGTCATAGAGTTTGACATTTGCGGCCAGAAGCTCGACGCCAGACAGGGATGGCGATCAACATGTTCCGCTGCGTCTTGAGTGACGGTGCTGCTCGGGTGCGGCATGGTCGAAAATGCAGACGCTTTGTGCGTGCTGTCGAGAAGTATAGTTGATGCATTATCGTTGGTCGGCCACCATCCCGATGACGAACACAAGTTCCTGCCAGTGCCGTGTACAAAATTCGCAGCATCTCGTGGCTCCATGCTCTCTGCCCTTTCAGTTCCATACCAGGAATCCTTGTGAGATTCGCCTCGGTATGGCATTTCTTTCTTAGGAGTACTGATCGCAAAGCCTGATTTGTTAAGCCAGTCAAGCGTCTGATTTTCCCACGCTCGTCTTGGCGGATTCTCGGTGATATGAAAGCTATCCTTATATGAGCCCTCTTTGTTCTCGTACTCCAACTTCAGGACCATATCGCCATCCTCCGCCTCAAAGCGTACGCGCACTGGCAGCCAGTCTGGTATCTTCTCACCGGCCATAGTGTTAAGTGCTTCCAACAGTGGTCCTTCCGATATGACGCTGACGTCCCATTTTTCATGAATCTGGTTGCACTCCCTGATAATCCAGGCCTTCATGCGTTCTGCGTGACTAATTGTGCGGCTCATTTCGCAATCGATTTCTGTGTCTAGATTCGGAGTAGATGCGCGAAACGCATTAAGTCGTTGTATTGTACGGTGCCATGGTCCGATGGAGATCTGCAGCGGCGTATGTAAGCGCAAAGGCACAAGCGGTAGCTTTTGTGACAGCGAGTCGGCCCACGGAATGGACATTGCGAGCTTCGTGGCCGCTTCCGTCTCGAACTTGTGCAATGCGTACCGATCCGGTAGCATTGACAGCTCTGTCTCGGCCGGAAAATATCTGTATAGAGTATCGATGAGACCTCCGAGAATAGAGACCAGCATCCAATACCGAGTGCAAAGTACCATACTCTGAACAGAGGAGAACTGCAGGGAATTGACCAATGTATCAGCGAGACCATTGACAGGCCGAGGAGACAGAGCCACTGCTTCACTAAGCAGCGGCGCAACCTGAGCAGGGACTTCAAGTTGCCAAAGCGACTCAGCCAGTGTGACAGCCGCCACGAGAGCTGCAGTATCATCTTGGTTTGCGATCGCGTGTCTTACCACGCGGTTGAAGCGAGGACACTGAACGAAGATATGCATGATTACCATAGATGCTCTCTGTGATGCGGACAGCGTATTCTGGTGTGAAGACAAGGGGGGTGGATATGTTGTGGACAGGTAAAAGTCGTTATCGTACACGGAATCACGGCCGCCGAGCATGGCTTCGTTCACCTAGCTGGATGAGCTATGTACTCGAGGTCTCGTTAGGGTACCTTGACTCACATCATCAATGTAAGTGTTATCAATCAAATTCCAATAGTACTCATCATCGACACTCGCAATCACACCAGATTTGAGCAACTCTGCTAGCCCAAAAGCATGTATCGCGTGGTACATGGAGTCAAGACCAAGCATTGCCTGTTGCTATTAGTGATTGCGCCTCCAGTTTGAAGTTCATGGACGTACCTCAGCAGCATAGTGCATCTTCGTTGCTAGCAGAACATCGTAAGTGGGCCGATTGTTTGCATTGAAGACGAAAAGCTGTAGCTCTTTCAGTGCCTTCTCCTTGCTCGCAATTGCCAGGTTGCGCTTCGAGTGGGTATCATCCCAGTATACATCGAAGCTGTTGACGAAGAATTCTACTGCAAGATCCATCATCCTGTTGGAGCCGATGCGAGACGGGATAGACTGGATCCAGGTACCCAAAATAGACAACGGCTGGTAGTCTACATTCTCCGGTCCAACCATATTAATGTATCGAGCTATCAGCGTGGTCTCAGGACATGACGGCTTGATGATCGAGAGAGCAGCTTCCGCCTGAAGGTGCTGTATGTAGAGCTCCAGTTTTCTTCGCTGTTGCGCCACGGCCTTCCTTGACAGTGCGGCTTTTCTCTTTGACAAAGGCGCAAGCGTTTGGAAGAATCCTTGGCCATTTCCTGCGTCTCTTTCGGTCGTCACGTGCAGGTTGGATGGTGTTGATGTAGAAGAAAGCATACTCTCCTCAGCATCTTCAAGTGTGTGAATGACGGGTGCGACCTTGGCCCTTCCGTGCTTTGTTAATTGGTTTGGATCTTCCACCACGAAAGCAGAAGCCTTGCCGTAGGAGTAGGAGCATGGCCGGTCCTTCTTACGACATGCACCACACTTCGGCTTCTCTTCATCGCACTGCAAATGAGGTTAGATCATGCCTAGGTATCCAAGAAACGACTAGTTAAGTGATGCAAAGATTTCGCAGCACTGGTTCGGGGTCGTGTTGATGCGTACCTTAACTTTTCTCTGGCGACAAATATCGCATTTTCCTGTCTGTGTCATCTTGAGTGGGTTGGCAAAGGCTCGTCAGGCGATGTTCGGACTTCAGCAAATGATGCAGCGCGCCTCTAGGAGATGACAAGACCAGGTAGCAGTGTATTCAGTGTCATGAAACAACGGCATCAGGGTAGCCACTGTCAAGTGTCTAAATCGACATGCATAGTATCAAGCGATATTATTTCTTTACTGCGGTGTCCTTATAGGATGTTTGCCTGCTGAGTGCCGACGATATTTGAATGAGAAGCTGAGAATTGAGATGCGCAGAAGATCGGCGATCCGCGCTTGTCTTCAGTCGGAAAGGCCTGTGCCAGAAATAGCCGTCTTCCGATGTTACATAAGCGTTGTATCGTCATCACTCAGGAACGCTCCGCCTCACATCATGAGCGTTACAAGACTGTGAAGGGAGGGCGATGAGGCATGCTGGAGTTTGCGAGGGTTGTGTGCTCACAATTGCCTGCATCTCATACTTCAGCTTCAAGTCGAGAAAATCCCAAGTTTGATCAAGCAATAAGAGAAGTATTTAGGCTCAAAACGTAGCAAAACCTTCTGCTAACTACATGTACGTGGAGCATGAGGTCATGCTTCACATGATGTACGAACTGACTCATTGCTTGATTCGACAGACCACCCTACTCCATATCCAATGTCTCTTCAACCTCACCATCAACACCCTTTTTCTCCATCGGCGGCCTAAACCCACAGAACTTGCACGTGTCCGGGTATCCGGTCCACGGACTTCCAGGCACCGGCTTGCCACCTTGCGGCGTCCACATGTTAACCGGCTGCGGGTTTTGCTTCGCCCTCGGGTTGACACCAACATCGATAGTCGCATACAGACCGTCTGCAATTGTCTTGCCAATCAGGCTGATCTTCATGACAGGATCATCGCCGCCCTGCTTACCCATGTTGAAGAGAAAGTCTTGGGCGTTGAGAGTCTGAGCTTGCTTGTTGGTGTTGTAGGGAGGGGTCTTTTCGACTTCCCCTAGGAAGTTTTGCTCAATGTAAAATTGGCCAACGTGTGAGATCGTGCCGCCTTGGATAGTGTTGTTGGGCAAGAGCTTGGCACCGTGATGGATGATTGCTTGGTTTTGTTAGTGGTAACATGCATAGCAGCCAAGTCTGTACTTACTATGGAGGTGGTTTGCACGGCCAACGTAGTGCCCTGGAATGACTGTGGTGAAGGTCGCGGTACCGTTTTTACCAGTGGGCTGAACACCACGAAGTGCATTGGTGGCAATAGCAGTAGCAGAGCCATCCCCATTGCCCTTAGCTTGCACACCCGTATACACACCAGTAGAGTTGCAGCCCCAGAGCTCTACATAGGCATCGGTAATTGGCTTGCAACCAGACGTATCAATCACGTTAATGTCGAGATGGGTAATAGCGCCTTTCTCGCCAGTAAGGACATCTGATCGGATGAGCTCGCCGGTGACCCCTGGTAAAAGTCAGGATGATGCATGTATACATCCGATAATCTTGGCTTACAGTATGGTCCTTCAGTGGCCTCAGGGTCGAGCGTGCATGCTGCCTCAACACCATAGTTCTCCTCTACCTCAGCAGGATCACGACGAATAATCTCATGCTCTTTCGCAAAGCCGGCAGCAACTCGGAGTTCGTGAAGTCTTGCCTCGCGCCTCATATGTTGCTCCCTAACCCATCCACTCTCGACTAGATCGCGTTTGCATTCTTGTACATTTCGGCGGTAGGGATGTTCGAGATGAGCTTGTCTTCTCAATATCTCTCTGTTGGTGTTTCCGCCGGGATGTGCAAGGATTCCGGATGCTAAAAGCGCAGTGGCCAAAGCCTGCGATAAGTGAACCATTTTGACTGAATATGAACCGGTCTAAAGCCAAGGCGTGCTACCAGCAACAGTTAAGATACCTCTGATGGCTTATTATACTTCCACATCGCCGCATTACACCGGCTTTTTCGCCATGGGGGCGAGCAGTCCTTTGGGCCATCGGAAGCACTCCTTGCAAATCGCATCACGCATCCAGGCAGTTATGACCTGCTGTAGTGGATTCCACTCTCCACAGATTGTCCAGGATCACCGCCATAATCGTGTAGCCGACGATAGGTTGCAGGATATGCCATCTTGTTCACAGACGCCGCAACTTGATTGCCATTCATCTATCGCACGATCTTGGCAGCGGGGTGCAGTACCGTCCCTTGTATGCATCACTGTCACAGTGGGTCGGTAATGTGCATGTCGGGTGTTGGAATTTTAACCGGACAGGCGCGCGTGCTCATCGGCAGTTAGAACAGTCGAGCGAATCGGAACATACCTCAATATTGCGATCTACTGTGGTAGTAGGCATAAGTAGTGGGGTGGGTCTATTAGGGGTTGTAGATCCGGACGGACTTCGGATAGAGCCAAAACTGCTCTATTGCTGATAAATGACACTCTGTTCTCAACCTTCAAACTCTAGCAACTTCTCTCCTTACCAAGCAGCTATAGAGACACCAGCTACCCCCCCACGCTATACTTATCTTACCCGTGATCAGAGGCTTCAAATACACACTCTCCATGACGCTGGCCATACACAGAGCTTTATCTCTGATCAACTTAGGGTATTAAGACACTAGGTTAAGTACTCTCTCTCCACGCAGATTACCCTAAGAAGGAGGTTAGGCAGACCCTCGCTACTAAGCTAGGAGCAGAAAGAAGAGCTTATCCTTTTCATCCGTCAGAGTAGAAGTACCTGCTAGATAAGCTATCTTGCTCTCTTAAACTACTTTTACCCTCGCTAAGGAGTATCTGAGTACGCGATTCGCTATGCCCTACGTTCTGCTAGCTATAGCTGACGAATAGCTCTAGCAAAGCTACCTCTTTCTAAAGCAAATTAAAGAGCTCAGCTGGCGTGAGCATAGGCTCACGTTAGCTAGACTCTTGAGCAATAGAACCACATACTCTAGAGCGATGAAACCTAGGTCACTAGAGGGCGCTACAGGCGAGTCTAGGTTACTCGCTTACCTAGTAAGAGTCTAGATGATACTTGCCTAGTAGATAAAGTACTAAGAAAGAGAGGCTAGATGTTCTAGGCTTGCTTTAACGGCAGTGAGAAAGGTCTATATATCTTTTAGAAGAAGGAGTAAGGTTTAATTAACTAGTTACGTTATTGTAAGAGGATCGTGCCTGTTATTAAAGGATAGATAAGGATAAATCTAGGCCTCATTTTTATGCAAGATAGAGCTCTAGCTTATGCAGCTGCATCTACACACAGAGAGCTACAAGACAGAGGAGTTAAAGCTATCTCTTAGCTAGCTTTTTCACTAGATCTTAACCCTATTAAGGTAGTTTAGAATAAGATAAAGGACTAGATTAAGCAGAACTACCTAGATCTACCTGCAGGCAGGCAGCGGAGCTACGATCAGCTACGTACGATTATACAGGAGGCTTAGGATTCTATTACACTAGAATACCTGCAGTCCTTAGTAATTAGTATAAGAGAGAGGTGCTAGGCTGTAATAGAGGCTGAAGGCTGCCATACAAAGTATTAAAATATATTATCTATCCGAACTTGGTTTAGCTGGTGCAATTTCCGATCCCTGCCTCCTGACCTACCCCACTACTTATGCCTACTACCACAGTAGGAACAACGCCAGCGGTGATCATTCGACTGCAAGCAGCCTGCGAAGTTGTCGCTGCTTTCTTGGGACGAAAATTCGCAGGCGGCACTACTAAATCACTTACTCTTTGAGCAAAGTAGGATGCTACATACAACGTGAAGAGGATTCGGGGAAAGCAGAATACTGGGATGTACTACAGGAACAGACTTGCCAAGGTGTATATGTGGATAGAAACATCTAGATTCGTGTTCCTCATGGCCTTTAGGAGCAAGGTCATTCTCTGAACGAATGAAAAGCTTCCTGTTGCTCAGCGCGGACGATATTGTAACGGTCGGGTTGATGCGCCCGACGAAGGATTCGACAAACGTGCGCAAAGCTTGAGCGGGAAGCTGACTGCCCAAGGTCGTGATGCTATAAACTAACCTCTGTGCATATGAGGATCAGGACCCTGGATGAAGTCGTCACTCTCGTTAGTATTGGCTCATCGTACATACTGCCATGGCCACTGTCACAGGACTGTAGATCACACCTTTGGTCGCTCGTCCCTCTGTCCTTCTCGACAAGACCTGAGTTGGCACAGACGACTGGCAAGAGCACCCGCACCTATGCCTGCTTTAGCGCCGGTACTTAGACCCTTCTTCGGAGGATCCAACGGAACGGATGTCCCGCGTGCCCCGGCAGGAAATATGGGTCCAATGATGGCCAACAAGCTGAGAGACGTCATAATCGAGGTATCTGACATCGGTTCAGGAAGGTGGTAGTCGCTCAAAATGCTTCATGTCGTGGGGCAGTGAAGACAGTGGTTGTATGAGCAGTCGACAGGCAATGCCGCTGCGACGAATCACTCTTTGCAGTGAACTTATCGTTCATGAGTACATCCTCTCCTTGGTAATTGGCAAACGTCTCAACAACATTCCTATCATAGCCGCTGCTTTTGCCATTTTCTTCAGGCTGGAAAGTAATAACGTGACAGGCGTAGCGTTTCAAGGTCTGATGAAGAGCGATAGGTGGAGGCCATCAGGGACACAACGATGTCGCGAAGTTCCGGGCCAAGTGTTTAAGAAAACGGAGAAACGAGCAATGAATGTAACGCATTTGCGTGATGGCACGATGTCGTGTGTAGCTGGAAAGTAAGAGGAAGGGGCGCCGACGCGAAGACGCGTTTCGAACATTACGTAACGTCGAGGTCGGTGCGGCGCTCAGCTCAACGCAACGCTCAGCCAACACCAAAACCCCTGATAACCACTATACTTTGACGCGTCATAACTCTACTAATATAGAACCAATTTAAGCTGCGATTAAAGAAATTGAATCCTACAGTCCTAATAATCATTTCTCGTATACAAAAGTTGCTGAGAAACACAACGTTAGTCGCTACACGCTGGCTCGAAGATGCAAGGGCGTCTAAGCGTCAAAAGACGCCTAGAGAGTTAACGCTATGAAACTCAGCCTACAACAGGAACTAGAGCTTATAGTATATATTAAAAAGCTTACTAAACGAGGGCTTCTACCTACGCGTATAATAATCAAAAATTTCGCGTCATAGATAGCTTAAAAAGAGGTGGGCAAAGGCTAGGTTACGCGCTTTCTTAACCGCAATAACACTTATCTTATCTCTCGCTAGACTAACGGCATAGACTCTGTACGCTATAACGCTGATTCTAGAGCTAAATATAGGCTATACTTTAATCTCCTGCACACTAAGATAGAGCAATATAATGTTCTGCCTCAGAACTCCTACAATATAGATAAGAAGAGCTTTATAATTAGCTCTATTAGGCGGAGCAAATAAGTGTTTAGCAAGGCAACTTAGGAGAAGAAGAGAGTCTAGGCAATGCGTTAGGATAGATTACGTACGTAGATTACTATCCTAGCGTATATAGGAGCAGGTAGAAATGCTCTTTCTCTAGGCATTATATATAAGGCTAAGCACAGCTACATTCGAGCTTCTTAGGTGCAGGAAATTAAGGCTAGCAAGTACTAGATGCATGTTACTTCATCTCTATCTAGCTAGACGAATAATGATATAGGCTTAGCATAGCTTAAATAGGTATTTAATTGCTATACTAAGGAGAGAGCGCGTCGCGCGTACAGGCTCCTTATCCTAGATAGCTATAGGAGTTACATAACGATAGATTTTATTAAGTACTGCTATTAGAATAAGATTCTATTAGCTATACTACCTCCTTATTTAACCTACACGCTTCAGCTGCTTAATGTAGTAATGTTTAAGCTACTCTTATTAGCTTACTTAGCTTAACTTACTAAGTTCCTTTACTGCAGCTAAGGGCTCGTAGCACTGCAGAAAGGGGACTTTTTCCTGTTATTCTAGACCTTCTAGACCTCCTCCTTTATTAGAGAAACAATCCTAGCCTTATTTAAAGCTACTAGTATATAGCTAAAGGATCGCGACATTATACTAAAACAGTTTAAGGAAATAACACTAGATAGAGATAAGGATCCTAGCACTTTTCCTACGCTTAATTTAACTAATTAGAGGCAGCTCTGAGCTTTTATAATAGCTACGATGAAGGAAGAGATAAAGAAAGAGGGTAATGCGCTTACCTAAACACTCTACTATCTCTAGGTAGAAAATGAGCTACTTTATATAGAAAATAAGGACCTATGCAGCTCTCTTAACACTAAAAAGAAGCATAAAGGCAAGCATTACGTGCTCAGCCTTTAACAGCGTTAGGAGTATTATAGTAGAGCTATCTTATAGTCTCTAAGTAAGGTTAGAGAGGCCTGTGCTCAGGAGAAGGTTAAAGAGCAGGATAAGATAGAGGAGAAACTCTAGAAAGCTTATAAGAAAGAGTCACGTAAGGCTGCTAAAGTCTAGCGTTAAGTTAAGCTAGAGGACAGGCGTGCAGAATAAGAGAGACTTAAGGTAGTAAGAGAGAAGGAGAAGGCTAAGAAACAGGCTAAACGCGAGCGTCAGAAACAGCAGCGTAACGCTGAGAAAGCTATACAATTATTCTAAAGAGGTAAGCGCAAAGCCTTATAAGCAGTCTCCTCTAAGGAGAAGCGTCAGAAACGTTCTAGTAGTAGTGCAGCTGCTAAGCAAGCTATTACGCGCTCTCTATCTCCTCTACTAAAGGTAACGTCACGAGGACGCAACGTAAAGCTTCTAAGTAAATTTAAATAGTATAAAATAATTGCAAGGTCTTATTTACTAAACTACTAAGAGATCTTGCAATAATAGCTATTGTACGTGTTGTTGTAGCCTCATCTTTTAAAAACTAGATATAGTGCTGGCTGAGCGTCGCGTCGAGCTGAGCGCCGCACCGACCTCAACGTTAATCACGCCGAAGTAACAGGCACCGTTTTTTAGGCGTCTCATCTCCATCAAAATAACACAGTTCAACGCGAATAACTCATCATACATTACAAAGACCCCAAATAATCTGCCTCGAAGTCCTTTCTCTTCTCAGGCAGCGTTGAGCTTCTGTTTCACCCATCTGCAGCCTGATCTACTCCTCCACCGTCTCCAGCGGCCGGATCATGCTTCACCTTTGCCATCTCCGTCATAATGGGCCAGTCTCCCTCGTTCCGAGCTCTAGAGCCCGGAAATTGCTCTTCGTGTGTTATCGATGTCGTAAGCTGCCACGCCAGTTTGCAAAACGCTTTACAATCTCCATTTCTCCTTCGCAAATCATCCCAATATTGCCGATCTGCGTCCCATGCATAGCTGGTAGCGGTCATCTTGTCATCGAGCCTGAATCCAGGCGCCAGATTTAACGGATGATCACCTTCTTGTAAGACGATGGTCTCAGGGGCCAGTCGTGCCAATATTGAGGCTTCTAGCTTGGCATCGGTGCAAACTCGATCCTCCGGACCATAAAATACTGAATCGATTTTTATCATGCGTCCAGTTTCTTGGATAATGTTGGCGCTGGTCCAGACCACGTTACCGCATCGGCAAGGGCACTTTTGCACTCCCCTCACTTTCCCGACGGCGTCTGGACTCATGAAGGGAGCTATCTGTGTGCTACCACTCAAATCGTAGTCTTCCGCAGTCTCGAAATATTCGCCGTCCTCTAATTGTGGCCACTCGGCCATCCAGTGTTCCCCTGTCTGCCATTTATACGCACAGCCCTTCGTCACATTATCGATGATCGAGTGAAACCAGTGGGGCACATGCTTGCGCACGGCTCCCGCATGACCATGCTCATGCTCCTGAGGATCATAGCTACAGTGAACGTCCTCAGAAGTCTTTCGGCCACGCAAGATGCGGATTTCGAATCGCTCCAGATTTGGAAAGAGCAGTATCGCATTCGCGATAATGTTCGAGTTCTCGTAGCTATGAAGTCTTTTGCAGCCGTAACTTCTGCGCAGGTCGTATGAGAAAGACGTTATGGTTTCGATCTGCTGAAGCGAAAGGACCAACTTCGCGTCCCGCATCGAGGTGAAAAAGGCGTAGTTATATTCCGCAGATAGCGGGAATGTATACCCTCAAAAGGCTATGACGGAAGCCTCATGGTGGACCTTACGGCACGTGAGGAGGAAGGACAAAGGATGAGCTTTAACGCTCAAGAGCTCGCGCGCTCCAGCTTGGAAGGTATAAGCATAGATATCGTTCCTGATCTCGGCAGGTGTTTTGGAGAAAAAGGGACTATATGTCTGTTCATCAAATGTCGCAGGATCTGGATGTTCTGGTGGTGGCAGTGGAGATGGTATTGATAGTTCACGCGCGGAGATTGACATCTGTTTCCTAAAAAGCCACGACATGTTATGATGTGGTGTAGTGTCGGGAGGAAAGGCAGATATATAGGGAACCGCGCATTCGATCACAATTGCCTAAACTTCTGACGTACCTGTCTTCTTGTCTTTGGGTTGAGTAATCCTGGTTGCCTATCCCGCGGCGCGGGTCGCTAACGACACCTATCATACAGAGACCACCTCACTAAGCTTCACTAAGCCTACGTGATGGAAATACCGTCCATGAAAGCTTCAATGGACTAGGGTCTGTGCCCGTGGTAGCGTTGTCAATTGCTCCAGGAATATCTCAGGTGCAATAAACCTTATCACACATAAGCTTAATTTTAGCGGCGCTGAACCCCTCCATGCGTCATCGTTCCGTGGAAGCTGCGACCGCGGCACGCGCATAAATGTTCTTCGCGCAACCACCGACACTGCTGAATCGCCACAACAACTTCACTGACTCCTAAATTCACACGAACCATACACTCATCGCTTTCTGAAGATACTCCGGGCTCAACATGCGGCTAGTGTCGTCATCCATCGAGCGTAGGACGGGTGAGGGTCTTGCAAAACTCGAACCAGAGGAGCCCGAAGACATGGTAAGCACTGTTGCAACAAATATGCAGCCACCTCTGACCATTGTAGTGGCATGCATACAACCTGATCAAGGAAAACGATCTCGTAGAGGCGATGGCTGTACGGCGAGTCACCAAGACTTCCGACTCAGGATCGACGTCGACCAAACGTGTAAAACTCAAGATGACAATAAAGGTCACGTCAACATATTTTGATCCTGGCTCTGGACAGCTACACGTATCAGGCCAGGTGGCGAAGGAGCTGGAAGAGGTAAGACTTGGATCACACCACACCATCGATCTGGAGCTTCATCGCGCATTTTCGATCGAAAAGGCAGATGGGTGGGATAGTGTTGCATTGGACTTGCTCAAGGAAGCGTGCAGCATTGAGCGAAAGGCTGAGCTATGGGCTGTCGTTCTGGGTGGTGAGGGCACGGCAAATATCTGTATGATTACGGAACACCAGACGATTCTACGGCAGCGTATTGAGGTCGCAGTGCCACGGAAGCGCAGAAACGGCGTGGACGGCCACAGCAAAGGCATGGATAATTTCTTTGCCACAACTCTCTCGACTCTCCTCCGCCACGTCGACCTCTCAAACACCGCAAGCAAAGACCAGGGCAAGGCTCTGCCACTGCTACTAGCGAGTCCCGGGTTTGTCGCCCAGAGCTTCCTCCAATACATGAAGGCAGAAGCTACGCGGACCACAAACAAGCAGCTGCTTGCCTTCATACCCTCCGTCGTCGTTGCACATGCCTCCTCCGCGCACGTACACGCCCTCAGCGATATCCTGTCTTCACCAGCCATCACCACCAAGCTTTCAGATACGAAATACGCGCGCGAAACGGCGCTAATGGACAAGTTCACAACCATGATGCGCCTCGACGATGGTAGAGCGTGGTACGGCCCGCGAGAAGTGGAGCTTGCAGTCGACAAGGGCGGTGTAGGTCGAGGTGGCGGTATTTTGATGATCAGCGACGCGTTATTCCGGGCACAAAATATCACAGAGCGACGGAGATGGGTCAAGCTCGTTGATCGCGTACGAGAGGTAGAAGGCGGCGAGGTCAGGGTGTTCAGCTCGCTTCACGAAAGCGGGAAGCGGCTGGAAGGCCTAGGCAATGTTGCTGCCATCCTAACGTACCCGATCGAAGACCTAGATGAGGAGGACGACGTACAAGTCGATGATGACGGCGAAGGTGACATGATTATCTAATGCGCGCATGATACCCAATTTGGCAGACCACAGTTGATGTCAAAGACGATTGTACTGAGCTGCAAACAAAATATACGAACACTTGCAGTTATCTAGCCTTCCTTCTTAATGCTCTGGTCATACTTGTAACGGCCCAAGCATACAATGAAGACTGACGCTGAGTTGTATCTGATCGTTACGTCATCAAAAACTTCTGCTGTTGAAAGATCTGTTCGTTGTTGATGGTTATGATGTCTTTTGTTCGATGCAATGTGCGATTTGCTCCGCAGCAAAGCATATACCTATCAGACACTGCCTCAAAGTAACGCGGTATGTGGCAACATCAAGCTCAGCACGCCTTACCTACCACGCCATATATTTTCCGCATTATTGCGCTTGAAACTAGTCCTACAGTGGAGGAACAATCTTTCTGCTAATACGTACGCACGTATCACTGCTGCCGTCGTTTGGTCCGGACGAGTACTCATGCTGCATGCCTCACTCTGGTGACGGCTAAACAACTCATCAAAGGCAGCGTGCTGACTCTTTGTCTAGTGCAGATGTAATCCGTCCAATGTTCGCCCCCCAATCTCAGAAGTCAGATTCAATTTCAGCGGCGGGATGGCCATCGCAGATGACGAAATGGCGGCACTGCACCCGCATGCCCACTTCTCCCCAGCCGCTAAATGTAAGATACATGACGGCGTCAGCAGCGAGATGTGCTCATCATACTTCAGAACGGGCGTGACTCGGGCAACGTCGAAGTTGAAAGAAGGCGAGCGTACCGTCTTGAGTCAAGACCTTTGCGAACGCGCGAATCTGGGTTGGTGGTGAATCAATATTGTGATGTACAAGCAGTTCGTTGTTCAGGTTCGATAACATTCGCTTTGGCGCTTCAGTTTCAGAGTGAAAAGAAGGAAAGCAGTTGGCGACGATGAAATGGTGACAGAATGTGTGGGCTGGGTCGGACGGACAGCCAGCCAATGTCCGGCAGGCGCATTGAGCTCCGAAACCGCCACGCCGCGAGCACGGCGCGACAACCAAATCTTCGCAGCAGTCGATTCTGTCGCCTATCTTATGATCTATGCCTAGCATTTTCCGACCAGAAACCCGCCTTCTGCAAATTTGCTGGTGGAACAGTTTCAAAAGCCCCGTGATTGGCGGAGATTTCGGACCTTTCAATGTGAAACGAGAGTGCACCCCTGACTGAATCGACTTCTTCCCAGAACACCTCCATTGAACCGACTTAATCGAAACACGACGACGACATCGCGACATAACTGTAGCGGGTATAACGATTGGACTCAGAATGGCGTCGAGATGGATGTGGCATGAAAGGGCGTTGGCTTCCACAAGACCTGTGTAGGATGATGCCCGATGTCTTCGGCTACGTATTCCACCAGATCACTGGGCATACCTGGCTGTCGGCATCATGGCATAATTAACAACACTGCATTGTGCTGTCACATTTCCCAGCTCCACAGCTAGAAACGTTAGTCCACTGACAAGCGTAGAACAACCGCGCGGCGCTGCCAATGCTGTTTGACAGAAACAACTAACAATCTTGGCAACGTTAATGTTGGTGAACAAAGTACCAGGACAGCGGGATGCATGTTTCACACGGCGCTATTTGACCTAAGCTCGCTACAGGAGCCATACAGATGTCTTCCACGTGTGAATAGTTGCCGATAACGTCGTTTTCCGCCATGGGCCGGGTATCGATTTTGTATCACGCAGGGGGGTCCTTATTTCTAGGCCTCTGGTTCTCGACCACACTGCAGACGCGGAAGCGTCTTAGCACCCTACAATATCGCTTGTACTTCCCGAAAAGGTAAGATTCAATATGAATTCATGGAAACGGAGGAGTTCGTGCCTCATCTTGCGCGCGGCATGATCCATGGCTCTGGGCTATCATACCGATGAACACGACATCGTGTGCCGCGCGGGATGACTCTCGTCAGATAAATACATTGAGTTGCACCTCACTTTCGAATCATCGCCACACTTGGTCTTCTTCACCAGTCCGTTCTTTCCATCCTACATTCGTTACTTTCAAGTCCTTCACTGCGTGAAGCCGGCAGACACTCTTTTCTACCAACTTCAACCTTCGTCCTCATCGAACAACACTCTTTCACAAGAACAGACTCCCAGGATCTATCAAGATGTACAAGACGATCTCTTCCCTCGGCGCCATCGCTGCCCTCGCAGCTACCGTATCTGCCCACGGTATCACCACCGGTGTCACAATCGACGGTGCTTTTTCCCAAGGTTTCCTCCTCGACTACTACTACGCAAAGCAGAGCAATGGTGCCACACCCAAGCACATTGGTTGGTACGCGGAGAACCTTTGACTCCGGCTTTCGTCGAGCCCAACTCTTTTAACACCGCCGATATCATCTGTCACAAGAAGGGCAGCCCCCGAGGGCTCCTCCGACGATATGGCCAAGGTACCTGCCGGTGGAGTAATCGACTTCCACTGGAACACTTGGCCCCGTATCTCACATTGGCCCTGTCCTGACATACGTGGCTCCCTACACCGGTGACATCGCTTCGGTCAACAAGGAGGAGCTCAAGTGGACCAAGATCCAGGCCAACGGTTACGAGAACGGCGAGTGGGCTGCCATCAAACTGATCAGCCAGAACTTCACATGGCCCGTAACGGTTCCATCTGACCTCAAGGCTGGCAAGTACGTCTTCCGCCACGAGATCATTGCTCTGCACGGCGGCGGCAACCCCAACGGCGCCCAGTCCTACCCTCAGTGCTTGAACATTGAGGTCACTGGCTCCGGAACCAACCTCCCCGAGGGTGTTGTCGGCACTTCGCTCTACAAGGCTGACGGTGCGGGTATCCTCTTCGACCCCTACAAGTCGCCCATCGTATACCCCCTCCCCGGCCCACCTATGATTGGCGGCGGCTCCGGCTCCGGAACTACTCCCACCACTCCTGCAAACCCTTCTAGCATCCCCTCTGCTTCCCCCTCTGCTTCTCCTTCTCCTTCTCCTTCTCCTTCCGCAGCCGCTCCCCCAGTCGCCACCCCAGAGGCCCAGAAGCCTTCTGCGCCCGCTGCCTCACCATCGCCCGCTCCCTCCACCGGCGGTGGCGAGTCCTCCGGCGCGCTGCCCAAGGAGTTCACCATCGAGACTTTCATCTCTTGGCTGGAGAGCAAGGCTTCTGCCAAGGCCCGCCGTCACGCCCGCGCATTCGCTTAAGCGGATTTACGAGAGATGATGCATTGGTTGTTTGTGTTCGTCAGAGACGACAAGTTCTATTCTTAGTGTATATATCACGCCATTCTTTGTAGCAAAACATCTTGGTCAACGACCGCACTTTGCGACGACAAGTCGCATGATCTTCCAAACCTTTTACTTTTGCAATGGTCTTGATGTGGATGTGATGTGGATGGGATCGTCGATGTGCTTGTGCAGTTCCGATGTTGTACTTCCAGTACCCATGAAAGTTGGATTGAGGATATTCTGATATGTACGTCACTTGTAGTTTTGAGTATGAAGCTACCGGAAGATAGTGGATATAATATTAAGGTTCGGGGTTTTTGCACACATTTCAAAACGATTGTTCATTCGTGTATCGTTACAATTCTCTAGTGCCGTCGCCATGTTTTACACGCATTGGACACCCTCCTACAAGTTGCTAATGTCCATCACACTGAACTGCACCTTGTTCGTGGTGCTGGGTGGCAGTTGTCCACCGCCCATGATAAGCAGCTTGGTCGGGTCCGCCAATACCCTCAAATGCCTTGTGTAATGGCTCCTCTCGGGCGTAGCAACCTTGACCCATGGTCCCTCACCAAGGCCCTTGTTGATGAAGATGTCGCCACCGCTGTGCGCAGAAACAATGATAGTTCCATTCGCACCGCCAACAGATGACCAGACAACATACGGCGAGCCAGAGGGAACAGTGCCGTCGGTAGCTTTGAGCGAAATGCCAGTCGCGGGGCCGAATTGCTCGGGGTCGTCGACGATCTTGTAGTACACGGGGAACTGGTAGCTGCTGGGAATGGCTGGGCCGCCGCCGTATTCGTAGGACATAATGTACTTCCCGTTGGGCAAGAGTGCGACGGTGGGCATGCCTGGGCGGTCGGTGTATGTGGGGTATGCGACGTCGTCAATGACAGGTCCCCATGTCTTCAAGTCCGAGGAGGTCTGATGCACCATCTTTTGTCCGTGGGTGGCGTTGTCGCGCTGGTCCGAGTAGTAATGGATCAGAGTGCCCTTGTACTCCATCAGGAAGGGCTCCCAAACGGGTGTTAGGCCGTTATTTGGCCGTGCCTCGCCTCCAGCAGCCAAGTGGGAAACAAATTCCCAGGTTGCACCCGAGTCCTTGGAAGCATAGAGTTCGATTTGCGTCTGCGAGAGATCGGTGGGGATAGAAGATCCAGCTAATAACACAGTGCCCTTTGCGTATCCGGGAAAATCGTTCTCGAGGACATACAGGAAGGGTTGGTATCGAAGGCCCCAGTTTTGTTGAGTGTCCTGAACGCGAGACAGCTCTGACCATGTGTTCCCACCATCCTTCGATTGGAAGATCGGGAACCAGACCTTGGGCGGTTCAGGGCTGTAGTTCTCCCATGTTGCCAAGAGAGTACCATCCGCAAGCTGTGCAGAACGAGCGTAGAGCACACGTGGGTCAGTGTAGTCTGACGGGGGTGTGAAGATGACCTTCTGTGAAAAGGTAGGCTGGACCTGCTGCTGCTGTGGGAGAGCAGAGACCACAGAGATCAGGGACATAACAAGGGTAGAGAGCAGCATCGTGGAAGTCGCCCTGTAGATCGCACAGGATGATTTCACAAAGATCAGCGAAACCGCGTCGTATATAAACAAACCTTCAAACCAAGTATCCATCTACCTTGTCATTCACAAATCTTCGGTCGTAAGCTTCAACCGGCGTCCAAACTTGCTTCAATGACATGTAAGCCCGTGACCCAAGCCCGAAGTACACCCATTTTGGGCGTTCGCCGCGCCTGTCACATGCGGGGAAAGGGAAAGTGCCGGAAGAATTGCGGAGTGCAGATATTCCCCCAGTGGGTGTGGGGAGTGGCACCGCGCCTTTTCCTGGGGTAATAATACGCCGAAGTGGTAAGACTAGGTAACTTTAATCGAAGTTTTGCCGGTGGACAGGCGTCATCGCTGTACCGAGGCACGGAAGCGCGTGCTAAAGAAGGGAGGTGCGAAGAATCTCACCATATGCATGACATCGTAGACTTTCCGTCGCGGCGAAATCGATACTGTGACTCCATGAAATCGATGGAGATAGAATGCTTGGTGTTGGTTGATGGCGCCACAAGCGATGCTGCAGCGCGGCGGGAGGAAGCCGCCTTTAGTCGCGAACTTTGTCTGCTGAATCCACTGAACGTCAACTGCGTCGCCAGATTCACAACTCATGGAAATTCTGATATCCTGAAGCAGCTCATTGTTCGATAGTTCTTGCGATTTCCGCCAACGCCCAGTTTCGTGAGGTTTGCAGTGTGGAGACAAACCTCATCGCATGAATTTAGTGATTGCCAATACATACTCAGCTTGGCCATCGTCATATTAGTTACTTTTTTTGGCGAGCTCCTCGGCTTCGACGTTGATATTGTGCGCTCGTGACGCACCTCCAGGTACGATATTAGCCGCAAAATGCTTGACTCAACGAACGCCATAGTCTCAGAGCGGAATATTGATCTTCACAACACAGCAAGTCATCATTTGGTACGAATTTGAGTGCGACAGGACAAAAGTATTTATTGCAGGTTTGACAAAGTGGCAAGCCTGCTAGAAGGTAAAATATTTACAGAGCAGGTTGAAAGGAGCGACAGTCACCACACTTCCTCACCGCATAGAAAAGATAAAGGAAAAGAGCTTTCTTGAGAGTGTCGACACTCCCGAGCACCAAGCCCCTGGCTCTGGAGCACTTTTCTCGACGAAGAAAACCATGCCAACGCTCTACTTCTTGAGCGTAAGGACACCAGGGCGGTAAGGAAGCGCGTTGTAGTCGGAGGGCTGGTTCTTGGGGTCGCGACCCTGGAAGAACAACTGCAGGTTGCAAGGGTCGACAGTCATGGTCTCGTCATTGTTCTCACGGTAAAGATCACCGTGGGAGATGTCGTTAGACCAGGTGGTGCCGCTGTTGGCCTTGCCGGCGAAGGGGTTCTGCTCGCTGGTAGCCTGGGGAGTCCAGGATCCGCTAAGGCTGGTAGCGGTGTAGGAGCGGAAGTAACGTCCACCGGAACCGATAGACTCGACGATCATGAGGTACTTCTGCTGGCCCTTGAGGGTGTAGACCTGAACGGCCTCGAAGAGGTTGTTCTTGGTGTCGGACATAACGACGGTGGAAGCAGTACCGAAGTTGCCGGGGAAGTTGCCCTTGGGCATCGAAGAACGGTAGATCTTGCCGTTATCACCGGCGAAGAACAGGTACATGTTGTTGGCGTCACCAATAACAGTCTGGTCAATCGCACCAGTGTCAGACCCTGTAATCTTTCCAGAGAAGAGGGGCTGGGCCGCTCCCCATGAGTTTGCGTTGGAGGGGTCGGTTGATGTGCGGTAGGTGAAAGTGGTAGGACCCCACTGGTACGCAAGAACCCAGACCTTCTTGGGAGCAAAGTAGAAGACGGTGGGGGCTACAGCGTTGAAGCTGGTGGCGGTCTGGGATGCTCCGGACAGTTGAGAGAAGTCGCTGACACCGCCAAAGACCATAGAACCATAGCTCTTGCCGTTGTAGTTTGAACCGTAGATGAGCTTCTTGCCGTTGTAGCTAGTAACGGAGAAATCCTTCAGCGAGGCCCAGCCATTCTTAGGGGTGGCCAAAACACCAGACGAGGTCCACTTGTACGACGATGGGAGGTTGCACTGAGCAGTGCCAACTGCGGCGAAGGCGAGAAGGCCGGTGGCGGCGTTAAGGATGTTGGGAACCATCGTGTCGACTGGGTTGTTGGTTTGTTGGTAATGAGTGAATGTGTTGTGGTTGGGTGTGGGTAGCCAAGGTGAAGAGAATCATTGCTTATATAGCTGTGGTTGTGTGCTCCCGTCTTCGGTCTACGACCCTAGTATTGCAGTACCAAGTAGACAAGGTGGTGGGCCCACTGGACTTGCCTGGGCTTCGAGATTGAGACCGGGGTCACACAAGGCTGCTCGAACCACCGGCAACGCAACACTGAGATTACCGGAAGGAATGGATTTCTCCGACACGCGGGGAAACCTTGTGAGTCGTGGACATCCAGGAGAATCTGATCTTGAGTATGCAGCCATGAGCAAAATGGCAACAGCGCCCATCGTATAGCATTAGCCGGTGCTTCTGCAGCAACAGGAAGTTGATCGCACTTCCTAAACGCCTTGCTGAACCTCTAGTGCCGGCAAGTCTCCCTCGTTTCGGGTTCCCTCAGAGACAGTGACGGACGCCATAAGCTTAGAGGCGAAGCTTGTTTAGCGGCGGAGCCTTAACAAGGGAGCTAGCATCATGGTCATCGATGACTGGGGGAAAATTATCCCCAGATCTGGACCAGACGAATGTTCAGCAAATGGGGAGCCCCGATCGTTTCATTTGGTGCAGGATATGGTTGCTGTGCCACGTCGGAAGATTAGTGCCGACTGGGGTGCATACTCTTAGATTGCTGCATCCACACGTGTTTGTCAGGAATTTCCCAGAAACTCTCGCCTCTTTAGCTACCGTCGGAGACTAGCGCATGGCGTGGCTGGTGGGGTTGTTCGAATTGGACATTGTTCCTCCCGTCCTTTAATGAACGACGTTTCATACCATGTGGATCCACGTCTTCAGTCTAACCTTTGCCACGGCAGCTGTGAACATGCCCCATTGGTTGATCAACCTTCGAAACACTAGACGCCGAGCGCATTCGCAAACAGGTCGCTTTGATCGTAAAAGTGCCCCAGGAAACATCGTACGTATAAGGCATAAACCCGCGCACGCACTTAGCGTCCTGACGATGCCGAGGTTGATGCTGAGCTTGTTTCAAGAAATTACCACATTGGCAAAGGCTTGCGGGTGGCTTTTGCAAATGTCCTGCGAGGGAGGAGGCTGCGCATTCGCGTTGAGCATGATAACGACCAAGTGCCACCGAGACTGAGATAGATTGATGTGGAGCTAGTCAAGATTGCCGAAGCCGGCAGGTGATGTTTGGAGACGAGGTGACACTAGGACAGAACCGTGATAGTGCACGAATCAGATATGCAGCTCGCCCGAGCCTTTTGTTCGATTCCTTCCATGCTGTTTCGATAGCATATATGAATTTTTCCATCCAGTCAGGCCATCGTGATCGCATGGCTTCATCAGAGAGGCGGAAGAGACATACCAACAAAGAAAGCCGGCTGCGCAATGTCATGCTTCAAGTAACTGTGGTCGTCAGCGTTTCCTCTCGACCGAGCCCGATGCGTGCAGACATACCTGAGAATACCGATGGCACCAGGTGATAGCATGAGCGCCAAAGGCATGTCCAAGGGGTAGCCCAACCATCTTTTGACGAAGCATCGGAGACTCATGCCATGAGCGACGACAACGACATCAGCCGGTTGCTCTCCGTTCATGTGTGGCCTTTGGATGTCGCGAATCTTTGCGATCAAACGGTCCAGCCTTTCAGTTACTTGCTGTGGAGTTCTAGAACGATCCGTTAGCACACCAAGATTCCAACACACAGGCCATCGCGCATCCAAAGTCGACTTACTCGCCACTCTCACACCCATCACTCCAAATACTCCACTCCCTCTCCGTATCCAAGCCCCTCTCCTTCCGACTTTGCCTAATCTCACTGCTCAACCAGCCCTCGTACATGCCGTGATCCCACTCCGTAATTTCCTCTTCGAGCTTAACCTTCTCGTCATCAAGCGCCATTCCCGAGCTCTCGAAAAGCAAGTTGAAAGTCTGCTGCGCGCGCTTCCTGGGGCTGACGAACACCTGCACAACACGTGCCGGGTCGATCAATTTTCCAGAGCCCACGAGATGCGAAGCTGTTCCTGAGACCTGCTTGACGCCATCTGCAGTCAACTCGAGCTCGGTAGAGCCCGTGTAGCGACCGTTCTTGGTCCATTCAGTTTCGCCTGACGTTCATCTTAGCAACCTGGGATGTTGTCTCGGTGTAGCGGAATGGATATAAGGCTTACCGTGACGGGCGATGAAGCAACGAGGCGTGGAAGCATCGAGATCTGCCATATTTGATGAAATTAGAACACAAGCCGTCTGCTATCGATCTTGCGTTAGGTTGAACTGTCGTGCCAAGGAGATGCGTGGGGGCTGTTGCATGTGCCGCTAAGTAGGATTTCACTCGGAGCTAAGCCTGATACGGATCGGAGCAACGGGCATACAGCAGTTTTAACTTTTGAGGTAGTGGTATTGCTATATACCAGGGGGCTTGACTTGTATCTGAGCGCAACATGTTTCAAATCACAGCTTGTTCACAATAAATGTATGTGCCCATGATGGCAGGACAGCAAAACGTACGGAAGACGCTTTGGGTTGACAGGGCATTCGCCTTGTAAGGCGCGTACTCAAGAAGCTCTTCACTGGATGATAGTTGAAATCCGCACCCGGATTGTCACAGCTCAGTTGCTTTGCGTCAAGTGGCTGAAATGATATCCCGTCGTGTTTGAGAAAGGGGTTTCCACATGACATGTAGTTTATGCATTCTTACCAAAATAACGCCAGAAAGTACACGACGATATTGCTTACCTCGTAAGGCTGACATGCACTCGAAATGTCTTACTGGAGGATAATCGTCTTCCACGTCCGCGTAGCCGCAGCCCAGTCTGCAAGATACACCCAAGCCAAACCTTCCCTGTGTGCAACATGGCCATTCCATGCTATGAGCATGACCTGCACCATGGGAACGGTATGAAGTTTCTCTCCATTGGCATCGGCATACCTTCTAGTCATCCAAACGCTCACCAACGTACTTGCTCTATCTTTGCCGAACACCGATAGTGCCATGAACTCAAGATTGCAGAGTTGTTGGGAGTTGGTATTGAGCGACGAGTCTACCCTTCTTGCAATGCGAGGTGTAGCTCCGTACATCTGACCAACTACAGTTCCCTGGGCGTTCAGGACGTTTGCCCACTGGTCTTTTGAGTCGAGCCTGAAGAAGGCGGTCTGTGTTCGACCCACAATGGTGCCTGGCGTCTTGCGTCCTTCTTGATGAGCAATCAACTGGAGATCATCTGCCACCCCAGGGAGCTGCTTGTGAAATGCTGAATAATCCGGCCAGCGTTTGGTAGCTGCTTGGTGTATGTCGTTCCATGTTTCGTCTTGCAATGAAACGCGCCAGTCGTACGCAATGCCGGTTTCGCTATAAATGAGACTCATCAGCAATCGCCAATCTCTCTCCAGTTCTCCATCTACTTGCTCGTTCAATGCGATTACGCCGCCTGTGACGGCGTTGTACGTATACCATGCAGTGAGCGGGCCGTGGTACGAGTTCTGCTGATGGCGTATTGGATCCGTTGTACACATGTATGAATACCAAGACCATGAAGGGAAATGAGTTCCTTGTTCTTCTCTGATCAAAGGCTTATCGTTCACTACGCGGAACCAGTGCAATGATTGGTCGAAGTGAGCTAGCGACAATCCGTAGTAGACGGCAGCCGTCCCAAAAAGCGTATTCATCACACCGGAAAAGGCACTGTAAACATCGCTCCGGAAGGTGAGTGCCCGCGTAGAGTAGTGATTGACATGACGTGTGTACGCGGTAAATCCTGAGTTGTACCTTTGCAAAGAGTAGCGTTGGAAGTGGAGACGCAAATCCCTATAGCGAAGGGTTGCATCGTCATTGAAGGCGTCCTCGTGTAGGATGCCTTGCTCACACTCGTAGTAGATGCTCCTATTTCTGAAGTAAAGCTTTCGTTGGGCGAGAACTGCTTCTTGGTAGGTCCTGTGTACACGGTCAGTGCCGACCGCAACCTAAAGTCGGCGTACAATACCATCCGCGAGTCAACCAGGTATCGAAAGAGTCATTTCCTGTCTCGCGAACCTGGTTTGTCACAGTCATACCAGGCAATAAAGCACTAGACTGCATGGCATGGCGCGAGCGACTGACTCCCGAAATGCCGTACGTCGCGCCATTACCATAGGTGTTCATGATCACAAAGCGCGCTGCCGAATAGACGATGTCCATGGATCTGATCTGCCGCGCTTTGTCCTCTTCATCGTCCTGAATAATGCAGAGCCTATCAATCCAGAGGTACCGCTCGTTCAATTGCAGGCAGACTTGAATTGCGTCCTCGAGGGTTTGTGACAATCGAGATGTTGAGAGACTCCCGTGACGTCTCCGCTCCTCAATATTGTTCTTGTAGGTGATCATGGTGGCATCAGCGCCCCAAACGTAGCTCAGCGCCACAAAGTCACATTTCTCCTTCTCCACTATGCACCTGTTGGTGACATCGATGACTCGGAAGCCTTTAGGAAGGTGATGGGAGACAACCTTCTGACATTCCACATGGTCTCTACGACAAGTTTTGATAACCTCGCGAATTCGGTTCCACTCTACCGTGGATCCTACGAGGGTCTTGAATGCTGCTGTGACGTGTCAACAGTGCCTGGTGGGAACAGAGTACCGACCTACCCTGCCCGGTCAAGGCGATGTGCAAGGCTCCAATGGTTGGGGTTCTAAAGATGCTAGCGCCGCTATCCACAAAAACTGTTGCAACTGTACTGGACTTCTGCTCGCTGAGCTTGGCTAGACTCAGTTGAAGGCACGCGTCTTCGTCAACGTCCATGAACAGCGGATCGCCAGATTCCAATTTCGCTGGGTCATATGTACCAGGCAGTAACAAGGTCTGTATCAGCTGGCAGAATGGGCACGTTTTGGACATGAACTGTTCTCGCCGAAATGGTCGGTCAAGATTGACATCAAATGCATCGTTTCCAGGTCCCCACTGCATGCATTTCAGCAAATGCCATAGGCGAAGATGGAGACACTGGTCGCACAGCGCACTCTTGAGGTGCTCGAATTCGGTGCAGAGTGTGGAGACACAGGGTTTATGGAAATATTCGTAAGACTCATCGACATCGTAATCGCCTGTGTCGAAGGTGTACAGGGTTTCAGGGCAATGGGGGCACTCGTGGATGACAGCCTCGATCTCAGACAGAGTTTTTTCGGATGTCATATTGGTCGCCGTGCCCGATGCATCGCACACGCTGAATGACGGAAACAAAACCCAACGCAAAGCCTGCCAGATATGATTGTGGCGTTGAATTCGTCACGCCAGGCAAGTGATGGGTGAAGGTGGGGCGGGCGCCGGCCCGACGTTTTTCCAGCAGCCGTTCCTGCTGGCTAAGCGAGCCACCAATCTCGAATTTCGATATTCCGCGAACAACTTCCGACGCAGCCATCGACAAGACCCAACACCTCTCTCAATTACCCCGACAACTCGATCAATACCGACAAAATGGGTGGTGTTACAGTCAAGGACGTTGAGGTATGCGACTGCGCATCTCGGGAACAGCAGCCAGCAGCAGCGTGATTAACAACTCCCACAGGCGCAGAAGTTCATCGGTGCCTATGCCGCCTTCTTGAAGAGGCAGGGAAAGCTTCCCATGTACGTTTCGCTCACCTTCCCATTCTGCAGACCAACCAGCTAACAAGTACCAGCCCAGGTTCGTGTCAATCCAACGGGTGAAGAAAAAGCCTGAATCCCGTAACTGGGGGATAACTTCAGCTTGCTGACCGCTTATCTACAGGTTGGGTTGATACTGTCAAGACATCGCGTACGTTGCACCCCCGCTGACTGCGACTATTTTCGCATGTCTAACGATTACCAATAGACTCCAAGGAGCTGCCTCCTCAGGACATCGACTGGTTCTACGTCCGCGCTGCCGCTGT